AATTATCATTTAAATGGAGCTAAAATTAAGAACATTTAAGCAACTAGTTGAGAATGTCTGGAATGAGTGACCATTTTTCTTCAGTGCTTTTCAATAAGAGAGAGCTCAATACGTCATATCATATATGTATCATATTCACACATAGATTTTAGATAATAATTTTCGAATGATACCAACAACAATCACATGTTACTGTTTAAGATATTTCTAATGACTTTAATAATAATAAGTTGACCATGAATAGTTTTCTAGGCTTTAAACGTCAACTTTCACGGAGACATGTACACCTAACTTTCCTTAATATTAAAGAATAAAGTTTTATGGCTACATACTCTCATAAATTTTTCAAAGTTTGATTTTCTGCTGGCAGTATGCCTATCTAGATAATAGACTGTGAATTTCCGCATTCCAAAAGATAATTTTGACGTGCCATTGAACCACAAAATACTCTTTTCGTGCGTGCGTTATTCGTAAAATGAAATGATTTGAAAATTTTAGATTCTTTTCATCGAATTTTTCTGCTTATGATGATATACCCAGACACATCACTATATAGCCGAGATTGAAATATATTCACTTTAATATTTTCACTTTCCCAACACTGTATTTGAGGCTTATATGCAGTCATGAGGCGAATCAACTTTAGCCAAACGGACTATAAACGATATCGAACTAATGATCGAGTGCAAAGAGATTACAATAATTTGTATTTTATATTTGTGTGATAGAAAATTTTTTGCATGACGGATCCACTTTAGCGTAGGTCGTGATTTATATACAAGGGCATTTTGGCAAGTGCAGATGGAACTGTAAGCATGCAGCTCTCTAGTCGTTTAGATTATAAATTTATAAAAACACGCATTCGTAAAACATAGCGACTGGTGAAAGACATTACCAAACTAAATTTACTCAGAAAGAAATATTTATCGTGTTTTCGTTAATAAAGGTCAAGTGGGTAGTGGTTTGTATGAAGGTTCTATAGAGGAAGGACTTGGTGATGGTAAGTAAGCTTCAGTCTTTGATTTGAGGATCATTTAATAAGTTTGTGTTGAATATCGTCGTTTTCATGTCGTTGTCTTAGTTGAGCACTGTATGCGCCCTTGAATGAGTCTTAAGTAACAATGGAAGGACACATTTAGAAAAGATCCTTTCACCAATGTTTCAACAATAATTGGCCACTTTTTATATTTACTATGACATGTATCTATATAACAGCAAAACATTTCCAATGTTCTCGTACATTAATCATGCAGTGTTGTAAAATAATAGCTCACGAATGATTGTGAGTGTTGTGTGTGTGTTTTTTAGGTCGACTAGTTAATTTCAGTATGGATGCACCGTTACAATTCCAAATTGACGTTAATCTAACCGCGCGGAATGTGCTTCAGTGAACTTGCCACAGCTTGGTTTCAATTTTAAAGGCAAAGACTTTACGAGAGCTTATGTACGAATCAAATTAAACAGATGCAATGAGTTTACCACCACAAGTGATTTAATACTTCTTAACTACTTTTTTTATGATTCTCATTCGTCTTTTATTTTTATTTCAGGTTTGTGCTAATGGATTAGTTAAGTTCAACAACCCATCTTATGCAGTGAATCCTCGAAATTTTGGGACATATAGTGGTCAAAACCAAGGCTCAGAATCACTTGCGCCCTATTGGTCGCTTGTTGATTTAAAATTTTTTCAAACGGGATTTTCAAAAGTTTATTACAGGTCATATGAAAACCGTATGAACAATTTTCAAGTGTTTGAGAGGATTGAGAGCGCAGCAAAGGAAATATTAAACACTACAGAGTATACGGCAAGTTGGGTGGTTGTGACTTGGGAGAACCTTAAACCAAAACAACCTTTAAATAACACCTATGGCGGAGTAAGTTGACTTTTTTTCTGAAAACAAATGAATGCATGATTAGATCACCATAGGTTTATGTAATAGGCATCAATAGTTACATGAAAAAATACTAGTAATGGTCTTATTGCTTGAATACGTCGACCAGTAAAAAACTGCAAATCGGAGAACTATGATATATAGCAATAAGCATATCATATATTTTCTACAACTGTGCTCTCAGCTTATGAAAAAACATTTTTACTTGACGAACATGATTAAGTTTTGATAAATTGCTTTAAAAAATTTGATAAACTACTCTAAATTTTATATAACTAATGTTTAACTATACATTAAAAGCAAATCAATTGGTAAAATTTTATTCATCGCAAATTCGTAATTAAATCAATGGCATGGCTTAAGCCCCATAATTCGGAGCAGGCACATATTGTCAACACGCATGTTTTTTTTCCGTATTAAAACATGCATATATGAATATGTATCCTTAGTCCAGTAAACAAGTTTATTACGCCACTGAGTCATATGTGGTTACTAAATATCTGGCCTGCCAGCTGCCTTATATAAATATAAATTACTTTGCTGTTTCAGTAAGAGGCAAAACACTAATATAAGTAATTAATAAGTCGTAGGGCATTGGTCATTAGAATTGTGGGCATCCATTGATGATTTTTCAGTGGGGAGGGAGTAGCTACACTCTCTTCTTCCGCTTGAAATTTCAAATACAGTTAATATCAATAGTAATATTACATAAAATGGCAAAAATTTATGATATTTTGAATGCTTAAGTGAATATATGTGTGTCATCAAGCAATTGGATTTGATAAATCAACAACATTATTCGAAATGTTTTTTTCTTCCAGGAAAATGCTTTCCAACTCTTGTTGGCCAACACTGCCGATAGCAAAGCCGTTACATTGTATATTTATAAAGATATCGACTGGTCAATTGGGGTTTTTAGGTAAAGTGATTAGCATAACATTTCAGGTGTCAACTCTATTTTACACAATATCGTTTCCAGTATTATTTTGGTATAGTTTCTACGAGATAGTTGACTTGTCTGAGTATTTGAACTACACTTGGCCACTAATCCATTCAAATCGTAAATTTTTTCACATCCCACATTATGTGTTTACTATTTAGAATGGATTATGCTAATTTCATTGGAGCAAGTGACTTACCTGTGATTGGTTATAATTCAGATAACGAAAATTTTGAGAATTTTCGAACGTAAGTAAAAGTAGACATAAATAAACTCTCTCTTTATCTAGCACTGGCTTTTAAAATACTGCTTAAATAAAACGACGATTTGGATCGTTAAGACACGTTTATAGTTAAAAAAAAACACATGATTTTTTATTTACATGCAGCTCTGGAACAGTTAATGCGGAAACAGTTGATGATTACATGAATCCCACAACAGGAAAACGAGGAGAAATTGCGTTTGATTTGAGTTTGAAGATAACTGAAGCTCCTCTTACAAGTGCAGAAACGTGTAGGCGATGGGTTAATGAACAGGTTGCAGAAAACATCAGACGGGGGAATTGCTCAACACCTTGTGCTCCAAATCTACAGCTGGCTTTTCTTAGTTTAGGAAGTAAATTTATTACAAACTACCGTAGATTTAAGGCAGGGCTTTCAACTGAGCTTGAAAACTTCTGCATATTTAGCGATCAAATATCAACAGGAAACAGTGCGGATGAGTGTTGCTATAGATTTCTTGGTAACAAATCTTCATACGAACAGTCTTTTATCACCAATCAATATCAGTCATTTTTCCTAAGCACGAGTTCTCTAATAAATGCTGGTCCAGGGCACTGGCATCAGTTTCATCCAAGACATGATTTTATGAAATTTCAAGAAGAAGAGAATCGCTACCAAGAATGCTGCACCAACATTAGTAGCACCCAAGAATCATGTTCGTTGTTTTATAGCGTCCGCCCAATATGTAATGACTCCCTCTGGACGTTTCCAACAACGTGGGGTACACAACTATTATGCATTTTTAACTTTAACTGTAGCACGAACAAACATATGCTATATTCATTGTTTATTTGTGCTTCTCAACAGCTACTTTCATTTGAAAACTAATCTCTATTGAAAGAGCTATAATAAATGATTATATAATAAGCTAATATGGTTGGTTTTTAGTGATTTTTTTACAAAAAGTGAAAATTAGAAGTTAGTACATAAAAGCAAAGCAATAATAGAAATTGTATTTGAACATGATTTGAAAATTTAACGACTTTATTGAAAAAGCTTACCCATATGCACTCTTTTTAAAATCTCCTCATAACTAACCCAAGAAAGTATATTTACTCCACTTTTTGTTTGTACACGAACAAACATTAAGCGGAAATTATTCAAACGTTACAACTGTTGCAATATGTTTCAGGTTCTCTGTATGGTGATCCTCATTTTGTCACACTTGATCGTAAAAACTACACTTTCAATGGCTGTGGTTGGTACACATATTTTAAAGGAAATATCCCAGGTAAGAAAATAAAATTTTATTTTATCCTTTGCATAAGTGAGGCACAAAAGTACATCATGAAAACCAACATAATTTTTCAGGCAACAATAAAAGCTCCCTTGTGGTTCAAGTTCGAACGTCAAGAGTGAATTTTGTACTGAACGCTACAGGTTTTACTGCTATCGCAATAAAAGAAGGTGAAACAGAGACAATTCAGGTTAATCTGAATGTATCAGGTGTGTAAGTCATAGTATATGAAAGATACAATAAAATCTTGTGGAATGATAGAAAAAACGTTTGGATAATAACAGTGAATATTGAACGTGTAAGGATTAGTCAGGTTTTCATAAGCCTCCACCAACAAATAAAAGACTCACAATTTCACTTTAAAATAAGGATTTATAATGGCAATCCTTATTAGTTGATTCATATAATATGGATGTGAGAGTCAATGTTCAAAATTCCATTCTTTAGTAAACTGCATGTATTCAATTAGTGTACGATGAAGGACATTGTCACTTGTAAGATGACTTTCGCAATTGTTCAATTATTGTTCTACTTTCCTCCATGATTTGTTCTGACAGTTGCTTTTTGAAAGAACACTGGGTTGTACGTATATCTTAAAATTGTTATCATGGTCTTGAGTTCTGAGCATTTGTCCTTTGCTTTCCAAATCATTGAATCATTAATCTAGTGCTTCGATTGCTTGTACGATTGTCGTGTTTCTAGTTTCTCTATTGACCACTTATTAATTTGTACGATCACAGATTCTGTTTTTGGAAACATTGGAAGGTTTTTAGAGTTTCTGTGATAATATTAGTTTTGCCTTGCTGGTTCTCTTCTTTATCATTATTTCTTGATCGATAATCTTTGATTGCAGTTGACCTCGGGTAGTTGGTGTTTGTGAACACAGACCTCGCTTGATCATGACTTTGCTGATAGTCATGTGATGAATGTAATAATAAACGTAATTTTGACAATATTTGTATGTTTATTTATAGCCACAAACCCAGTCACAATAATATTTATAATCATAGTTATGATGATCGTATTTATAATGCAGATTACTATAAATAATATGATTGAGATTGTGAAACATTTTCTACTTCAAGCTTTAATGATACTTCGAGTTATTTTAAGAATCATTAGCCCTCAGCAAAATACTATGAAAACATGTGCTTCAGTATACTGATATTTTGTCTCCTTAAAAGAACTGAAGCATTTTCATAAGCATGAAAAATGCCAATGTTTTCCAATTTGTCGAAAGCTTAGCTTCAAATTTCAAAAAACGTATAATTGAAAGTCTGATGATCTATTTTTCTTCTGTTATGATAAAATACTTTCTACTTGGAAAACCTGACAAAAATTCCTTTTAATTATAAAGGTGGGCTTAATCTTCAAGTAAACAAGGCTGAAGTCAATCTTCCTCCACAAAATGGATCCTTACTTGATAGTGGCATTTCTTTATCTTATCTTAACAATACGTTCGAAATTTCAACACCTCTTGGGAATGGAGTACGAATAAATGTAGCAGCAAATGGTACATTTTTTACTTTTGTCGTTGCTTTGCTGCAAGAATATAAAAACTCATCGCTAGGACTCGCTGGGAAATGGAATGATGATATTGAAGACGAATTTACTCTTCCCAATGGAACAGTTTTACCAATTGAAGCTAGTGATTCACAAATTTTCTATAACTTTGGAGAATTGTGTAAGTGCGTTTTGCACAAAAGGAAATTTTTTCTTTGACATTTTTTGTATCAGAGTGGTCTTTGACAAGTTTTGTATCATGATGCAATCTTGCACAATCTTAAAATTTACAGGGAGAGTTCCAAACAACGAAGTAATTTACCAATCTGAAAATGATGAGGCTTTCAGGTGTCCTCCAAACTTTGTACCTGTGTTTATTAATGAAGCATTGAATAGTCTTAATGCCGATACCACGTTAAAAGAAGAGGCTAATAAAGTTTGCGGTGAGGATGTTACTTGCCTCTTTGATATTGGTGCAACACTTAACGTGGAGATTGGGAAGTCAACAATCGATGAAATTACCACAATAAACAATGAAATTGAAGAAGCAGGTTGGTATTGAAATAAAATTTACGAACTGGATCCTTTTCTGAAAGTTATGAAATACATTCAAACAAAGAAATGATCCGCTATAGAACTTGTCCTTTCAAATTCATGTTAATTAATTGAGGACGATTGTATGAAGACAGCTCAACGTATGAATCTATATTTTTACAAAAAAGATATCTCTTTCCATGTTTATAATCTTTTACACTACATTTAGAAAACCGGCTACCTTTTTTCATTGGAAATGTATCGACTATCAACGTAACTCTCGGAGAAACATTTAACTTGGTGTTAGAAGCAGAAGATCCTGATGGTGATGCTTTGTCTTTTGCAATTTCTTCTCTTCCCAATGGGTCTTACTTTACCCAAACTGCAAAGCATTTAAATTTTACTTGGAATGTTCAATCTGACGAAGTGGTATTATATTTTAAATTTATTTTAAATTACAGGTCGATACAATAAAAACAAACTGTTTTGGTGTCAGTCATTCTAATTTCTTTAAAAATGAAATTCATCAGAGTTTACTTTTTTAGGTTGGTCTTACATTCATTGTCACTGATTCAAAGAATGGATCGGCAACACTGAATCCAGCTATCCAACTTTGTAAATGTCAAAATGGTGCTTGTTTTGTACCTGCAGCAACATCCGACGAAGTAGCTGCATCTAAATCTTCATTTCTTATAATGTCTTGCGCATGTCAAATGGGCTACACTGGTCGATTTTGTGAATCAATCCAAGATTTCTGTGAAGGTGGTTTGTCACCACCCTGTCATCCCTTGGTTACTTGCACCAACAAACCAACTGGTCCAGAATGTGGCGGTTGTCCCAGTGGATATGAAGGAAACGGATTATTTTGCCTTGGTAAGAAGCTTAATTGATTAGTTGTCGAGACTCGAGTGCTTCTAGTTATCAAAAAATGAACAACTATCAAAATCTTTAAAAATAGCTGTGCATTTTATATGTCTGGTGTTAAATTTGAAAGATTTTGAAAGAAAATTGCAATGGCAAAATGATGGAAAAGTAAAAGTTGAAGCCTTAAATTAGCAGCTTTTAAAATGCATTGAGTCTGCTTATTATATTCTGCATTTTCATTATTTTTAATGAAACATAATTTTGACGTTTTTCTCAATGTATGATACTAAAATTATGTGCTTAGATCTCACTGAAGCCTAAACTAAAAAGCAATCTCCTTTTCAAAGATTCGGGTTCAGATTTTCTTCGTCCGTCCATTTTTTCTCTGGCTACCAAAAACAAGCTGGAGTTTGAAATTGAATATTACGTACTTTGCAAGGCAAGATTACATAAATTTCGTGAGTAACCCGAAGCCCTTACAACTATAAAATTTTCTTGGCTTGTTTCAAGCGTGAGTGTCACAAATGACAAGGATAATGAAACATGATTTACTAATACATAATATATTGCCACATGTGAGATTGCACTTACGTGATTTTCGTTGTTATATTATTTAAATATATTATTTAAATACATACATGCATGTGTTCAGCATGGGCGTGCTTATCATGGATAAAATCACAACAAGTTCCGTGAAAGTAAAATGTATCCATACACTGTAGTCAGTTTACGTGTGGACCCTGAAACTATTGTAACAAGAATCTGATCTTCAACAAAAGTATTTCTGATTAAAAAATATCCGAGTAGTGTGAAAACGGTCAAAATATAATTAAAAAGACGTCTTTAATGCGTTCACCTAAGCCACTCGAGCTGGACTGGTGAAATTCACCCCAAAACCATTTCCCATGTGGTAATTTACATTTTTTGATTTCCTGCAATTTGATTGGCTGCAGCAGTGGGCAGCTTTACCATATCTTGACCGTAGTCCAAAAGTCATATTATTTTCATATTATGTATTTGTTTACAAAGTGAAATTTAAATTTTTAAAATTGATTTAAAAGCGATGTTAATTGTTCAACGAGAAAGAAAAAAGTATTTAGTTGTTAGTTATCATAGCGATCGTAAATTTTATTATCCAAACGAAGTGAAATTTGTAGTCAATTTTAGTCTCAACATCAAAACGCATCGGCCATTTCACAACGTGAACTTTTTCCATCATAAAAATGAAAAAAAAATAATTACATTGTTTAAAGTTTAGGTCGGTCCGAAAAATATTTTCGTTCTGTCAAGCCGGTTAATAACTTATTATGTTAATCAGAGTGCGTTACGTCAAACAATCCAAGATATAGTTTGATTGGTGCGCTATCTCGTGACTTGATGGAAAAATTCAAAGGCATTTTGAAATAGAGAGTAGAATGACGAATGGGATTGGAAATTTAAGAGTATCTCAACCCGCTATGTGAAAATGTAGTTTTTGTTTTCCATCTTGTGTTTTCGTTTAGATGTGGATGAGTGCACAGAAGGTGTGAGTGGGTGCAATCAACGTTGCACAAATAACGCAGGCTCCTTTAAATGTTCTTGTATGAATGGGTTTACTTTAGACTCGGATGAAAGAACTTGCAATGGTGAATATAAAATTTCTTCATGACTTAAATTCTCAATAAAATGCTCATTAATGTACAGCTGTGACAGTTTATCTAGAAACCAAAGGTAAAGACAAATTGTAAAAACTTGATCACATCTTTCTTTTAATCTAGACATTAATGAATGCAGAAGACCAAATGATTGTGCTCAGATTTGTAGAAATAACATTGGCTCATTCAGTTGTGGTTGTCGTTTTGGATTCGTGGTTGATCCAAATAATTTGCAAAACTGTATAGGTAATTAAAACCTTCGTGCGCCACTGTTCATATTCTGATATTTTAATTATCATTTCGAATTCAAACAGGCAACGGTTAAAAATTTTTTCGTTGTTCAAGAATCCACATCTTTATCATTTTTAGCTCAAACAAAGTGCAGCGAAAACCACAATTGTTCGCAAGAATGTTTTTTTGATAGTTCAAAAGGAGAAACATGTATGTGCCGTTCTGGATACTTACTTCAATCTGACGAGAAAACGTGTGAAGGTGTGTTAAACAATTTATAATTATGGTTGTAGTCAGACACAAGCAAGCTCCTCAGTTTTTTAAATACTTCACCTAGTGGATTTGTTGGTTAACATTTATGTGTTCATATCGAGTAAAATATGTGATGCAATATCTGAAATAGATATTTGATTTGTGTTAAGGGATCAAGAGAGGCGTATTCCTTGAAAAAGTAGCTAATATAATTTTTTTCTTACCAAAAATGCAAGTGCAAAATGATTGCTTTGTCATTGTGTAAACACTAGATAGATAGTTAGATAACTTTATTCTTCCACGCTGGTATCGTCACTCGTCAGAAAAAGCTGGTTTCTACGATATGCGTGTAAAATATAAACAGAATTTAAAGTGTAACCATAATTGCAACACGTAACTGAAATACATAAGATGATGTATATACTAAATAGTACTATAAAAGATTGACATGAAAATCTAGAAGATGAGGTACTTAAAAACATAATACGCTATTTACAACCAATGAGTAGCGATTTTTTTCAAAAGAGACACTCTCTCAAGTCAGTTGGCAAAGAGTTCCATAGGACAGCTACCTCAAACATAGAACTTTTTTTCATGTTATTAGTAAGTGGTAAAGGCAAATGACCTAAGCTGTGGCTTATTAAACGAATGTGGCTAAATGAACTAAGCTGCGGATGTAGTCATAAATTAATAAATATAAGAACATTTAGCCAACAGCTAAAACTCTATTGACAGAGGCCCCCTCGTTATGCGCTGAAAGGATTAAGGATCATAGCAAAAAATATATTTCGATAAAAATTGTTTCGTTAAGCAATTTACTACTTTAAATTTTTTTGTTTCTAGAGTTCTTTGATTATTTCTTTTTGAATAATATTAACACAAAAAATTTATGCTTTATATGTGACTATATGCTTTGTTACTATATTTTTTTAGACATTAATGAATGTACAAATCCACGAAGTAACCTCTGCTCCCAAAGGTGCCAAAATACAATAGGAAGTTACAATTGCATATGTTTACCTGGATACACTTTGACAGGAATAACGAATTGCGAAGGTTGGTGAATTTATTAAAATTACTCTAAATTTGTAGATGGGACATAGTTATTAACACTTACAGTTTCATTTATTAAATTAGCACTAACTTCCATACAAACGTTTAGCAACGCGATACATAAAACTGATACAAGACCCTTTGTAAACTACGATTGTCAAATTAAGTAGAATACTTCTCTATAGCATTATTTTTCACTCAAATTAATAGCATCCAACGAGTCTTACTGCAGAGTCTAAAACAATTTGATGCAAAAATAACTATACGGGGTTAAATCTGTATTTCATTACAATCTTCCCAACTTTGACAATAAGTCAAGGACAACACACGTAGTAATAGAAAAATATTGCAGCAGAATTGGAATGGACTAAAAAAGGTAAAAATTGAATTTTTCAATTTTTCCTTTCGAAAGAATTTCAAAAAGTCCATATTCAAGAAACTCAAAAAATCCAAATGGGCAACCCTTCGGTATGGGTTATTGTTAAGTTGTCCTGTAAATTAGATATGTCAGATGTATGGATTCAAACCATTTTAGTCTTCAAGGTCGCAATATTTCCAAGATTTTTGATGGCATATTTTCTTCAATGAATTATTTTCTTTGACATAAGTGAGTTGTGTTTACAATTTGCAACAGCAAAGACTTGAAAGTGCAAAAAGTGTCATATAGACCAAGGGAAAATACGTTTGAACGTATTTTCCTTTATACAAATTGGTGGTTGTTTCCATTTTTTTTTGAAGACATTAATGAGTGCTTAATGGGCAGTTTTTCGTGCAATGGAACCGGAGAAGTGTGTGAAAATCTCCCTGGTGGCTTCAGATGTAGATGCTCAAGAGGATTAAACTTAGTCCTGGAAAATGGTAGATGCGTATGTAAGTAGCTACTTCTTATTAAAAGACACTTTTTTATTATATGAACACCATCACAAATAGCTACCATCACAAATACCATCTTACCAGAACTTGATATAGGTGAAATTTTATTCTTTGAAAATTTAAAATCAGTGATTTTGTACATAAATATAAAATTGGGCACCTAAATACAAAGTGTATGAAAAAAAAAAAATTATAAAGTCTAGAAATCCATCATTTTATCAAAATTTCTGGTAAACGTGTTCACGTCTTAGTATTTTGGCATCGTCTGGTTTATCGAAAAGTAAAAACAATCTGCGAAATGAATCTGAAAAGCGCGGATTCCGTTTGTAAAGTTTCATCGTCAACCGCCTGGGCAAAAAAAACGAGAGGTTCAAAATATAATTGAATTCAACGAAGTAAATGTTTGAACTCTCTTGTGCACTGCACCAAAATTTAGACAATATGAAAAACACAAAGTCTGCCACATAATATGTTCAAATTGCGCGTTTTTAGCAAGCTACCATTTGTCCCTTTTTACAAAACTTCTACTCTATTGAAATTTAAGTTTTTAATGTAAGCTACGTCAAATCAAGCTACAATGCACAACAGGGTTTCACCTCTTCAAATCATATTAGATTTTGAATATCTTTGCATAATCAAACGCTCAAAATTGAGGCATTAAGAATCTGCTTTCCTACTCTTCAAGAGTAATTTTTCTGATGCCAAAATACTTTAATGCATTTTTGATAAAGTTTGAGAAAATGATAGCTCTCTCTGGATCCACTAATGTACTTATGAAAAACAGTCGAAAAACGTGAGCTCAAGAAAATCGAATGATAAATTAAGTTTTATCCAGAAATAAACTTTAAAAATTAACCATCTGACTGTTTTATAGTTCAAGACGGAAATGTTGTGGTTGATGGTGCTCCACCACCACCTAAGGCAAACAACGAACAAATAAATAATGCTGTGGAAATAACAATCGTCAACTTCCAGACCTCAAATGTAAGAAGTTTTACAAAATCTCCAAAATTAATAATATAAACGTGAAATCTGCCGTAGTTAAAAATATTGCATTAAATTTCTTTCTTCAGTACACAGAAGAGATAAACGACAAATTCAAACAAGAGGTGGCCGATTTACTTAATGCCTTTTGCAACGAGAATGAACTACGTCCTCAAGATTGTGGCGTGTCGCAGTGAGTATCTCTTTCGTGTAGTGGTAATTAGACATGTGATTGAATGAGTGGTTTATGAGTAATGACTAATAAAAATTCGTAATACAACGATGGTGACACTGATATGATTTTTCTTTCTAACTTTAAAACGAGATTGCAGACATGCGAAATTCCAAAACAATTAAGAGAATAGTCTTAAAAGTCCATTTAAAAAATAGCCCTTCAAAGGCGGAACGAAAATCTTAGGAGGCATATTTTTTCACACTTATAGAAACTCTTTGCAGCTTAGTGTACTTAACGTGGAAAGACTTCCTGGTTATCCAAATAACACTGGAAACAACGTCACTCTAAGATTTTATGTTGATTATCCAGAAGATATTCGAAATGGTACAATGAACAGAGCAACATTAGGATCAATTGTTTTCACCGAATTGCAAAAATTGCAAACCGCTCTAAGCCTGACATTAATTGTTAACACACCACTACTTGGAGATGTGACACCACCATCTGCAGCACAACTCAATAACACCGTCTTGCTAACCATTTCCAATTTTGCAGCGAACCAGGTATTAAACGTGGTTGTAGAAAATAGTGTTATGTTGCATTTATTGACGTCACAAGTTTATGTTACGTAGCATGCACGGGGTATAGCCATTGATATGTATATTACATGGTCGTGCATTCCCAATAACGTTAGTGCAAAAATTTGAAGCCGGAAGTAGACTGCTATAATTAGATGCGCCGCCATATTGAACAGTCCCACTCATAATACCAATCTTTAGTAAAGAACCACGATGAATTTTGGAGCGTATTGTACTAATACACCCTAAAAAATCTTTCAACTTGAACCTAGAAGCATTCTATCGCGATAGTATCTCTCAAATGGTGTCACGAAAATATTGGAATAAATCCTTTCTTAATAGTACAACTGCTTACTACACCTTGTTAAAGCTAATACGTAACAGTTTTGTCAATGCTCCATAAGAGACGCTTCTCGCAGCAGAAATTGATATAATTTGTATGTCACCCTCGTGAAGTGGGACTGTTCAATACGGCCGCCTTCCGACATGAAATTTAATTAGTGATGCGTGTCATGTAATATACATATCAATGTATAGCACGGTAGTTGGGATTGGTTTGTCGCACTGGAACAATGTAATCATGTTATGAATAAATAACTATTTAAAAAGTATACGGTTACGCATTTTAAAGAGTACTTGTTGCCCTTTCAAGCAATAATCATCGTATTTAATATATAACTTGCATATTTAGTGGACAACATTATACGACAGAATTTTCAGAAGAGCAGTGGCTGTCACTATTAATAAATATTGTGAAAGGGACAACTACACTCGTTCTCAAGATTGCCTTCTACTAGGGTGAGTCAACTCATTCAAAACTAATTATTTACCGGTGTTTTTTTTTTATCATTGCCACACGCGATTGTATCATTCACTAAAGTCACCCTTACAAATTCAAGGATACCGCATACATAGTAAAGCATAATAGTCAATTTAAACTAAAATATCATTTAGTTCTTACTTAATATTTATCTAGTATCATTTAGTATCATTTAATGGTCAATATAGAGAACGAAGTATAAAAAACGAGGCATATTGAATAAGTGGATAGTGAGAGACGGGTATTCTATAATCTAGCCACGTTTTGTGAGACTACTTGACAATTGTAAATTCACTAAATTGTATTCAATTATTTCGTACTGACATTTGAAGTAAATTATTTTAAAAATTAAATCTTTCTGTCTTTTTACATCTCAAGTTTCTCACTACTTCTTTTTTTCAGCTCCGACAGTTTCCAGGAAGGACAAGTTAGTCGGACACCAGGCTATCCACGTGCGAATGGGCAAGGTGTTGATATCCAATTTTATGTCAATCAAAAAAACTCACAAAAGCCTCTTCCTCGTCTTACACTTGCATCAATACTAGCTGAAACACCTCTAGAGGATGCCCTGTCACGAAAAGTTGAAATACGATCTTCATTTAAGCCCCTGGACCCACCACTTGCTAGCTCTGAACAAATGTCTAACAGTGTTGTCATAAGAATCGAGTTTAGTTTGAACCAGGTCAGTTAGAAACTGCATCCATTTAAATTATGAAATTTAAAGTATATTTTCAAATTTACATGAAATGTGCACCGGATTTAAAAAAAATCTTTTCTTCTTTAGTGGAACTACTTGATCGACCGCCGATTGAGAGCAACTGCTATTGCCCCACGTATTACCGAGTATTGTAGTTCAAATAACATAGATTGCCAAGTACAGAATGGGTATGAAGAGCGTTGTTTAACAATTTGACATATTTTGAATACAGCCTAAAATTATGTAGATGCATGTGTTCAGTTTTTATGATCCTATTAAACTAGCCAAATTGTCCAGAAAAAAGATTCCCTAAATTTGCAAAACATCGCGAAATTAATTCACCAACAACTATTTTTCAATTTCAAACAATTTCAATTGTGAAAGTATTTGTTTACTTAGTGCAATTATTCCTATACAGTGCAATTACATGAATGTACAATACAATAACACATTTCTACAGAACAATTACGTATTTTTACAGTGTAGCTACACATTGCAATTACACGTTTTGCTGGGCAATTACAGCAAAAAACTGTACTGCAATGAACTAATCATAGCGGAAAATACTTCAAAGTAAATATTATTAACAGCGCAGTTAGTGGACATTTGTACTGTGTAATTACAAATTTTTGTAGGCCAAGTACAAAATTTCTCAGTACATTAACCGATAAAACGAAATGACATTCGACAAATATCTCAAAGTATTTTATAAAGCTAATACTGAATAAATTCCTTAATCACTTAACCACTGGCGTCAAGAACAGTTCTCCAACTCTTGACTACTCCACTTAATCCACACATGACCATATCTGACCTATACTTTTCAACCATGTTAACCGGAGCAGATCAATTCATGTAACTAACCCAAAATTGTTCGGTTTTTTATACGATTTGTAGACAATAGCTATGTTAATAATGTTTTCGCGGCAGCAGGTTAACACGTTGTACTATTTTGTTTTTTATTTAGCAGTCCAAAGCGATATTTTTTATTTATAGCAATTTGATTGGCTGCTTAAGCGGCCAGCTTTTTACGATATTTACCTACAGGGCTTAAAACTGTTATTTTTTCACAATGTATTTGTTTACGAAGTGAAATGCAAACTTTTAAAATTGGGCCTCGGGACGCTTTTGACAACGAGTGAAAATATTTTTCCGTACGGACCTCCCAACCGGTATATAACATATATATGTATATTATTACCTGTCAGTGTCTTGTGTACGCGCAGTTTCTTCTACTTTCAACGATGAAGTTATACCATGAAAAAATTAAATTTTGAGCTTTAACTACGAATCTGTTTTTTGTACTGAAAAATACAAACAGAGTTAAAACGTGAGCAAGTTGAAATTGTGAGTTAGCTGAATGGATAAACTTCTATTTATATTACAATAGTAAATTATGAGACTCGGCAATGCATCAATTCACTTTTACCTATAACTTAATTGTAATAAGCATGGTTAACATGGTGAAGACCGACGTCAATCCTATCACAAAGTATCATGGGCACATGGTCAATAAGCAATCCAAGTTTATTTAGGCTTACTAAAGATGTGACTAGTCGCTCTATATTGCCTCTCATTGCTCGTGATCTTGCATAACCATTGTCCCTTTGTAAAGGCTTTATTTGTTCTTGTAGCACATCGACGTCGTTTACCGTTGCTGATATCCAGCGTAATTCAAGCACAACACCCACTCAATTCAATGCCAATGAGATTGATTATAGTTTCTACGTTAACTATCCTGAACAAAACAATTCTATCACACGGGAGATCCTTGCGTCTATTGTAAAGGTTGAGTTGGGTGCAATGCAATCGTTATCAAGGCTCTTATTTTCACTTCAAACATCGTTTGCACCTTCCACTCCTCCTGAACCAACCAAACTTCAGTCCAGAAACACAGTTCAAATCAAGATCAAAAGCACAAAAGCTAATCAGGTACAACAAATAACTGATGGTGCTAAAAAATTTAAAAAAAACACAAATAATTTAAAGTCGGAAGTGGCTTCTGTTGATTGGTGTGCAAGTATCATGTAGCAATAAAATGCATGCACAAAAACCTTTCTATTCAATGAACTTTCTATTTTATGAAATTAAAAGAAACTATTCAAACGTCATGAGACAGATCACTTTCTACCAGATGCAAGCCTTTGCCTTTATTTTCTATATTCAAACTTTATGTTACCCAGATCTTCGAAACTTCTCGGTTTACTTCCGCTTGCCTTGAACCAAAAGCCGTAGCTAAAACGTTAATTTTGGGTGCGGTTAGTTCATGTATTCAGTTGCACCCGAAATCAGCGAGGCACAAAGGAATAAACAAATTCACCTCACCACAATTAACGTCCCAGCCATGGTCTTCCTTGAAGGCCTTGTTTACTCTTTCTAAACAAACCTTTGTTTGATTTGTAGTGGAGCGCAATTCAAGACAACAAGTTCCGAAAAGCTATCGCCTCCCAAATAACGAAATATTTCTCTGATAATTTTGCTATATGTGTATTTGAAAGGTAACTTGAATTTTCAATGTTTGTTTTTAATTATATAAGATGAAGGATTTGATAAAACTTAACAATGTTAAGACGATAATGATAATTGATTATTATTGCGAAATTCCTTAGTGCAAGATTGACAATAAAAGTCTTTTCCTAAATTAAATTCATTGATTGATATACTCTATACTATCATATTTGCCGATTTATTCATCAAATACAGTAAGTACTTATATGCAATGAATTTTAACTTTAAGCTTTAAGTTTAAACTTTTAGCATGGCTATTTTTATGTGAGAATTGACATATATAATCTTTAAAAACAATCTTAGTTTTGTGATGTCCTATTTGAAGAAATAATCGTTAAATGCACTCTTTGATTGATTCAAAAAGTGCATAGAAAAATTAAACTCGGAGAGAGTGATGACCTATCAAGCCAAGACCACGAATTTTAATCCTAAGGTTTTCAAAAACAAAAAAGGCCACACATATGCAATAGAATTACATTCTATATAGCTTATATATATATTGACTAATCAGAGAAAGTCGGTTTGATTCATACCCTTTTTGCCGTTTTCCTAGTAATTATACATTCTTTCACTACATGACATGATTTTTGTATTATTACCTTTAACAGTCAGTCAACATTTTACTCTTCACAAGTGATTCGTCTTAAAGATTCTCCAGTACAAGATGGCGCCGATGCTACATATACGTTCTTTGTTAACTACCTTCCACCACGGAATAGTCCCATACAACGCAATTTTCTTGCTGGGATCTTGATGAGCAAAATTAAAGAACTTCAAACGGAAACGAAATTTGATCTAATGGTGAACACATCCACATTAGCCGCACCAGCTACTGCTGCTGCAAATAATAATACTGTTATCGTTGCTGTTCTTAATTTCACAGCAGATCAAGTGAGGATATTTTCTTAAATTTAAAACGGTCTTACATATTAATGAATAAATAGCTATAAGCCGTCGCTACGTAAATTACCCCATTGGTAATCAAATTGTAGTGTTTTTGTTTAATTTCAAAAGGAAAAGCATGCATTTTTGTCATTTAATCCCCCACATAAAGTTATAAAACTCAAACAGTCTATTCTTGTAAGTAAACAGGTCAAAACCTGATTTTTATACTAGCAATATAAGCAAAGGACAAGAAAAGACAAAACAAAATACAGAAGAGTGCAGTGAAGCGTTTGAAACAAGCATCGACATAAGAATAAGCACAATCATTGCAACTTGACATAATCGAAAGATAAAACAAAGACAAATTTAAAAGAATATCTTTTTTGTTTTGTTTCCTTCAACCTTAGAAGAATATGCTTTGCTTTGTTTTCTTTGTGTTCATGTTGCTTGTGAAAACTAGGCTTAAGCAACACAGTTCATATTTACCAAGCAAAATTGACAGACAATTGATATCATATATAAATTAATGGTTACATTTTCGTGAGAGCGTGTACCTTTGATCCACCTCTGATTTCTGTGTTTAACACACAACAATCTAAAATGCCGGAAGATGCATTCATCAAATTTATTACATTCTCAGGGTGTTGGTAACTCTTTTATTTTCTCTAATGCAATAACCGGCTGATAAATATATCATTCTTCAATTAGCAAAAAATTTGGAAATCAAATGATAGAGATTGAGCATATGTTATACCAACACATTATATCTATAAATGACTGTTTTCACAAAAGTAGTATGGAAAATGAAGCCGCGTGCATGTGCTACTGATATTGAAATTCATTCTTATTATCTCGCGGGTCAACAAAAATAGCTGCAATTCATGTGTGTCTGAAAAATTTTAAACCATTGGCTCTTCAGTCACGACAGTGACTTTCATGAATTTCACACTTGTATAGGCAGCACTTACTGCCTATTAGGTATTTTAGTATCATTGTAAAACGAGAAGACGTGAATCAGCAAAATCCTTTAATTAAATTACAAGAAGCCTCATGTGACATTAAAACCTTGGAGAAATTAAAATTTTAATTCTTTTTTTAATTGTAATTTTAGAGACACGAAATGCAGTTTCAGTTGCAAGTCTTGTATTTTTATTTTGCCATTATCATTTTACTAATGACTTTTAATCATGCAAACATCTAATGTTTAGTGATCTCAATTTTAATCAAATGTTTTCCTCGGGAATTGACCCTTCTCCTGTTTGGTATATAGGACGTTGTAGATATTTGCGAGAGCATTTGTGTAAAACGCTCCACCTTAGCAAATGAAACTAGTCTGCGAGATACAAAGATAAAATTGTCTTTTTTAACAACATCAAGTTATATATTTATGTAAGACATTCCACAAAAAGGATTACTTTATTTCCGTATTTGATTAATTTGCACTTTTCCTTTATACATAATTTATATTAGTTTACATATTTTGATATAAAAATTCTTACCTTTTAGTGGTCGGCAGTACAAGAAAATTTATTTCAATGTTACATGGCAGCAACAATTGCAGAATTCTGTACGGAAGGTCGTGAATGTAGAGCTACTAGGTAAGATGGAAATCTATGTAATAAGAGCACGATAAAGATAAATAAGATAAATCTTGTGTTGTGTAAACACTTTTATAGGAATCAAGTTTCGAAGTCCAACGTACATATTGTTCAAGGTTCTCCTAGACAAAATGCTTCAAATGTAAATATAGAGTTCTTTGTAAGCTATCCTAGTGGTGGTAACTTAGCAAAAGAACTGCTTGTGGTGATTCTTAACCGAAATCTCACGTCAATTGAATCAAACATTGGGCTTAGAATCGTTCTTCTTACAACAATCGTTGTTCCACCCCCACCAACAGCTAATGAAGATAATGAGGCCAATGCTATAAGCATCATAATAAAAAATTATCAAGCGAGCCAGGTTTGTTCATGTCTTTTGTTTTCGTGTATATTATTTGTAGCATAGTCAGTTTTGCACAAATCTTTTCCGCACATAAACCTAACTATCCTTCTCTGTTAGGTTCCAAGAAGCGCATTTTATCAAAATATTTGAGCATGTATTGCAATATGTCTTATTTCTAAGGAAATATCTTGAATGTTGTTGAAAGCGCGTGAATATGCATCTTACAATATGCATGGTCCATCTTTCTTCTTTTGTTTGGTCTAGTGGGATCAAAGAGATACGCTTTTCCGAGAAAATATGGCGGAAGAAATCAACATTTTCTGTGCTGAGGTTGATATTTGCAATCCTCCATTGTAAGTAACATTATTCATTGTTTAAAATAGAATTAATTACTACATAATGAATTCCCAAGCTCCACTTTTACATTTTGTCAACTCTACATCTTAAGATCTTTATTGTTGCAACAATTGTTTTTCTTTACAAAAACAATTACATTCTGCAAAAAAACCAGTGCAAAGCTGTAATTGAAGGCTTGCCAACAAAACCATGTACACAAAAACCATGTATGTAGGCAGATCTAAAGATATGACTATTCATTTATACCACGGTTTTTTTTTTCATCTATTTTGATCGGTAAGTAAAAAGGTAGAAAAATATTTGATACTGGCAACGTTATTTGTAAACTGAAAAATAAAGTTGCAGGTTTATGTGCATGTAAATTCAAAGAAAACTTTGCACTAAAAACTATCGTCAAATTTTAAACAAAAATGTGCGTTTTACAGGGATAAAGGAAACAATCTCACCGCAGAAAATATTCAACGGTTGCCTGACTTTCCAATCCAAGTTGGTAACAATGCAAATCTATCTTTTTACGCCGAGCTTCCTCACAGAAATGAGTCGTTACCTAAAGACCTTCTCGCAACAATATTCATCGAAAAACAAGATGCTATATTGTCTGGTCTGGAAATTGAAGTTCCACCTGTAGACCTCCCTCGTGCAAATCTTTCACAAGAGGAAAAGAATAACACAGTGACTCTTGCGATACTCGGTCGCAATGTCGATAAGGTAAAAATGGAATAAGTAGAAACATCTTAATTGAGCAAATAGATTGAATCATTTAGTTTTAAATTCGACATATTAATATATGTAGCTAAGAGCATCTAATTTCAGCAAATTTGAGGTTGTTTTTTGTATCAATTTCAAAAGGTAAATCTGTTTGTCATTTTTGAAATAAGAAGAGTAATGGCAGAAAGAATGAACGAATTCTGTTCTAGTACTGACATAGATATTTGCCGACTTCAGAGAAATAGGTAAGTTGACTTTTGACAGTATTGATGGAAGTATGATTTCAGCTGGTTTAGTACTAAAAATGTGTAAATTTTTATATTTCGTCCTGTATTCTAAGAATCAATTACAAACTTCGTAGAAGCAAGACCATAAACCTATTGATCCATTCTTAATAGTTTTTAGTGGTTGGCACTAGATACTATAAGAGTAACTTTGACATCAGTATCTAATATGTTTCATAATTTATGTTTTTAGTCGAAGAAAGAAAAGAGCAATTATGTAAGTTGTGACACTTAAGTGGTAATTATGTTGATTTTAGTCAAGTGTAAGATTTAACACACCGTTTTTGTGATTGAACTTGGATGAAAGAAGAATTGAAATCAAATGGTCATTACAAGCACATGCCATGTAACTGATTTCTAACTGACTAGAAGAGCTCATAAAAATTTTACTTCTCTCAACAGTGGCCAAACATTTAATGAAAGTGACATTACCATCGACACAGATGCTCTTACTAGTGTTGGAGGGCGTGCAGTGTTAGAAATAAGCGTCAACAAGCCTGGTACAACAGATCCAGTGGAAAAAACTCTTGTTGAAGAAGCCTTAAGTCAACCTTTACGAGGCAACAATCTTCAACTGACTCTTTCTGAACCAATAAGAAACATAGCAAGTCATCCTAATGCAATAACTCTTAGGTTGAGAAATTTTAATCGATTACAGGTGAGTAAATGAAGACATTCGTTTGTTACTTAAACGTTCGTTAACTTAAGCAAAGTGTAATTGATAATAACTGTATGTTTGATGAAAGCCCTATAATTATATTTAAAACATTTAACAAACATCTGGAAACTTATTTATCCCAAAATTAAAACGCAAGGCATGAGATTAATGTTATTATGAAGCTGGCGTCAACATTTAACCGAATTTGCCAGTGTGTGTATAATGTAAATACTGACTAACGTCATTTGTTAATCTAAGTTTTCCAAGACTATAGTCTTTATTTGTAGAAAATAAAAATATATGCAAGAGAAAAATGGCTGCGCTAATGTAAATAGTATGAACATCAGCTCCACTTATAATGCCTGTATCAATTACAATATCAATATCTGCAGCATTTTGTTTACAACTTTCTACCATGGTTTCCCTTTTACCCTTTCTACCATAGTTTAATGACACAAAACCTTTCTACAATGGTTTGATGACACAAATACTCAATGACATATCGCTTTGATTTTATTAAATTTTGTTGAAATTACTTTCCATTTTAGTGGACACCATCCCTAGAAGTATCATTTCGTTACAACGTGTCAAAGGCTGTCATTGGGTTTTGCAATTTGAGATTGAATTTGTGTAACTTCACCAGGTAGGAATTAATTAATTAATTTATTAATTAATTAATGTAATTAATTAAATGAAGAAGATTTTAATTAAATTTTATTTTCTGGTTTGACTTAAATAGTATTTCGTTATGATAAATAAGATCTGTGCTTTGAGAGATAAAGAAGCAAGAACAAGAAAAAAACTAATTTTCAATGATCATTTCTACCATAGAAATGAAGTGAATAACATCAACTTCAGAAACGTAGAAATATTAACAGGCTCTCCTTTGCAAAATGGAGTGGATTCGCTGTTGTCCTTCTTTATTCTACAACCTGAGGGATCAACATTGTCTCCAGTGGTCCTTGCAACTATTGTGGAGTTAGTAAGAGTATTACCTAACTCCTACTCCGTGGAAACACCAGCAGTAAATGTCAACTTGTCACAACTGCAAGAGTCAAATCTTGTAAATCTCTTAATACTTGATAACAGAACCATCAACGATGAGGTGATTATAGCCATTCGTGAAACTTAATTTGCCTTGCTATCTTTATATTATTAACATCTGTTGTTTCATTTCAATTGAAATATTCCTGTACGAGTGTCTTTGAAATCATTCACGATAAAACGAATAACATGTTTAGTGGTGTTGTTATCATTGTATTCTTGACTTTAGGCACTGAAACTGGACATAGAAATTTCGATAGCGAAGAGATTAAATACGTATTGCTTCAATAGAAATGCTTCTGAAGTTTGCTCGTCTGACAAGTATGTTAATGTATTCAAAATATAAACATAACCTATTAACAAAAAGGGCTCTATCAATTGGCGTGCTTGTGAAGTTTTTCGGAAAATGCCATAAACTAAAATACAAGTTGTTAGCAGAGTATTGAAAAAATAATTTACAAGCCAATGAATCTTAACTTGCTATTATATAGGAATTTTACCCTCAACGAAATAATAACTCAAATTGATACATCAAATGTGATCCGTTTTGTCGTTTTAAATCCTGTCACAACCAATCCAATATCATCAAAAAACGTTCAGGAGGCAATAAATGGAAGTTTTACGTCAGATATTTTCAAATTACGACTTTCTATCACCATCCCTCCACTACCTGATCCAGACGCGGCCAATGCTGTCAGCATCTTACTAAAGGATTTTACTGCAAGCGAGGTTTGTTTGTGTCAGTTATTTACACCTATTCTAATATAAAATGAACAAAGTCGGCTACAAAGAAAATTTTCCCGCATTAAAACAGCAAAGAGCAAATCTGAATCCAACAGTTTCACTGTAAAAGTACATCTTGCAATTGATAATCGTCTATTATCTTGTAGCGAATATCAAAACGTGCATTTTTTATTACAGTCTTCTGCTCATTTTTTATCTTTTCTACTTTTAGTGGAGCACAAGAGATTTGGTTTTCCGGCAGAAAATGGCTGAACAAATAAACGTTTTCTGTGATGAGGTCAATATTTGCAATTCTCCTTTGTAAGTAAAGTTTTCTTTGTTTGAAATAGATTTGCTTGTCTTGCTAGAGCAACCATGAAAGGAATTCACAATGAACAAATACTTACTTAATGTGTACTTTTAAAAACCTTAAATCTTTCTGAGTTGTTTTAAGTAACTTATCCTATATGTATGACTAAAACATATAAAACCTCGGTTCCTATTTATTTATGCATGCCTGTGTGCATGTTTTGTGTGGATATCCCCCATTCGTCACAATTGTACATAATTTCAAAGGAAACTTTGAACTAGAAATTATTGTAAAATGTTTTCACAAGAAAATGAACAATTTTCAGGTCCAAAGAAATCAACCTCACAGCAGAAAATATTCAAAGGCTGCCGGATTCACCATTCCAAGATGGCAAAGATGCAAATCTATCCTTTTACGTAAAAGTTCCTCACAGAAATGGATCATTTCCTAAAAATCTTCTGGCGACAATCTTTACGGAAAAACAAGATGTGATATTGCCTGGCATAGAGGTTTCAACTCCACCTGTAGACCTCCCTCGTGAAACACTTTCATCTGAGCAGAAGAATAACACAGTGACTCTTGCTATACATGGTCGCGATGTCAATAAGGTAAAAATGCAATTAGTAAGAACATCTTATTTTGAACAAATAGGACGAAAAGGTTGATAAAAATTAAATAATTTAGGTTTGAATATGTTATACTGATACGTATAACTGAGAACATTAATTTTAGCATGTTTATTATTTGAAAGCTTGTTTTTTGTATCGCCTTCATTATCAGAGCAAAATGCACAGATTAATTGAAATGGGAATGAAAAAAAATCAATAAAATGATTTCTATTAATTTTACATTTAAGGTCAATCTGTTTGTATTTTTGAAATACGAAGAGCAATGGCAGAAAGAATGAACGAGTTTTGTTCGAGTACTGACGTAGATATTTGCCGACTTGAAAGAAATGGGTAAGTTGACAGTCTTTCATATATATTCATGTTTTCAATTGATACCAAACGAAAAATATGCTTCATTTTATACTTCATGAGAATGTCAGTTCGCAATGAAATTTAGTTTAGTCAACTTAATTCTCACTCGTCAAATTTTAAATTTCATCCTGTGAAATCAATTGCAGTCTTTTAAGAATCTGGACCATGAATCCATAGATTCAGATTTGATGCAAAGAGTAACTTTGTCATTCTTATCTTATATGTTTCATAATTTACGTTTTCAGTCAAAGAAAGAAAAGAGCAATTACGTAAGTGGTGACATTTAAGTTGTAATTATGTTGATTTTAGTCAAGTATAACAATAAACCGAAATCTTTGACATTGGGTTTGGATGAAAGAAGATTTGAAATCAACCAGCCAGTAAAAGCGTATGCCATAACCGATTTAAAACGGTTGCTTCATCAATTTCACTCTTTTTAAACCGAAAGAGATCATAAATATTTTACTTCTCTCAACAGTGGCCAAAGATTTAATGGAAATGATATTACGATCGACACGGATTCCATTACCAGTGTTGGAGGACGTGCAGAGTTAGGAATCGGTGTCAACAAGCCCGGTGCAAGAGATCCAGTCGAAAAAGTAATCGTTGAAGAAGCCTTAAGTCAACCCTTACAAGGCAACAATCTTCAACTGACTGTCGCTGAACCAATGATAAATACAACAAATCATCCAAACGCAGTAACTCTTACTCTGAGGAATTTCAATCGTTCACAGGTGAGTGAATAAAGACATTCGTCTTGCAACTCAAACGTTCACGCAAAGTGCAACGAGGGTAACTACGTTGCATTGATGCCTTTTCAATGTTACTAACATTTAACTAACGCCTGGAAACTAATTCATCCCGAAACATGAAAAGTAGGTATATGTATATGCTGTCAAATCATAAGGCATGAGATTAATGTTCAGGCGTCAAAATTCAAACGATTATCCCAGTGTCTGTATGATATCAGAGTGTAGGAAATACACAGTAGGGCCACTTCAATGTGCAACTGGCTGCTGTATATTTCAAAATATTAAAGCCATTTCATTATTCTTATTGGTCAGAAATTGTATTTGACTGGCTGCCACTATGGTAATCACATGCGCAATGAGATATGCGTGGCACAAAAAATTCAATGGAGTGGCTCTGTATGTTCTTTTATACTGTGATGATATCATAGGAATGCCAAGTTAAACGACTAATATGTTACTTACATTAGAATATTGCGCCTTTTATCAAAGGACAAAAATATCTTTATTACTTATCAAAGTTGCCACTAAAAAATATAATTTGAAAAATAAACGAAGATATTTTAAATTATACCCATATCTACAAAGTCATTAGAGCCTGCGGCGTTTTAATATTTAAATTTTAGACTACTACCATTGTTGATTTTTTTTAGAAATTCATTGCTTTTGCAGTGAGTGAACACTGATAAGTGACATTGCAGGACTAAATAAGCAGTCTACACCAGTGATTAGAACTCGTAAATGGTAACTCTTTAATTTAAGAGCTCTACATTTTTCTTAGCAGTCATAAGCGCAGCGAGGGGGAAAGCAATTCTTCTTTTTCTCTCTAATGATCATATGTAAAAGTAAACACATTGCCTGTGTCAGTGTAAATGGTGTAAATAGTATAAACATCAGCTCTACTTATGATGCCTAATTTATTTTAAAAATATCAATATTTTCAGCATGTTGTTTAATATTTCACACTATGGTTTGCATGGCACAAATACTCAAAAACATATTATTTTGACTTCATTAAATTTTGTTAAAATTACTTTTCATTCAAGTGGACACCATCCCTTGAAATATCGTTTCGTTACAACGTGTCGCAGGCTGTCATTGGGTTTTGCAGTTTGAGATTGAATTTGTGTAACTTTACCAGGTAGGAATTGCTAGGACTTTAATTATTCATATAAAGGCTGGATTTGAATTAATTTTCATTTTCTGGATTTGCAATAAAAAGTATTTCATTTGAATGAACAAACTCTGTGCTTGTAGAGTATATAAGACGCAAGAACAAGAAAAATAATTGTCATTCATCAATCATTTCTACCTTAGAAATCAAGTGAATAACATCGATTTCCAAAACGTCGAAATATTAACAGGCTCTCCATCACAAAATGGAGTGGATTTACTGTTATCCTTCTTTATTCAAAAACCCGAGGGATCGACATTGTCTCCAGTGGTCCTTGCAACTATTGTGGAGTTAGTAAGAATATTACCTAACTCCTACTCTGTGGAAACATCAGCAGTAGATGTCAACCTGTCACAACAGCAGCGGTCAAATCTTGTAAATCTCACAATATTCGAGAGCAGAATTATCAACGATGAGGTGAACATCCTTAATGATATCAATACACTCTTGTGATGAAAGCCATTTATGTAACTTTGAACTGCAATATCTATATTATTAACATCTGTTATTTCTTTTTAATTGAAATATTCCTAGTATGTGTATCTTTGAAATCATTCACGATAAAACGATTGGCATAGTTTAGTGGTGTTATTATCTTTGCCCTTTTCACTTTAGGCGCTGAAATTGGACATTGAAATTTCGATAGCAAAGAGACTAAACATGTATTGTTCCAACAGAAATGCTTCAGAAGTTTGTCAGTCTAACAAGTAGGTTGATGTACTCAAAATATGGACGTGACCTATTAATAAAAATTCCACAGCACATATGGCGTACTTGTAAAGTGTTTTTTAGCTCAATATAAAACGGAGGTTTTTCTGTTGTTAATAAAAGTTATTAGCATTGGGTTTGAAAAAATACTTACAAGCCAATGAATGATCAATTGCTTTTATATAGGAATTTCACCTTCAGCGATATCATTACTCGAGTTGATACGCCAAATCTGATCCGTTTCGTCGTTTTAAATCCCGCCACAACCAATCCAATATCATCTAATGATGTCCAGGAGACCATAAGTGGAAATTTCACGTCAAACATTTTTAAAATACGACTTTCTATCGCAGCCTCTCCCACCACAGCCCCTCCAACCTCAGGTTCATCTTCCACCCCACAGCCACCACAACCCGATCCAAACTTGGCCAATGCTATCAGCATCATACTGAAGAATTTTACTGCGAGAGAGGTTTGCTTGTGTCAATTATTTCACGTATTCGACTAAAAAAAGACAAAGTTAGCTACTTAAGTTCTTCTGCTTTCAAAAATGGGCTGCATTTTATTACAGACTCACTATTAGAGCATATCTTGCAATTTATTTAAGTCCCATAATTGTGTGGTGAGTTTACAAATGTGCATCTTTCAACATGATCAATTGTTTCATTTTATCATTTCTACTTTTAGTGGGGCACAATAGATTTGGTTTTCCGACAAAAAATGGCTGAACAAATCAACGTTTTCTGTGTTGAGGAGACTATTTGTCATCCAACGTTGTAAGTAAAGTTTTCTTTGCATGAAAAAATACTTTTAAAAATGAGACTTTTTAGACAATACATACGTGAAAGTCACGCGAGATCAAGTGCATGACAATCAATGCACATAGTGTTGCCAGATTGTGAAGAAAGTTCACAGATTTGTAAACTTTTTGCTCTCTTCATGAACATTAAAAGTTTGTGAACTTTTTGTGAACTTTCCAAAATTATATGAATTTTTGTATTTTCATCTTTTTAATAAAGAAAGTACAGTAAATCATACGTCAATGGAAGTGCATTCTTCATAGCTCGACAATTGTTTCAAAACAACGACGATTTTCAAGATAATGATTGATTTCTAGTAATTTCCGGTAATTCCGAGAGTTGTCGACACTACTGTAAAATCTTTTCACATAAAAATGTACATTTTTCAGGCCCAAAGGAATCAACATCACAGCAAAAAATATTGAAAGGCTGCCCAACTCGCCATTCCAAGTTGGTAATAATGCAAATCTATCATTTTACGTGAAGATTCCTCCCACAAATGAATCATTGCCTAAAGATCTTCTGACAACAATCTTTACGGAAAAACAAGATGAGATATTGGCTGTTTTGCCAGGTGTACTGATTGAATCTCCTCCAGTAGACCTCCCTCGTCAAATACTTTCACCTGAGCAGAAGAATAACACAGTGAGACTTACGATATTCGATCGTGATGTCAGTAAGGTGACTATGCAATATGTAAAAAAACATTGTATATTAGTCGAATAAATTTAATCACTCAGGTTTAAAATAAGGGTTAAAAAAACTCTATTTATGTGATGGTAATATTTACACTGCGAGCAGAAAATTTTAGCCTTTTTATAAAAGTTATGAATTTCGTGAAAATCGTTTTGTCAATTAGAGCAAAATGAGTAATTTAAAATAGTAATTCATAGAAAAATTTAATGCAGCAAGTTATATTATTTTTTACATTTAAGATAACTCTTCTCGTCATTGTTGAAATAAGGACAGCGATGGTACAAAGAATGAACATGTTTTGTTTCGGTACTGATGGGGACGTTTGTCAACTTCAAAGCAATCTGTAAGTTGACTGTCTTTTATAATGATGTGTGCAAAAGATAGTTACTCTTAAAACGACCGAATTCTTAAATTTCATCGTGACCTCGCCAATTAAAAATCCATTGCATCTTTCTTAGAAGATAGACTAAATCTATGGGTTTATAGACACATTTAGCCCTGATTCAAAGAGTACCTTAGACATCCATATACTTTATGTGTTACATAATTTACATTTTTAGTCGAAGAAAGAAAAGAGAAGCTACGTAAGTCTTAAAGATATTTATGTTGCAACATTGTTAATTTTTCTCAACGCATTATATTCAACCCGCAGTTGTTGGGATTGAATTAAATGATAGAAGATCCAAAGTTAACTAGTCATTAAAAGAGCATGCTTTCGTTTATTTAGAACGATGCGATCATTTAATTCATGTTTTACTTTTTTCAAAACAAAACAGATCAATAAAAATTTTGCTTTTCTCTACAGTGGCCAAAGATTTAATGAAAGTGACATTACTTTCGACACAGACTCCATTGCCAGTGATGAAGGAAGTACTGGGCTAGGAATAGGCGTAAATAAGCCTGGTACAACTGAGCCAGTCAAAAAAACTGTTCTTCAAGATGCTTTAAGCACACCCTTACAAACCAAAAATCTGCGACTGGCCGTTCTTGAAGCAGTGAGGAACTTAACAAGTCATCAAAATACAATGGCGATGACGATGATGACGACGATAACGATAATGACAACGACGACGACGATGAAAACGCCGACGATTACAAAGCCGACGATGACAACGCCGACGATGGCAACGCCGACGATGAAAACGCCGACGATGGCAACGCCGACGATGACAACGCCGATGGCGACAGATGACGATGTCGATTTACCATTAATATTGGGTTTGTCTATTGGTGGTCTGTTGCTGTTTGTTTTTTGTAATCGTTTCAATTATATAGTAAGTAAATATTTCCATTAATCGATCACAATCGTTTTGGAGATTTGGAATGCAAATGAAATTTCTTCTTAATTTTGGACTTTTATAATATTTCATGAGATTTCATTCTATGCTTGCTTTCATCTTCTGAATTTAAAAATGGCGAGTTTTGAAGATCATGACGCTATAAAAAAATCAACTAGAAAAGATTAACAACAATAAAAAAGAACATAAAAGTCACTATGCAGCAACTCTTCACTAACCATGAAGAATTACGAAGTACATAAATTAGAAGTAATAGCAACAAAGAATCTGTGATTTGATTTTCACATCTTGTAATATAAGATCCAACTCGATGGCAAGTAGAAAGAAAATTGTCTCTCATATTTATCATAATCTTTGTCTCTAATGTCGCTCTTTGTTCTTGATGTCGTTCTTTGACCTTGATATCGCTCTTTGTCCCTGATGTCGCTCTTTATCCTTAGTATCGCTCTTTGTCCCTGATGTCCTTCTTTGTCCGTGATATCGCTCTTTGTCCCTTATTTCGCTCTTTGTCCTTGATGTCATTCTTTATCCTTGGTATCGCTCTTTCATGGTATTACAATTTGTCGCGCAACATTTTTTAAATACTCGGTTTTGTTTTTCATTGCTATGAGCCCGAAATATGCAATTAGAACAATAATAAAGAGTAGGTAATAAAACTTTGTTGTTACGAGGTAATATCAGTTTTATTGCTGTATTGATGAAGTCACAAGTGTACCTGGTTGCTTTTGTTTTGAGTTCATTTGAATCACTTGTGATAAATTATTACCTTATCCATATTAAGTTAATCGGTCAACATTTGACGAATGATACCGAAAATAAGGACTCTTGGTTCATTGAGTTGATTATTCCACTCAAAATTTCATCGTGTCCTGTAAATTTTGAATCATATTATTCAAATAACAATGGCAAGAAAGTTCAAAAAAACACAATTCAAGAATTCATTCATGCTTACTTCGATAATATGAGCTAGTTGCGATAGTAAACGAAGTAACTTATTTTGACCAAATACCACATAAAAATTCTTTATGTATTTTAGTTACAAGACAAAGCGGTCCAGTTCATGGAAATTTAACTTTCCAAGGCGTAAAGGAGTGACTCTCAATACCACAGGTAATAGTGAGGACGTCCAAGCAGATTTACAAGATTTCCGATCCTTATCTAATCGTGTCGATACGATACATGGAATTAACGTAGATGGCTCGCAATCAAATGTTCCATAAGCAACTTAGAACTACACAAATCTAAAGAAAATGATATAACAGGAGCTCAATTTAGATTAAATTTAAACTAATTACAAATAAGTATATATATATCATGTAAATAAATCACAAATGGTTCACGTCAAAACAACAAATAAAAGTCTCATGTATTGTATTGCCAACACAAAAAAACCTTTGTGGGCTGAAATGCTTTTACCTCAAACATTCTTTTTGCTATTTGCGCATTAAGGTAAAGTTTATAGTTGTAACAATTACGCGTTAATATTGAAGTCTAAGATGTTCCAGACTTAATTTACCTATCGAAGTTATTGGATAAGGACAGTGTCTTCACAAGCGACTTAATAAAATATTGTTGTAGCTACTCGTTGTGGTGAGAACAACATAATACTAAAGTATAATGTTATGAATTGGTGGACAAAGCGTTTTGTGTTAGGCTCCTCAATGAAGAAATGATTCTTTTTAAAAGACGATCGCAGAATTTATATTGATACAATGGATGACGTCAATGTTCTCCATGAAATCCATGAAAAGGTTGGACATAAATCAAACGAAGTCAATAAAATGGATATTGAAAAATTCTCATATTTTGACAATACAATAATTGTATATTATGTTTCAGCATTTATGCTAAGTCCAAAAATCAGGAGGAATTTTGTTGCTTGCTATATATGTTATTATAACTATGTAGCCATATGCGTGGGATCTTACAACGTCACAGTTAATATAGTGTAGACGTAAATAGACTGACAACATAGCAAAAGACATGGTTCAAATTCCTTTCAATATTATTGACATGTGTGCATAGTATTTATAATTTCTGAAAAAAATAAGACGATGACGAATGAAGATAAGTGGAGAAACAAATTTTCGTGTATTTGTTTTTTACTTAAACAACAGGAAAAGGTTATAATGTTCTGTGAGATTAAGCAACTTATGAAATAATCATAAATGCACTTTACCAAAAGAATAAACAACATTCTATCGTCAGCATGTCATTTAAAGAAAGAGCTCGTATTTGGCGCGTTGTCAACGCTCCTCAAAACAACCTAAATAAAGAAAAAGGAATTTACTCCGCTCAAATTAAAAAAATTTACTTAAGAGTTTACTAGAATAAAATGTAATTGCCGGCATTTTTGATGCGCTGCGAATTTCGAATAAGTTCTGAAATTTTGAGTGTCAAATTAAAGAACTGTAAAGATGATTTTCTGCATGATATTGTTCGAGTTACTGTCATTTTAAAATTTTTGAATTAAATGAACGAAATCAAAGAAAACAATTAATAATGAGATTGCAGCCAGTTGAAATTCACAAGAAAATTAGTCACTCTTTTTACACAAGGCACGTACATTGATGAAATTAAGAAATATATTTTATTTTTCCTTACTTTACATCATTTTTAGTAAAATAAATTCGGTCTCGTGTCATCTCCTTTAACACCCTTCTCGTAACGTTGCCAAACAACTTGGAATTTTCAAATTACAATAATGGAGGGTCGGACTGGAATAACATATATTTTTGCAAATCGTTAGCGGTGATTACGACAGATAATTTGACATAAATTGAAAATATTGAACGGTTATCGAATGGAATGTAATTAATTTTTGTAAAACTGCTATGACGTGACAAAATTTTTTTCTATAGATAACTATGGAAGTCTGAAACAAACATGTGGGAAGCTATGTTTTAGCAATTGAAAAAGTTCACATGTAATGCACGTGTTATATAAATGAGTATCTTCCGTTCACGCAGATCAATTGGGATAATTTTCTTTGTGCTAAAGCAGGAACCCATAAAATATCGTTTTAAATCGTTTAAAGCAATTTCAAATATTCATTTCATCTTACCGTTCATTGGAAAGAACCGACATTCGCTCACGGGCGCTGTTCTGAAAGGATCACGAAAAACTTAGCTACAGTGCAAGAGGTGGAGCAAAATCTACACAACATGGGAACACTAAGATTGATGAAAAAATCATTAACATCCGCTTTTCTATGTCTCGTTTTCACAAACTTCATGATCGGTAAGTTGTTGTTTTCAGTTTGACATTAAAAGTTGGTGAATCAGTAACCGGTCAAGCTATTGCAGTCATGCAACAAGTCATATACACAAAAATACTATGTGATTTTGCACAAGTTTTCCCAGGTTCGAGTACCATTTAATGAGACTTGACATGTTATGTCAAAAGTAAATTATATCATGAAAGAGCTTTTACAACAGATTATTTGCTTTTTCCTTGGAATGTCCGTTCTGTTGACAAAAAATATCAGATGTTTAAAAATAAAACATCGTGAATGAAGCAGGCTGTAGTGAGAGCTAGAATGGCCAGCATTTAAGCACATACAGCTATATCATCGTCTATATCATGTTGTTCACTATTTTACTGTATAACCTTCAAATAAGTATTTACATCTATTCTTTCGGTACAGAAGTGTTTAGACCGTCAATAAATTAGTCCATGAAATAGGCAGGCTCGTTGAAGCCATTGGCTAACCCGACAGATATATTTTTGTAGGTGCGTGTAAATGAAAAATGTTTGTTTTAATTTGCAAGATGATTAATAGTATTGGCAGTAATTGCACAAATATATGCATGCGCATTGATCATAATATATTATAGAATTACACTCTAAATAAATTTTAGTTTCAATTAATACAAGCTTTTTAACAACTTGAACTTTAAAGTTAACAATTAGAGAAGTCTTTTCGATAAAATGAGCCTTTTCACATATAACATGTTAGGTTTAAAGAGATACACTTATTTTAACGTTTACAAAGGTGTTGTTTAAATAATTGGCATAAATGCAAATAACAGTAGCTGGCAACACGAACTTAAGCTTTTGTTCAAGAATTTGTCATATAAAACAACTTGGTTTCGCAGACAAAATAAAATCTTAACATGTACAAAATGTTTTTGCTTTTTCACACACACCCTTTATATTAGCCTTTCATACCGCCAACTCATCTCAATGTTTTATGATAACTTCATTAGCACGAAAAATTTACAGATCTAAATTACACTATTACCTATATCTTTCATTTCTAATAAACACCAGTTGTAATATACAGTCATTAATTAATACAATAATCCTCACTTCAAGTAAGTACAGTTAAAGTTAAAAATAAAAAATTGTTTGGATTTCAGACATGCAAGCATTTTTATTGCCAATTGAATCAATGAAAGAATGTCTTTGTTACCTTCTTCCAAACAGCTTAACATTCAAATATATAACAGCAAAATATTTGTCGTTAGTTTTTTTCAATTTTAAATCCGTTAACACCAACTTATAATATCTCGACAAACATTCTTAGTAACATTTGCAATCTTTTGGAAAATTTCAAACGTGTTGTCGTTCGAATCAATTTAATCGGCATTCCACTCTACACAAAGACCTTTAGAAATAGACAAAGACATTCATATATATTTATTTATAAATATGTAGTTTCCAAGCAACAAAAACTAAAACATCTTTGTTCATTAAAGGAGAAGTCGAAATTATCAAAAACATTTCGTAACTAAGACGAACGGAAAGTAAAATTATGTCCTTTATTTTAAACTGCGGCAAGCCTCCGTATCGAGAATTTTCGTTTGCGTTTTGCTGTACTTAATACTGTATACATTTGGGCCAAAAATAACCTGTTAAGTGACACAATGTTTATGCTTTGTATACAATACTTTTTTCGACGATATGACATTTTCACTTAAAATTTATATAAAGAAATACAACGAATGTCCTGTCAACTCAATGATATTGACGTAAATGAAAATTTTTAATGATGCAAACAAACATGTTAAGTGCTGTGAAAAAGCCGGGCAATTACTAAGTAATGAAATTTTGTGACTGTATATTTACGAAAAGTAAAGCGATTATACGCAACCAAGTCGTGGGAAAACATCCTTTGATCGAAGAGTTGAAAGAGTTCGTTGAAACACAATCCAATACTGTGATGCAACGCTAAGTACACCAAGTCCAATTAACAGCCCACTTCGTTGGACTTTGGTCGTCTCACGTTCTAAATGGGCAATTTGAATCTTGAATTAACTCAATCATGAAATGATTCCGCTTCGCTATTTATGGCCAAATAAATATTTAACATTTTAGTTAAAATAAGTCAACACCTTTTAGTCAAAATAATGAAAGTTGCCGTTACATGCAGCCTGAAATAACAAGCCTTCACTGAATACGTCTTGCTTTCCTGAATTGATGTGAGGAAATTTTTTGAACCATGGTTTGTTATTTAAATTAGATGCCTGCTATGTCGATTCAACTCTGTTTACATTAAGTACCCTCTGCCGCATTATAGTGATAAAATTTTAAACGAACGTTGCTTATTTAAAAAAGCAGAAAATAATTCATAAGCAAAAGTTATGATATAAGTTAATTAATTCCGATACAAATTAATACTATTAATATGCTGAAATATTAATTATTGTATTTTATTATAGAGGTATCAGGCAATATATCTTCACAACGCTTCAATTCAGGTATGAGCACTGGAGTTAAATTGTGAGTAATGTAGTATTACATTATAATGATGAACTTTGGTAGGCACATACATTTGAGTTGACTCAAAAGGCGGAGGTCGAGGACGAAAATGAGTTTTCAAATTACCATTCGAAAGTCGAGGTGTTTTGGGGGAGTTATAACATCACGAAAAACGTAGGATGCAATTGACAAATGAATTCGCCAGTGAAAAAGATTAGAAATATCTTATTTTTATTTCAAACGATTCAACGGAACAAGCGTTATTAATTTTTATGATTTATAAAACTTCAACTCAATTGCACTTAAATTTATTTATAGCCAAAAAATCTTAATAGAATTTACAGAATTTCTATATATACCACTTGAACTGGAGCTTTCTCCTTCTCAATAAATAATATTACCATTTACGAAGCATTTTCTATACAAATCGTGTTGTTGTATAAAGTTAACGACACTTTAAAAGGTTTTGTCTTAAATATGTTCTGTAAATCCTTGGAACATAACTATCAACAGACACCTTCCAAACCACATAAATAAGTGATGTAGCCACATTGACTTGTGTCTCTAGTGGCGAAGCCAGCCGGCAAGTTTTGTTAGGCAAAGTAAATATTTTGGTGTTCACTTATTGTATAAACAATCGATTTTTGAATAAATAAATATCCGAAGCATTATATCATAAGAATGGCATTGCACTTTTTCCGTCGCCATTTTTTGTAAAGCAAAGCTTTATCAACTTAATTGGTTGGTATATCGATCAAAAAATGACGATTTTTAAAAGAAAGTATCGCAATCGGATTTTAAACACAGGACTTCTGGTCACTCAAGGAATTTTTACCACAATATCCCTTACTTTCGTATTCAATTATTGCATATCTGAAGATTGATGTACTTATTTATTCTTAGCTTATTCTCGTTTTTACTTAAACCATATCCCTTTCATTGGTCTATGCATTCTTCTTCGGCATTCGTATTTCATTTACTATCTTAAGCAACTTCTTCATCCGCCCTTCTATAAATCTAATTGTTTAAAACTTATCTTTTCTTTTCAACCTAATTGTCAGGTTACCGAATTCCTGAAATAGCAGCTCGAACACATTGGCACAAACACTGGTTCAGACAGTTCCCAGTTTAACTTTTTTATTATGTTGTTGATATTAGTCTTCACACTCACCGTCTTTGTATTTTTATGAAAAAACTGAGATTTTCGTACAAGCACTTGAGATTGCTAAGATATCTATACTGTAAACCTTAGTTTAGCAACTGTGATATGAATTTAAACTTTTTTGTTTGAAACCACAAGAGGCTGTACATGCCCATCCACTGTTTCAACGAAAATTGTTCCATATTCTCTTCACAGTATTTTTAATTTTCTGTTTCCCATTTGAAACATTTCCCATGACACTAGAAAGTTAATTAGGGGGGGGGGGAATATTCATATATTCAGCTCTGCCCTGCTGATTTCTTTTGAAATTAAAATCGCCAACAAAAGAAATCAGCTGGGCAGAACTGAATATATATTTACCTCGTCCCCCAGTTAGCGTTTTTAGTTTTGTTCCTAAGCGCAAATGTTGATACTAAGTAGTTCTCATCATCGTCACTTGTACAATAGTAACTAAAAGATAGCTGCATATTCCCGAATAAGCCTTAAAACTGGAAGAGATTTCTAGCAATAGCTTGAGAATGTTTGAAAGAAAATAAAACAGAAATACGATATCCATTTTTCTCTTTTGCCTATGAACGTTTTATTCATTCATCTACGTATGTTTTTGTGATGCCAAACACCTTCATGCATTATATAATTCATTTGAGTCATTTTTTGATGCTTTTTAGCCTTTGATACAGCTGAACAAATAAAAATAGAATTTCAATATGAAGGGAATAGTCCAACTACACAAAGAGCAAACTGTTTTGAAGTATCATTTCCAGAAACCAGATTTAATTTCAAAGGGCGATTTTATTCAAGCGTATATGTGAGTATTTTGAACTGCTTTTAAACAGAAAATGAAATCGTTGCATGCATTGGTATCAAAGTGTTATAAGAGTTTTTAAATGTCTCTGACTCGTATTGAATATATTTAGATGCAGATATTTCGATCGTGTTCGCACGATGACAAAATTCATTTATTTTCATTCACTTACTACTAGATTTGCGCCAATGGAATGGTGAGATTTGATGGCCCCGAATACGCTGCCAATCCTATAAACTTTGGAATTTTCAGTAGTCTACCAATTATTGCACCTTATTGGTCACAAGTTGACTTGCGTTTTCTCAACAATAGCAATTCGAACGTCACTTACAGACTATATCAAAATAGTAATGAAAACACGGCTGTGTTTGATACGATAAATACTGTGGTAGAGACGAATACGGAAATTAAAAACTACAGTGCTAATTGGGTGCTGGTTGTGACTTGGGTGTGTCTTGCACCAAGGCAACCTGTGGACAATAACTTTCCTGAGGTAAGGTGAAACAAATGAATTTATACGATTAATTCATTTACGCTTATACGTATACAATCAGGTAGATTTAAAAATTTACATCATTTACCGCAGAGTTAATTTTCAAACACGACTAGATCACAAATGGTTAAGTGTTCAAGCAATTTAACCTATCTTGCAAATTTCGGATTTCCGAAAAAGTGTAAAGTCCGCTAAATATCGTGGGGAGTACTCGCAAAACAATTTTCCATTACAAAAGTAATGCAAACATACATCCATTAGCGGATCCAAGGTTCAGAGAAATAAATTATATGTGAACAACTCAATCTTGAATACATTTCAATATGATATACTAAAATAGTAGAATCAATACTACTTTAAAATTTATAACAAAAGTATCATTTTCAAAGTGTTTTCAATTTATGACTGAGTTTGCAATATCTATTTTTCCTGAAGCTTGATTCGTCATTGCTCTCTGAACTTCAAAAACATATCAAGGAACTTAGCCCCACACCTCAAAAATGAACTTATATTTCTTATTTCCATATTACCTTTCACGGTTATACTGCAACTTTATTCAATGTACATTTTTCATTGCTTTGGTGTAAATCTGTTTCACAAAAGTCATCCATTTGAATTTGTCATTGTTTTAAATTTACAGCGAAATACCTTTCAACTTCTGCTGGCAGACGATCTCTTCAACGGAGCTTTTACTTTGTTCATTTACGAATCTATTACATGGTCATTTGGTGTGAACAGGTACACAAGTCAATCTACAAATTGTTTTATAAACCGGATTAAAGCATACACATACAATTCAAATCGTAACAAAGAAAAGACGTTTGGTAAATAGAGGCCGCTGAAACGCCCTCTTTAACAACTTGTGCCTAAAAGGAGGGCTCACAGATATGAATAATTTAGCTTTTGTGTAAGATTGATATAAACTTTGAATACGCTGATATAAACCAGTATGAACAGAAAAAAAGATACGAAAAACACCTATTGTCTACATGCAGCCTTTGGAAAAGATATTCAAGCAAAAGACATGTCCAGTCGCTCGATTTGAAATTCAAATTGGTCTGTTTTAAAGTGTCCTTAATACCAAATTCGGGCGTCAGATAGTTAACTTTTGACTTCATCAAACAAAAAAAACAACTTTCGAATACTTCAACTTTAGGTTTTTTGTTGGCTAGCATCAGTCATAAAAATGATGTGATAGGAAATTAGAGCAAAAGTCAAAAGTGACGTCACGCTTGTGAGAAGCCTTTGGCGCGTTTCATCAAATCACACGGCTAAATGTGCTCTATCTGATCCTTCAAACTCATTGTTTGTGTCAGGGGCACTTACGGCACTAAAATTACAATATGGCTGATACAAGTTTCAGCCCAATTATTCGTTGATAACGCACAGAAAATTAAAGCTCACAAATCGGTGTCCTTACGACAACATTCGTACACTAAAAAAAAAGTGGAAAAAAAACATAAACGCGTCGCTGCTTTTTTTGAGAATTTCTGAATCAAGCTTTTTTAATTTGACAAAAATCAAATCCTGTTTACATTGTGTTCAATGGCGTGGATATGACACGAAATCACTTGAACACATGTGTATTAACTGTACAAACTGATTGAAAGATTTGTTTTTAGAAATGAATACACGAATTTTAGAGACGCTTCTGATCTGCCAGTCATAGGCTTTGATTCTGGACGTAGAGATATCACACCGAGGTTTCAAATTTATGAAACGTAAGTTAATTGCTTCGCCTTGTATTTCTTAAATAGTGCATAGACTGAATTGATGTACAATTCAACCTGGCGAAAAAGACAAGTAAATCTCTCCATCTAAAATTTCCCTTAACTGTGTGAGCTTAATGGATGGTGTCGTAATTACTAATTTTTGAAATAATGATGTATCTTTCTCAGGTCTGGCACCATTAATGCTGACAGAGTGGGAGATGAAATGACAATTTTGTATGACCTAAGATCACCATTTCCAAGATCCAATGCAGAAGAGTGCCAAATTTGGGTGAATCAACAGCTCATAAGTCCAACAAGGCGATCATCGTGCAGAAACAATTGCGCACAAGATCTTCAAACAGCCTACCTGAATCTCACCGGAGTTTTTTTTACCCTATTTCGAAGGGTTAAAGGAAGTGGACCAACACCAAACTTTTGCATATATAGTGGAACTACTTTGGATGGAGCAGATGAATGTTGCTACCAGTACACAGGACAGCTTGAAAGTTATCCGCAATCTTTTAATTCTACTGCCGTTAATTCGTTTAGTTCATTTACTATCAGTGAAAGTTCTGCATTAGGCGCAGCCCCAGGTCGATGGCATGAAGTCCATCCGCGAGAAAATTTCACTAAATATTTACAGGAAGAACAACGCTACAATCAATGTTGCGTCGATGCCGGCAGCACTCAAGAATCGTGTGACCAGTTTTACAGAGTTCGACCAATTTGCATTGGGGTGAGCTTTGAGTTTGTCAGCACATGGGGTAAGCTCTATTCTGGATTACGGTTTGCAATCAAATCGAATGGAAGCAAATTGAAAGGAATTGAATCAATTTAGTTGCAACTAATTAGGGCGGACCGTGCGGTGAAATGATTAACAAGTATATCTCGCTACTTGTTATCTCCAAACCGAAGTCTTAATTCATACCACGATAAAAATATATATGTAGCTATGTCAATGATTTAGAACCCAATCTTCTAGATGTCTAACTACCGCGTCAAGGTGAGGCAAGGACGTCATCTTTATAAGTGGCAAAAAGCAAAACTTAAAATCAAAAATAAGAAAAAGTTAAAAGAAAACTAATTCTATCAAACAATCTCTATTAAAAATCAAGCCTAGACAGTCAACTTTGCAACTGTAACTATATCGACTGAGGAAAAGCAGATATTAGTCGTAAACATATAGTCAGTTTTGCCACCTTTCAAGATAGCAGCTTGAGGCACCTGTAACTACAAAATTTCGGTGGAGTCAGGTTTATAGTAGATTGGGTTATAGGTAACTGAGCTCTTCTTGATGTAAAATTTTACCAACAATAGCAAGACAACGTATCATCAAAAATTCGATCAACGATAAAAGTTAAAACTTGCACTATGAAGTGGTAGGTAGAGACGCAAGTATTATAAAACAGCGAAATGGATAGTTTTAGATAGCCAATTTAGCCTATTCAACAACGAGCTTTGGACAATTTAACTGCAGAAACATTGAATGCAAGATTTTAGAAAGTTTTAAGCATGAGACAAAACGTTAAGAGACATAGATTCTCCTCCTCTTAATTTCTGTAGCAAAATGAAAAATAAATTGTTGCTATGGCTTTCAGCATCATCACACGCATCTTGCACAGTATTCTTGACGTCTTTCATCGTATTGAAGCTTTTCAATTATTTTAAACAGAGCCACACCAACGTTAGAGAAGTTCTAAACAATTTATTCCAATCTCTGCGATATAGAAACTATAGCGATATAGCATTGATAATAATCATAATATAGTATCGTGATTTTTTATTCCGTGTTTCTTATACGTTTGATTTTTTAGCCAATAACTTCGGTGATCCCCATTTTGTGACATTGGATCGTAAGAACTACACATTTAATGGTTGTGGATGGTACACGTACTTCATAGGACAAATTCCAGGTGAGAGATAATGCCGCAAATTTTTTGTTTATTGTTTGATTTGGCTTGCGAAAATTTAACTATTCCCATTTATGGTAAAATACATCAACATGAACAAGGAACCTCAAACATAAAACATAAACATGAAAAATGACTGTTCGTCAAGTGTCGCAAAGCTGTACATAGTTTCCAGTTTTGAGAATGAACAACAAATTTGCGATGCCAAATCGAATGTTTTCGTGAAAAACATTTCTCAGTTTTTATTGACATATATTATCAACACATAAAACTTTCCATTCATCCTGAAGATACTTAAGTAGTGGCTATGCAGCGCTTACGAAAAGATTTATCACCAGTTTACTTAGTTGCATTTATACTACGCAGAGCAAGTATATTAATGCAAAAAGTGCATTTTGGACAAAGTTCACATGATGGATTATACTTTGGAAATGCTTTTAAAACAGGCAACGATGCAAGCTCTCTTGAAGTACAAGTTCGAACAACAAGAGTCGGCAACGCCAACGCAACTGGTTTCACTGCATTTGCAATAAAAGAAGGAAATTCACAAGTCATTCAAGTAAATCTAAACACCACAACAAGTAAGTGTCTTAGAAATATTTTGCTAGTTTAAGATAAATTTCCAATTTTAAAACAACAATAGGTGCGCTGGACTAAGAATAACAGTCGAAAAATTGTTATGCAGACAAAAATATAGCTTTACTTCATTTTGAATGAAGTATAATATTGTGTGTTCAGTTAATAAAACAATACTAGTCACTTTCTTTAACATGCGAGACGTTAACGTCATTGCACATCTCATTCACAATAAAATCTAACTCCTTAGCATGCAACATTGTATGAAAAAGGAGCGTTGCCTCTAGAAGCCAAATCGAGTTGTTTGCACAACAAAGATTTTTTAGGTAAAAATTTTATAATGCAAAGAGAAACTCAAATATCGAGGAAACTCTTTTATCAGCTGGGAAGAAATAGAATCTTATTTAGTGCACTTTGAATGTTTGCAATGAAATGCTGCAAAAAAATCAAGTTTCTCTTATTGTGATATAAATCGAATCACTTTATTACGAGATAGATTAGCAACTCCTATATAGTAGCAAGTAAACTAAAATAGTAACAAAAGAAATGCTCGTTCTTCGTAGGGAAGAATAAAAATAAAATAATGGGAAGAAGCTCACATAATACGGTGTTAATTCATTTAGAAGGACTTGATGTCCGCGTTGGTGGCATGCTAATTCCTCCTCCCGGAGAGAATGGGATAATCAGAAATGGCACGGCAATAACATTTGCTGATAATTTGCTTCAAATTTCGACACCGCTTGGAAATGGAGCACGAGTCAATGTAGTGAACGGTTCCTTCTTCACATTAGTCATGCTATTTCTAGATGGTTATAGAAACAATTCGTTTGGTTTATCGGGAAGATGGAATGGTAATATGACTGACGACTTTACACACAGCGATAGAAAAACAATAACACCAATAGACGCCGATGAGCGAGCAATATTTCATTATTTTGGTGAAAGTTGTAAGTATCGAAAGTCATAGCTACTAATGAAAGAGCAAAACCAAATGAAATTTTGCAAATTAGCACAACAATCTGAATTAAAAGAGTATTTTAGTAAAAAAGCAAGACAATAGACACTCTGTATGAAATAAACATTATTTAAAGTAAACATTATTTTATTCACATTTTCTAATGATGATGACATGTAACACTTGTCGAAACTTTTAAATTAAATAATGTTATTTTAAACGGAGTGCCTATATTGTCTTGTGTTTTACTAAAATCTGAGTTCAATCATTAATTTTTGATAATAGCATGAAGCAGATGACAGTTTAGGTCATCAACCATGTCAAGGAAGTAACACTGCATTTTAATACCTTATAGGGAAAGTAAACGAAACGAACGGACAAGGAATTTATATGAACGTAGATGAAGGCATTAATACTTTCAGTTGTCAAAATTTCACTCCCGCATTTTTCGACGAACTTGAGAACAACAATACCAATTTTACAATGGAAGCTCGTGAAGCATGTGGAAGTAATACATTTTGTCTGTTTGACGCCCTCGCTACACAAAACATAGCTATTGGTCAATCGACACGAGACGAACAGCGATTAACGGACAATGTAATTGCACAAGTTGGTAAGTTGAATTAATTTCTAACCCCATAAATTATACAGAAAATTGTAAATCATTATTCGTGAACCCAAAACGTTTTAAATAGACGTAAACAGTTTCAAATTAAGTCGATTGCGCTTTTTGCTGAAATTCTTATTAGTTATTCAATACAATTACGAACAAATCTTTACTAGTGTCACGTGAGGCAAACAGATAACGCTATTTGGTCTTTTTACAGGTGCAATTTCAATCACTATCTTTATTTTTTAAGAAAATATACCTCCTGAGTTCACAACAAACACTTCCTTGATTACTGCAAATCTAAATGAGACATTAACAGTGACGCTAGAAGCACAAGATATGGATGCAAATGACATATTAACTTTCGACGTTCCTAATCTTCCATCGGTATCTAGCTTCAACGTCAGTGGAAATACTTTAACTTTCACATGGACGGCCAACTCTACAGCAGTGGTATGCGCGTGTATAGTTTATAATTTTGACCGGGTTTTTTTATTTACGTTGGAGTGAACGATAAAGCATGACGATGCACAGAAAAATGTAACATGCATATACAGCGAAGTAAAAGAAGCGAAAATTTCTTTCTACACATATATCGATTATCAACTCTGAGTTGGTCATAAATTACCCATACCACAGCTCGTTTCGTTATTTAACGAGCGTCTTTCGAAATCATGTCGACGTACAAAGCTTTAAAAATGGTTTTCAATTTAAATTTGTAAGTTTTTCGAGTGAGTTTTTTTGACGTACTCCATTCATTCCTTTGTATTTTTTTATACAGGTTGATCTAAAGTTTGTAGTGAGCGACAGCAGAAATAGAACAGCGGTATTAACTCCTAGAGTTCAAATATGCGCATGCCGAGATAAAAGCACGTGCGTCGTTCCGGAAGGGCGGAAATGCTACCTTCGTAGTCATGTCGTGCAATTGCAACTTAGGCTACACCGGTCGGTTTTGCAATGAAGTGGTAGATTTTTGCAACGAAGGAGCCTCCCGACCCTGCAGTCCATTGGTAACGTGCACTAGCATGCCAACTCAAGCCGAATGTGGACCGTGTCCAACGGGATATTCCGGGAATGGAGTATTTTGTTTAGGTAGGAAACTTGTTCACACACGTGTTTCATTTAACCACAGTATTGCATAGCTGGCATATCGTGTGCTTGTTCAGTCCAAATTTTCATTGAACAAAACAGCCTTCGCAAAACAGCCTGCGGATAGTCGAAAAGATTTCTCTAAACAAAAAAATATTATCCACGCACCATTCCACGCTTGGATGTTATTGAAAAATAAATGATGTCCTCTCCATGAAAAGGTTGTGAACATGCTGAAGCTATCACCAATGTTTTTCAATTAAAATACAATGCATACATGTAAACAAAAAATTAGTAGCCAGAGTAAGCGGCTAACAAGTGCCTGGTTGAATAAACAATAGGATTTTTCGCTACGACCAAACATTGCTATGACCCAACTAATTTTCTTCTTTTCGTCGATATAGATATAGATGAGTGCGCAAGAAATACATCGGGCTGCGAGCAAATATGTACAAATAATTTGGCGTCCTTCTCGTGTGGATGTTCTCCAGGATTCACAATTAGTGCAAACGGAAGAACTTGTATAGGTAGGTAATGTATATGTGTTCACATATGCAAACTATATACCTACTTCATTCAAAAGCCATGGTTATTCTTAGAAAAGAATCGAGCAAGAAACTATCTAAGATTCATACCACAAATTACCAATGTAATATTATGACTCTCTCGATTTAAAATTATTGTAATTTTATTTAACGAAATTATTTTTCCAACGGCAACGTCAGATTGTAAAAATATGAAAAGCTACTTCGTGAACCGCATTTATGATTTGACGTGTCGTATGGCCGTATTCAATAAATTACATCTTAAAAGCTTAGAAGCAGTCTTAATCGTAAGGTTTGGGTTTTTTTAGACATAGATGAATGCTTGCGACCAAACAATTGCAGTCAAGTGTGCGAAAACACCGTAGGCTCATTCAGTTGTAATTGTAGACAGGGATTTGAACTTGAAGCTGATGGTGAACAGTGTAGAGGTAAAGTGTCCATGTAATATTTTTAATGTACGTACGTATAAATCATTTAAGTGTGTGCTACATTAAAATTTTATGTTTCCAGAGCATGTTATGCTACAGTTACTGTATTAAAGCAAATGGTTTGACCCGGAGACAAAGAGATGTTTAGATATTGTCCCGAGAAGGACTGTTTTTGTTGTTGTCGAAACGTCAGTTAATAACAACAACAAAAAAAGTCCTTCTCAGGACTATACCAACCTGGACGATCTACATCTACAAACATGTAGTTACTGTATTCTTAGGCACAGTTATTTTACATGCAACATCAAGTTAAACTTACAATACCGTATGCAAAGAAAAATGTTTTACTTCCAAAGAGGAAAGAAACAAACGAAAATTTTATGTCCACACATTCGAATGAGTCTGAAGCCAACAGAATGACGGAATGACCCACACAAAGATTATTGAATATGTACCGCAAGATTGTATTTTTTAGAATCCAGTTGTTATTTATCAAAAAATCTGTCAAAAGCATCGTTTTCCAATTTTTGTGTCTTTTAGTACGCACAAATTGTTCACAAAACGGAAATTGCGCTCAAATTTGTTTTGTTGACGACAATGGAAATGACACGTGTGCTTGCGCTAAAGGATATGCTCTTGGAAGTGACGGAAGGTCATGCAATGGTTAGTATGAAAAGAAAGGCCGCAAGATGCATGTTCTAATTCCTCGGCTTTCGAAAAAGAGAAAACCTAGTAATGATTAAGACGAGTTCTTCAATGAACAATGATAGCTGCAAGCATCATCCTTGGAACATGAATATTATAGAGTCCACTTCCTATGATTTCAAGCTTCTACGAATATATAATAAAAGCTGATAAAATCGTGCATTATCTTTCGGGGATTCTTCGAAAGATTTTCAGAAGCCTAAAAACTATCAAAAAAGATTAATGCTGCCTTAGATACCTTCCGAGCATCTCAAGAAAATACCATAAAATATTAAATCATAATATCGCTGTATGTTTTCAGACATCAATGAGTGTGAAAATGTAGGTACCTGTTCTCAACAATGTATGAATACAGATGGGAGTTTCATGTGTGGATGCTTTCCCGGATATACCTTGGCGAGCGACATGTTTAGTTGCGAAGGTTTGTGCACTTAGGTCGCAAGAAAATATTCACGTCATTTACACTTTTAATTGGGTATCGACAATGGCGCATTGTTTATTTGTTTGCTTTTTGTTTACAAAGAATTATTTACGCAACAATAGGGTGAATAAAAAACAGAATGCTCTAACATAGTTTTATGAATGTTTCCATTAAATAATAATTTTCTTTCTGTTTGGCGAGCAAGGACATATGCGCGGCTGCGCAGAGGAATGTTTCCTTGAAAATAGTCAAAACGTGGTAACATCTTGCAATTTATTAAAGTTTTGCACAGTCACTGTCTTAAATATCATGTATTTTTGATCGATGAATATTTCGCTTTACTAAATAAAAACAATACGTAAAGGCTTTATTCAAAATTTGTTGTAAAATACTACTTTTCCTAAAACGTGTCTAAGCCATTAAAAGCACGCTATTCTACAGGAAGTGACGTTTGCCTAAATTAATGCAGCTATAATAATTTCAATAAGAGTGGAGCACTGCAAAGCAGATTCTAATTTTTACTATTGGTGTGGTTTTTTGCAGACATTGACGAATGCAGCGATCTTACCAGACAAACGTGCAATATAACTAATGGAGAAGATTGTATTAATATTCCTGGAAGTTTTACATGCAGATGTGCAGCCAGACTAAACTTGATTCGGGTGAACAACATTTGCGTTTGTGAGTATAAAAAATTACTTGTGTACAAAAAACAACCAATAAGTCTTAAGGAATTCTTATGAAAATGGTAATAAAATTATTATACGCAGATAACAATGGTAGTATTCTTCTTCCTTGCTCCGACTGCGCCAACTGCAACTAACGACCAAATGCAAAATGCAGTCGAAATAACGCTCCTCGATGTATCAAGGGTAAGAGATTCACAAATGTATTGATGAAATTTCACTATTTATCCTAGAGGCCACTGCTTACAGGGTACATCAAAACAGAATATCTTTCATAATTGGACGTTTTGTGATCATTTTAATGCATCTCACCTTGCAAATCCCACGTGTGCATAAAGTATTATAAACTACGTACATAGCTATAAGACTTCATTTGTCACAAGCACAACAGTTTTCGGCTCCTGGAATTTGATGTGAATTCTAACAGCAAAACATGCACAGGAATACACTTGTGGAATTATAGAACAGTCATCAGAAATTGAAATTTCAAAATAGATTAATTACAAAAGTTATTCTTGTTTTGACACACACCCTGCACCCACTTTCAAACGTACTATGAAATTTCGTCCTTTTCAAAAACCAATCATGTTTATATGCTCATTATTTTTAAGTACACTGCGGAAGTGGACTCCCGACTGAAGGATTCAGTTGCTACAATTCTAAATGATTTTTGCAAATTAAATCAACGTCCAAGAATTTGTGGAGTTTCTGGGTAAGTTTTTTCTTCAAAACTTACAAGCTAGCTAAATTCTCAGTTTGAGGTTTCTTAAAACGTTTGATTAGACATGTATTTACCTCTCACAAAAAAAGAATGCATATCTTAGAAATAGAGAACATTTTTTCGGTTTTTATAGACTTAGCTATAGACATGGACATGTTCTTCCCAAACATTCACAGTTTCTTCAACTCTATAGGAACAAGGAAGATGTTTTCTATTTCCTCTATAAAATAGCCTTTTAAAAACAATTATAGAAAAATAAATATATTAATTTTTATTATTACATATTGTTTGTATTCTTGCCATTCAAATTTCTCGCGACGCAACCTGCGATAAAATTCCTGATTTTAGTCAATAATAGAAACACGCGTTTTTTCAAAAGATATTTTATAAAAGTCGTTTAGCATGGAAAATTCAACAAAACTACATAACATCAAGTTTCTTTATGTAGTTCGTTCACCTTATGCAAGTGAGAAGACTTCCTGGCTTCCCATCGATGCAAGGAAACAACGTTACACTAAGGTTTTATGTTGATTATCCAAGCACCCTTCGAAATGGCACATTGGAGCAAGACATATTAGCTTCTATACTGTTCAGAATTAAATAAATTAAAATCTTTACTGATGTTCAACATAACCTTAAACACACCAAGTTCTTTCAATCCATCCCTCCATCTGCGGAACAGCTCGCCAACAGCGTTCTGTTGAGTTTACTAAACACCCGAGTCAGGTATGTTTCAAACCATGGTTAAAAACTTTTCTTATGTTATTATAATAAAGTTTTCATTATCCAAGCTCAAAAGATGATAAATTGCACACTTTGCATTTTTATGGATGCTGTTGCCTAAACTAACACATCTTTTTAATGAAATTCGTCAATGCATAGACGTGCATGAAAGTTAAAAATGAAGTAAACAATACAATTAAAAATTGTATAATTGTGTTTCAGATTACCATTTTCCAAGAAAGATATTTACGACTTGCTATGGCTATTACGATCAATGAATACTGCGCTGTGGACAACTACAGACGTACGGAGGACTGTGGTTTGACTGACAGGTAAAACGCTAACAGTCATGAACTTTTAAAAGTTTAACAAATCTACATCAATTCTCATGGAAAAGTAAGAATTCTTACGACTCTAGGTCTGGACATTTTGCGTACAGTGTAGCTTTAAGCTATTTTTAATACAAAATGGTGGTTTATGTTGAAGCGAAGAATGCGTCTGTGCTGATTCATGTTGATAATTAACGTATAGTTACATAGTGCACAATGTACAAATTTTGTTACATATATATGAGTAAAACAAATTAATTTAAAATATATTTTTGTTTATAGTGGTGTAAGTTTCAGTATGAGTAACGTTAATATTGCGTCAACGACCTATGGGCAATATGCGAACATCTCATTTTATGTGAACAACCCGAGGAACCAGGGATTTCTGTCTGCTCTTACTCTTGCTTCGATATTGGTCATGCGTGAAACAAATTTTGAGTTACTTCTCGAACAACAAATTACAATCCAAACATCATTCGCTCCAATGAATCCGCCAACTGCTAGCGACGATCAAATAATTAACAGTATAATCATAGAAATAACCTTCAATTTAAATCAGGTAAATCGACAGTACAGACACGAACGTTATATATGCGCTCAAAAAATTTCTTTATCTTTTGTTTTAATATCTTTCAGTGGAACTTTTTAATAGACAGACGCTTGAGATCAGCAGCAATTGCACCCCGAGTTTCGGCGTATTGCAGGTTGAATTCCGTCACCTGTGATCTACGCAACCGGTAATTATGCGCATGTCATTCTGTGACAACAAATTATAGTTTTATTTGCAATTATTCAGAACACAAAATATTCCATACAGCTATAATATATTTTATAAAAACCTAACACATCCTACCAAATTAAACTGGACGTACAACTCAAGCTAATCTGTCAACATTCCAGTAGAAATTAAAGGAAACGTAACACTGACTCCTAGCAGAGAGGTGGCAATCATTTTTCCCTTGAAACATTTACCAAAGCAAAATAGCTGTAAAATACAAAGTCCCGATGAATTTGGACGAAACATGAAATGAGTGCTATGTATTGTACGTATAGTTGTAATTATAAAACATACAATTGAAAGCAGTTTCTTAATTCTTGCAGGGCGTCGACATTTAGCGTAGACAACGTACAACGTACTTCAGCTGCAACACCTTCAGCAGCTATGAGCACCAATCAAATTTACTACAGATTTTATGTTAAATATCCTCAGACAAATACTTCTATCCCACAAAATATTCTAGCCACCATTGTCACCGCTGAGGAGCTTGTAGTGGAGTCTCTTTCAAGACTATCGTTCAGTCTCCAAACGCCACCTGACACTGTACAAATTAGAGTTTTCAATCTACAAATTAATCAGGTAAAAATAGACAACTATAAATTTTCGTGTACCTTTTTTTCTGTGTTTGGGAACTTTCGGTGACGTTCGCTAAAGTCCGACAAATCACAAGTCAGTGATGTCTTTTGGAACAATTCAAGAATTTAATTTATCATCGTGATTTGACTATAAATGTTAAGATAAATGCTAAGTTGACTACCGTGCGCACTTAAATTTTCCAAAACAGTTATCGTCAAAATTTTACGAACTGTTTCACTTTTAGTTTGATACAAGCTTATTTCGCACTAACTTGGCCAGAGCTGCCGAGGAATTTTGTGGTGTAAGAGAGTCGTTATGCAACTTCAGTAGGTAAGTTATCATTTTATTATGTTTTTTTTCGCTATATTTTTAACAAACTGCCAACGTTTATAGTAGGAAGACTTCGTACGTACATTGCTTTTAAGTCTTAACTATTCACATGATCAATGACCTGAAGGTCTGAAGCAAAAGAGAACCATTGCAGGGATGCTTATAAAAAAGCATTGATGTTTTTAACCGTCTTTACTGCGCACGCACGCATGTGCACTTTCCTGTGTACCATGCCAAATCCATTGATATTTTGCTAAAAAATCAACAATATATCGTTTTTTTTATTGCAAAACTTGCCGAGTTGCTTGTTATATAACATTTGTCAGTCGAAGCACTTGAAAGGACTTCGCGACCGTTTTGTTATAGGAGTTTTCATATCGACGTATTATGGATAAATATCGACATAGGCGCATATGCTCAATTTATGTTTAGTTCTTTTCATTCATTACACTGTTGGTGATTTCGCAACTATATATACACTTAATCACATTAACTGATCGGGCTGATGAACGATTCCCGAAAACGAGCCAATCTGTTAACTCTTTGACATAACTTTTTAGCTCCAGCGCCATTGTCAGCAGTGCCATCAACATCAGTCCCGACAATGTCACGATATTGCCTAGATCACCTTCAACAATTGGTGATGGTCTACTTCTGTCATTCACTTTACAAAAACCAGATGGTTCAGCATTGTCACCTGTTATTCTAAGAACAGCTATAAGAACATCAAGAACACAAGTCATATCTCAAAATAACTCCATCATAACTCCGCCGTTTGTTAATCCTCCATTGTCGGATGACCAACGATTAAACCTTGTGCGACTTAACATTAACGCTTCAGATACATCTATCGACAGAGAGGTAATGAAATTCAAAGCAATTTGTAATTTATCATACCATACATCAATTAATGACAATCCTTGTCTTCTTAGAGAAATCATCTTATTGTTAAAGGAGTTGCTTTCATCTTTGTGCAAGATTTTTAATCAGTTTTTATCTTGATTTAGATTTTTGACTTAATTTCAGGCATTTCGACTGGATGTTCAATATTCGATAGCGCTGAGAATGAATGAATTCTGTCGGAATAATACCAACTCTAGCTTATGTTCTTCAAACCAGTAAGTGTGATACATGGCCGCACAAAGGAAATATCACGCATGTTTGTTATATATGCCAGCGTCACCTCGGAATGTGTTATTAACCGGACGAGACGATTTCAAACAATCCATTTTTTAATTTTTTTATTTTACTGACGAAAACTAGAGAAGTGAACGCTAACTCTTGCAAAACAGCGAGTACGAAGGAAAGCTTGGTTTTCAAATAATTCAAATGATGCCATACAATACCCAATACACAATTTATTTTTTAATTTTTTTATTTACTGACGAAAACTAGAGAAGTGAACGCTAACCCTTGCAAAACAGCGAGTACGAAGGAAAGCTTGGTTTTCAAATAATTCAAATGATGCCATACAATACCCATGAAATAGAAACTTACAACGCAGATAAAGACATATGTTGTATCGAAGCTGTCGTTACCTTATTGTCGGCATTGCTATTTGCCCTCGACAAATAAAAAAATATCGACAATATCCCATAAGTTACAATGACATGCATTTTATATTTAATACTAACTGACAAATTATATTTACAGATTTACCATAAACGATGTGATTGTTCAAATCGAAACGAATGGAAGTGTAAGCTTTGCTGTTTTGTTACCCAGCACAAACACGCCACTTAATTCCAATGAAGTTCAAAGCGTGACAAATGGAACATTAATGTCTAGTATTTTTAATGTCAGCTTAAATATGCTTAACAATGACAATAATGTTATGACAACAATGCCACCCGATGAGGATGACGATCCTGATTTTGCATTGATATTGGGTCTATCGATTGGTGGATTGGTCTTGCTCATCTTCGTGGTGGTTGCTGTTGTGTGGTAAGTATAATTTTATTTATGTGTAAATGTACATAAAATAACAAACTATTACAATTTTCAATAGTTTCACTGTACTGTATTTCATACATTAACGATCAACAGACTTGCTTAAGATATGTTTGTAGTAGCCAAGCTACATCCATTGGAAAAAATTTCTTGGGAAAACCGCTTATTTACACGACAAGGTCTGAATGTACTTATTTTATTTCAGTTTAAAGGCACGAAATTCCAATGCATCGAAATTTCCAGTAGCCACTGATGGAGGCGGCAGCTGGCAATTTGATCGAGACGCACCTTATACGGGATCAGCGTTTGCCGGAGCTGAGCGCATACCTGGATTTGATGATGACGGTTTGCCGACAGAGATAAGTTCCGGTGGTAATGACCCGGGCACCATTTAACAATATTAATGGTTTAAGGATTACATTATTAGGTCATTATAAACTGTTAACTTGAAACTAGCTCATTTAATACAATTTGCACATGTAACTTAATTTTACCCTTATGCATAGCATAATTGACTTCCCGAGCAGATTAGCCTTCAGTTTGCTAATGCAGTGGAAATGGAACAAATAGCCAACGAATTCAGCCAACAAATGGCTTCTTTATCATAGAAACATAATATAATCGACAGCATTTGAGAGCAAGGATATCATAAAACGGCCAACATAATCTCAATTGAACGCATGAATTATAGCTAAGTGGCAAAGCGTCAGTTCGATGTTTTTTTCTTGTTGTGAAAATGATTTCAAAACTTGACACAAAAAGTTTCCGGAGAAACAAAATTCATGTTTGATGCTTTGATAGCAAGAACAAAACATTTCGCTGGCATTGATCTTTTAAATGATATGGCCATGCATCCACGTTGTGTGGATACACGTGGGTACATGGCCATATCATTTGCTGCATGCTATAGGAAGATGTTAGGTTGACGTAGTTAGATATAAATATTACATTATTGTGGCCAATAAAAGGAAAGATAGGTATTAAACAAGGATTTTAAGGAACAAAATCTGCAAGCATAATGATGATCGGACAACGACGGTTCGCCAAAGTGCAGGATAAACAAATTAACTTTAATAATATTTAAATATTTATATAAATATACAATACGTATTTATGCACTTAACTTTAACTTACTAAGCTGTATATGATAGCTTCGTTGTATAATGGATAACTGAAAATGGATAACATGTGTTGCAGCAGGAATTTTAAAAGAAACTTGCATCATCTATGTATATACAGCATCATCAGACGTATTTACGTCAACTTTCGACAACAATAGAAAGATTTAGCAAACACGACGTATCGCTTAAGACGTCGTGAAACTGGCGTAAAAATGGCATGATATTTCAATATATGGTTGGGACCACGCCATATTTACGCCATTTTTACGACGTCTTAAACGATACGTCGTGTTTGCTAAATCTCTCTAATATGTATTGAAAGGGGCTTATATGTATATATAGATTGTCCACATAAGTGCAGACCCGAGAATAGAGAACTTTATGTTAGTGTTAGTATGTTTGACGTTTTGACATCCTTAGTTTTATAGTCATCTTTAGAGTCGAGTGGCTTCTACAAAGATGAAACTACACTCTCCTGTTAAAACACTTACTTTTTACTACAGGATTTTGTTGCAGACGACTTTCTCCACATGTAGAGAAACCAAAGAGTTTAAATTTGTTGTGTTACCTTATGCCTGATATACAAGATTTTAGCATAGTAGGCACACCAAAGTAGGTCAAACTGAATGCTAAGTAGTCGCTGTACTATATATTACTGTCAGTCGACAAAAACAAAGGATGAACTTTTTAAGCATATACGTACTCAATACTATCAGCCAACTATTTGATTCAATTTTATGTGGAAAATAGATTCATGATAAAATTTTTATTCTGAATACTTACTTAAATATCTTTAAGTCAAGTAAATTCATAGTAGAATGAGAAATATTATGGAGGAAGATCTACCTTTTCGCCGCGATTTTTCAACATGTGAAATCAGTAATATGCACAATCGTAATGTACGATTTCAGCGGAGAAATCACAAAATTCCAGGGGTCGGTTGTATAAAGCTCTTAACTATACTTTTTAACTACACTTTTTGCAGGTAAAAGTAGTTAAATTTAGCCATGCAGTTAAGTTACTAAATTTAAGGAGTTAACTACGGTAGTTAGCGTTAACTGTAATTAAAGTTAACTACTTTTGTCCAACACGAGTCGGTATTTTCAGCCATTATACTCATATCGACGCGTTAGCTCTGCAATTCATCTGAAAAATCTTTGATGAAATGGTAAGAGTGAGAATTATGTTACCAAGAAGTAGTTCTGAAATAGCTGGCGCACGAAAATGACAAGCTAGCAAAGCTTTGAGAAATTTGACCGAAGCGTTATATAAATTCTCAATTCAAACGCTAAGTGTTCGCGTAGATATAAGCCAAATTTCCTAAATGTGACATATTTTAACCTTATGTGTCCCAAATGCTTTTAAGCTGCGTCATTTTCACGCACAAGCTCTTTCAAAAGTGCTTCTCGGCAACACTATTTTCACTCTAAAAATGGTTAATATTAGCAATTTGCGAAAATTTTACTCTCGAATGCTCTCGCTTTGGGCAATATTTCAGTAAAAGGGAATGGTAAACCTCCAACTCTCCTGTGTGACAAAACTCAGATAGCTTCCGCAGGTCTTTTAGAAGCCTCTTGTCACATATCACCTTCTCTGCAGCGATATATGCTTGTGAAGTAGGAGATAACCACTTCTTCTGCTTTGTTTCTTTTTCTGTTAATTAATGGTGGCAACATTGATGAAAATATGTGTTCCCCTTCCAGAAATGCTTGTTGGAAATGTGGTTAAGGACAGACTTCCATTTTTCCACCAATTCTTCTGCATTCTTGTTACAACTTGCAGAGCACCACCAAAGATGATTAGAAATGGACTTAATCCAATGGGTCAAGTCATCATTTCCCTTAATGTTAGCCTTCTTTGTTAGTTTTTTTGTGACAGATTTAGACAAATGCCACACATCATATTGGTGATCAATATGAGGGTGTTTGTTTTTCATAGCACTGGCAATCGAAACATGTGTATCTGTTGTTATTCGCTTAACAGGAACTAGCTTTTCAACTTCATACAGACATCTTTCAAATGCTTCTTTCTCCATAGCATTAGAAGAACTGACTTCAGTACTTTGCACAACATTAAAAGTTACTATCTTACCAGAGTCAGCCATCATTGTATAAGTACCATACTTGGCATTATGCCCAGGGCTATCACATCGACCATCACCATTCACATTAAGACTACCAGACTTCTTAGCTTCGGCAATAACAGCTGATTTCTCCTCTTTCCAAGCTTTGTCAACAACAGGAAAAAGATACTGCTTTTGAAAGCTGTAAAAACTGGTTTTTCCAATAAATTCGAGATTCATGAAAGATGCAAATTGGCTGATTCTTTCATAAGTGTTTCCACTAAATAAAGTTGATGCAGCCAAAAGCAAATTTCCAGCTGGGACATTCCATATGAGTGGTTGAGATGTCCATGTTGTGTGATGACCATTTATACAAAAAAGTTTAAATGATAGCAAACTACCTACAGTGTTTTCTTCACATTCAATTAATACACCTTAATATAGGAAACTACACCTTAATTCTATGCACGAAAGGCTATTTTTACAATGGTTTTATGTAGGATTATTTTCTAACCGTAATGAGTTACACAACCATGTTTATTATTATTCAATGTTTATTAAGGGCAATAGATTGGTTTCACATCAGTGGAAACTGTTGTTAAGGTTGAATTCGGAGGACAAGCAAACGGCATTACGCACAGTTTCCACACAAAGAAACCTTCGTATTTTTAAAAAATAATATTAATCGACATTCAAGTTCTATATGTAGTGCGGAAACTGTGCGATAATGGCCTTTATGGATGTGAAACCGTTCTATTAAAACAGAATACAAATAACCAGTTCAATACTTGCATGTAAGCTATAAAAGTTGCTTGTGTAAATACCTACGAATAAAAAATTCCGACGTTTCGAAAAGAAACATTTTGTGATTAGGAGAAGCATTTTGACGCAAGTTTATTATGACTGTGCAATGACTTTACATAAAGCTTTGAGGAGCAATTGACGATATGACGTCAATACAAGCCGCTGACATATTTCTGCTCCCACGCACCGGATGCCCTAGCTGCAGCATTTCAACTCATTTTTTTGTGAAAATATTGAATCAAACAAACAAAAAAATTGCCGCATATTTATTTTCACGGGACAGACAAAGTTTTAAGACCAACATTATTTTTGGGTGGAGTTTCCCTTTAAGAAATAAATGATATTTAGTGTAATTTGATCTGGCTAATGCAAACTCAGCTCTAGATCAATGAGCGCACGCGTTTCATTGTGTTTATTTTATACCGTCTGTCGGAAGTCCAACTATTTCAACCATAGGTTTTTGCAAATCTTGCACGATGATCATTTCAGCAACGTTTTGCAAACTGTTCAATTTTTTTTGATACACCCCGTACAGTATAATAAAATGAATGGCATCAGTTCCGCCAGTCGTATAAAAATAATGAAAAACTCACCATTTCAAATGGAAAATGATACACTTGTGTCCTTCATCTTTGAACCACAATATGGACCGACAATGTCATCCGTACTTCTAAGGAAAAATTTTTAAGAACTCAGTGGTATATATCTCATACGAACTCCGAAAGCTGTCAATGCTCTACAAAGAGACGCACAAATGTTATATCTTGTGCGACGACTACAGATTATGACACTTAAAAATAACAAAGTCGACGTAGATGTACAGAATGTGTCTCAAAGTTAGCCTTGCCCACGAAGATTGCTGAAACATAACTTCGACACGATTGCAGTCTTTAAAAGTTGATGTTTCAACTGCTTTTAGCGAATAGATTGCATGATTTTTGTGCCAACAGTTTCCGTTCTAAAATCTGTACTTCCTACCAGTAAGTAATTTAATTTTGGTTTTAACTTTGAACGCCGTTATGCGCGGTGAAAAGAAGTATATAGTTAGGAAAATATTATAACGAACATGCAGTTTCATCATGTACTTTTAATATATTTGTTTTTCTGTAGTTTAACTCAAAATCTTCTTATCTGAAACATAGTGTAAGTTTTACACTGAAAGAATGCAAAAAATCAAATGAAGCTCGCAGCAAAAATAACTAAATATTTTAAATTTTCATGAAAATTATAGACATCTAAAATTAATCATACAGCAAGTATTAAAAGAACACTTTTTATAAGCCAGTATTAAATATAAGCAAAAATATCAACTTTCGCCAGCTATTCATGACTTCAGTCATTTTTGTTGCATCAGTGATAAAGTGTCGAAAGGAGCCACCCTTTTGAAATCACTGGCCTCAAAGGCGGCTATGATTTTTCAGGGAATGCCGTACATGGTTTAGGAGCGTGTTCATTATGGGACTGTAATTTTCAAAATCAGCGAACGATTGAATGCACTTTCTTCAGACAGATTTTTTCTCGCTACATATACACCTTTACAGTATGTATTTTTCATGACTTTTAAAAAATTAAGTTTTAAAGGGTTGGGCAACTTTTGACACTGTACGGTATTAACAAAAACCCTTGAGACCACGACCAGAGTGTCAGCTTACGGGAGGAGTCCGCTTATAAGAGGTCACTAGAGGTATTCGCAGGTAAAGGTATTATTTGTATTCCGTAATCATACAGGTTGTGTTTAGCGACGTATAGACGACCTAATTTCTTGGTCATCCCATGAAATGTATTTTATGAAGTGGAAGAACAACATGAATAGCATGGTGAAAAATTAAGTCCGTAAACAACACGAGCAACAGAAAAAGGATGTAGCTAAGTTGTGAGGAAAAACAAAACACAGGAGCAATCAACAAATGAACAGTTCATTTAAATATCTTTGGCGACCACCAAATTTGTGCAAAACAAAGTTAAGAAGGGACGCAATCAGAGAAAAGTTTGAAATGTACATAATGCAAATATCAAATGTTTGAGTGTGCATCTTGTATCTTTTGTCATCTAACTTTCGCTCGCCAGCGTTAGCGTGCAGCGAACAGTTCCAACAGGGCCAAAACTAATATTTTCAGCAACCTTCAATGTCTGACCAGGCAGCAATTTGAATTTAAATTTCTTTAAAGACGAGCAATGATGAGTTTCAATTGCAATTCCGCGTGTTGTGGTGCAATGCAACGCCTTGGACCGAGAGAAAAGGGAAAATATGCGGCGGGATGAACTAATTCAGGATCAGCAAAGCGATCTGGATTAAAAGAATGAGGATCTTTCCAGTAATCCGGATGCGTTTGAATAACATACGGATTTGCCATAACAGGTACATCTCCTGGTATTTTGACGTTTCCAATGAAAGTTTCGTAATTGGTTCTTCTTGTGATTGCTGGTGTCGGAGGATGCAAGCGAAGCGATTCCTTCACAACTTGACCGAGATACGGCATTGCCATAATATCTTTGGCTGTGATCTCCTTTAAATCACCAATCACTTCATCTATTTCTTTTCGAAGCCTAAACAAGAACATTTGAACAGTAAATGCGGAAAAAACTTAAGCTTACAAAGATATGGTCTCTAGTTAGACCATTACACAACTGAGTTGATGCATGGCATGTTTAACAAATAGATTACATTTAACCCTTGTCTATACAGTTATAGATACACGGGTATGACGACTTTGTGATAAGAGCTAAAAAATGATTTTGCAAATGTCCCGCGTACGTAATCAATAATAAGATTAAACACATGCTATTAAAGGGCGAAACTAGAACGCTAATTGGGGTAAATATTCATATGTTCAGCTCTGCCCTGCTGACTTCTTTTAAAATTAAAATCGCAAACAAAAGAAATTAGCAGGGCAGAGCTGAATACATGAATATATACTCCTCCCAAATAACGTCCTAGTTTCGCCCTTGGTGGTATTGGCCCATTGGCTATCTTAGTCATGTGATAAAATGTGATTGGCTACCAGTATAAATAAGCAATGGCTGATCAATTTTGTTGAAATTGTGTTATCGACGACGAAGTACAAACAAACGTTTGAAAATGGAGTTTTTTTTCTTTTTGTTCAAATACGTCAACTGCTTCAACTAAGTCTTCTTAATGTCTTCATTTGCCCATGCAGTTATAAAATCAGGTAAATATTCAAATCGCCGATCGTTTGTGATTTAAAAACAAGAAATTTCTGTGATATCAATTCCGTAGGTATGTCCTCTTATAGATTAATACTCTCGACCAATGAAATTGCTCAAATGTTTATGGTTATTATATAATAAAACGTTACAAGTCCAACATCTACATGCATAATCAAAATATATGGTAAACCTAGGCAATAGAAAACAATATGAAAATATCAGCCACGAAAGCTAACATCATGAGCATTAGCGAATGTAAAAATAGCTTTGTGAAATTCAAACAAAAAGCTTTTGTATATATGAGTGATCAGTGATTAGCAAAGTCCATCACATCTCTATAAGACTGCTCACGACGGTTAAATATATATAGCTAATTGGCGTATTAGTCGAGGGGCAGCCCCAAAAAATATCGGGTAGACCATTATTTGCTGGAAAGTTATACATATTAAGTCACTTAATGTTTCGACCTCCCCCCTTTACAAATGTTAGCCTGTACGCCCATGATTCCCGTAGAAAGAATTCAAATTCATACTTGTTTTCAACGCCTGCATGTAAACCAATAGATAGAGCAGTAAAGCATAAGCTGTTGCCCGTAGTATCCATTCCTAGAAGGTAAAAAAGTAAAGGAATTTGTCTCAAGTAGAAACGACGTCATACCTTCTAATGTCGATGCTTCTTAAAAGCAATTAAAGATCTATATTTGGTTCATATTGTCGTATATCAAGTAGACATTAATTGATCAAACCTCCAAAAACGATTGTAACGACCATGTCAACCAAATCTTCAATATCACATTCAGGCAGAGCTTCTTCAAGTTTGAACACATAGGATAACGGATCATCTCGCGTGTCACACCCGTTTCTCATTTCTTTTTCCCTTTTCTTGACGACTTGCTTTACAACGGCTCTTGTGATTCCGCGCCTTGCTCGCATTCACGTCTCAAACTTAACCATGGTGTGAATTGACTTTATTATTATAATGGTGTAAAAATGGGAAACAAACCTTAAGAATTGTCTCCAGGGTCACTAAAAGAAGTTCATCAGCAAGAGAGATGACAGTTATGCCATCGTCTCTCTTATGGAAGTTTGAAACAAACATGTGGGAATTCATGTTTTAGCAATTCAAAAAATTCACACGTAATGCACGTGTTCTTATTTTAATTCAAAAAAGATCTATCAATGAATACTCCGTTGACGCAGATCAATTGGGAAAATTTTCTTTGTGCTAAAGCAGGAACCCACTAAAAAATCGTTTTAAATCGCTTAAAACAATTTCAAATATTCATTTCATCTTAACTTTCATTGGAAAGGACTGACATTCGCTCACGGGCGCTGTTCTGAAAGGATCACAAAAAACTTAGCTACAGTGCAAGAGGTGGAGCAAAATCTACACAACATGGGAACACTAAGATTGATGAAAAAATTCTTAACATCTGCTTTTCTATGTCTCGTTTTCACAAACTTCGTGATCGGTAAGTTTTGTTTTCAGTTTGACATTAAAAGTTGGTGAATCAGCAACCGGTCAAGCTATTGCAGTCATGAAACAAGTCATATACACAAAAACATATGTGATTTTGCACAAGTTTTCCAAGGTTTAAGTTCCATTTAACGAGAATTGACATGTTATGTCAAAAAGTAATTATATCATGAAAGAGCTTTTACAACAGATTATTTTCTTTTTTCCTTAAAATGTCCGTTCTGTTCACAAATAAAATCAGATGTTTAAAAATAAAACATTGTGAATGCACACAGCAATGGCTTGTGATTGATGAAGCAGGCTGTAGTGAGAACCAGAATGGCCAGCATTTAAGCACATACAGCTATATCATCGTCTATATTATGTTGTTCACTATTTTACTGTATAACCTTCAAATAAGTATTTACATGTATTCTTTCGGTACAGAAGTGTTTAGACCGACAATAAATTAGTCCATAAAATAGGCAGGCTCGTTGAAGGCAATGGCTAACCCGATAGACATATTTTGTAGGTGCGTGTAAATGAAAAATGTTTGTTTTAATTTGCAAGATGATTAATAGTATTGGCAGTAATTGCACAAATATATGCATGCGCATTGATCATAATATATTATAGAATTACACTCTAAATAAATTTTAGTCTCAATTAATACAAGCTTTTTAACAACTTGAACTTTAAAGTTAACAATTAGAGAAGTCTTTTCGATATAATGAGCCTTTTCACATATAACATGTTAGGTTTAAAGAGATACACTTATTTTAACGTTTACAAAGGTGTTGTTTAAATAATTGGCATAAATGCAAATAACAGTAGCTGGCAACACGAACTTAAACTTTTGTTCAAGAATTTGTCATATAAAACAACTTGGTTTCGCAGACAAAATAAAATCTTAACATGTACAAAATGTTTTTGCTTTTTCACACACACCATTTATATTAGCCTTTCATACTGCCAACTCATCTCAATGTTTTATGATAACTTCATTAGCACGAAAAATTTACAGATCTAAATTACACTATTACCTATATCTTTCATTTCTAATAAACACCAGTTGTAATATACAGTCATTAATTAATACAATAATCCTCACTTCAAGTATGTATAGTTAAAGTTAAAAATAAAAAATTGTTTGGATTTCAGACATGCAAGCATTTTTATTGCCAATTGAATCAATGAAAGAATGTCTTTGTTACCTTCTTCCGAACAGCTTAACATTCAAATATATAACAGCAAAATATTTGTCGTTGGTTTTTTCAATTTTAAATCCGTTAACACCAACTTATAATATCTCGACAAACATTCTTAGTAACATTTGCAATCTTTTGGAAAATTTCAAACGTGTTGTCGTTCGAATCAATTTAATCGGCATTCCACTCTACACAAAGACCTTTAGAAATAGACAAAGACCTTCATATATATTTATTTATAAATATGTAGTTTCCAAGCAACAAAAACTAAAACATCTTTGTTCATTAAAGGAGAAGTCGAAATTATCAAAAACATTTCGTAACTAAGACGAACGGAAAGTAAAATTATGTCCTTTATTTTAAACTGCGGCAAGCCTCCGTATCGAGAATTTTCGTTTGCGTTTTGCTGTACTTAATACTGTATACATTTGGGCCAAAAATGCCCTGTTAAGTGACACAATGTTTATGCTTTGTATACAATACTTTTTTCGACGATATGACATTTTCACTTAAAATTTATATAAAGAAATACAACGAATGTCCTGTCAACTCAATGATATTGACGTAAATGAAAATTTTAAATGATGCAAACAAACATGTTAAGTGCTGTGAAAAAGCCGGGAAATTACTAAGTAATGAAATTTTGTGACTGTATATTTACGAAAAGTAAAGCGATTATACGCAACCAAGTCGTGGGAAAATATCCTTTGATCGAAGAGTTGAAAGAGTTCGTTGAAACACAATCCAATACTGTGATGCAACGCTTAGTACACCAAGTCCAATTAACAGCCCACTTCGTTGGACTTTGGTCGTCTCACGTTCTAAATGGGCAATTTGAATCTTGAATTAACTCAATCATGAAATGATTCCGCTTCGCTATTTATGGCCAAATAAATATTTAACATTTTTAGTTAAAATAAGTCAACACCTTTTTAGTCAAAATAATGAAAGTTGCCGTTACATGCAGCCTGAAATAACAAGCCTTCACTGAATACGTCTTGCTTTCCTGAATTGATGTGAGGAAATTTTTTGAACCATGGTTTGTTATTTAAATTAGATGCCTGCTATGTCGATTCAACTCTGTTTACATTAAGTACCCTCTGCCGCATTATAGTGATAAAATTTTAAACGAACGTTGCTTATTTAAAAAAGCAGAAAATAATTCATAAGCAAAAGTTATGATATAAGTTAATTAATTCCGATACAAATTAATACTATTAATATGCTGAAATATTAATTATTGTATTTTATTATAGAGGTATCAGGCAATATATCTTCACAACGCTTCAATTCAGGTATGAGCACTGGAGTTAAATTGTGAGTAATGTAGAATTACATTATAATGATAAACTTTGGTAGGCACATACATTTGAGTTGACTCAAAAGGCGGAGGTCGAGGACATAAATGAGTTTTCAAATTACCATTCGAAAGTCGAGGTGTTTTTGGGGAGTTATAACATCACGAAAAACGTAGGATGCAATGGACAAATGAGTTCGCCAGTGAAAAAGATTAGAAATATCTTATTTTTATTTCAAACGATTCAACGGAACAAGTGTTATTAATTTTTATGATTTATAAAACTTCAACTCAATTGCACTTAAATTTATTTATAGCCAAAAAGTCTTAACAGAATTTTCAGAATTTCTATATATACCACTTGAACTGGAGCTTTCTCCTTCTCAATAAATAATATTACCATTTACGAAGCATTTTCTATACAAATCGTGTTATTGTATAAAGTTAACGACACTTTAAAAGGTTTTGTCTTAAATATGTTCTGTAAATCTTTGGAACATAACTATCAACAGACACCTTCCAAACCACATAAATAAGTGATGTAGCCACATTGACTTGTGTCTCTAGTGGCGAAGCCAGCCGGCAAGTTTTGTTAGGCAAAGTAAATATTTTGGTGTTCACTTATTGTATAAACAATCGATTTTTGAATAAATAAATATCCGAAGCATTATATCATAAGAATGGCATTGCACTTTTCCGTCGCCATTTTTGTAAAGCAAAGCTTTATCAACTTAATTGGTTGGTATATCGATCAAAAAATGACGATTTTTAAAAGAAAGTATCGTAATCGGATTTTAAACACAGGACTTCTGGTCACTCAAGGAATTTTTACCACAATATCCCTTGCTTTCGTATTCAATTATTGCATATCTGAAGATTGATGTACTTATTTATTCTTAGCTTATTCTCGTTTTACTTAAACCATATCCCTTTCATTGGTCTATGCATTCTTCTTCGGCATTCGTATTTCATTTACTATCTTAAGCAACTTCTTCATCCGCCCTTCTATAAATCTAATTGTTTAAAACTTATCTTTTCTTTTCAACCTAATTGTCAGGTTACCGAATTCCTGAAATAGCAGCTCGAACACATTGGCACAAACACTGGTTCAGACAGTTCCCAGTTTAACTTTTTTATTATGTTGTTGATATTAGTCTTCACACTCACCGTCTTTGTATTTTTATGAAAAAACTGAGATTTTCGTACAAGCACTTGAGATTGCTAAGATATCTATACTGTAAACCTTAGTTTAGCAACTGTGATATGAATTTAAACTTTTTTGTTTGAAACCACAAGAGGCTGTACATGCCCATCCACTGTTTCAACGAAAATTGTTCCATATTCTCTTCACAGTATTTTTAATTTTCTGTTTCCCATTTGAAACATTTCCCATGACACTAGAAAGTTAATTAGGGAATATTCATATATTCAGCTCTGCCCTGCTGATTTCTTTTGAAATTAAAATCGCCAACAAAAGAAATCAGCTGGGCAGAACTGAATATATATTTACCTCGTCCCCCAGTTAGCGTTTTTAGTTTTGTTCCTAAGCGCAAATGTTGATACTAAGTAGTTCTCATCATCGTCACTTGTACAATAGTAACTAAAAGATAGCTGCATATTCCCGAATAAGCCTTAAAACTGGAAGAGATTTCTAGCAATAGCTTGAGAATGTTTGAAAGAAAATAAAACAGAAATACGATATCCATTTTTCTCTTTTGCCTATGAACGTTTTATTCATTCATCTACGTATGTTTTTGTGATGCCAAACACCTTCATGCATTATATAATTCATTTGAGTCATTTTTTGATGCTTTTTTAGCCTTTGATACAGCTGAACAAATAAAATAGAATTTCAATATGAAGGAATAGTCCAACTACACAAAGAGCAAACTGTTTTGAAGTATCATTTCCAGAAACCAGATTTAATTTCAAAGGGCGATTTTATTCAAGCGTATATGTGAGTATTTTGAACTGCTTTTAAACAGAAAATGAAATCGTTGCATGCATTGGTATCAAAGTGTTATAAGAATTTTTAAATGTCTCTGACTCGTATTGAATATATTTAGATGCAGATATTTCGATCGTGTTCGCACGATGACAAAATTCATTTATTTTCATTCACTTACTACTAGATTTGCGCCAATGGAATGGTGAGATTTGATGGCCCCGAATACGCTGCCAATCCTATAAACTTTGGAATTTTCAGTAGTCTACCAATTATTGCACCTTATTGGTCACAAGTTGACTTGCGTTTTCTCAACAATAGCAATTCGAACGTCACTTACAGACTATATCGTAATAGTAATGAAAACACGGCTGTGTTTGATACGATAAATACTGAGGTAGAGATGAATACGGAAATTAAAAGCTACAGTGCTAATTGGGTGCTGGTTGTGACTTGGGTGTGTCTTGCACCAAGGCAACCTGTGGACAATAACTTTCCTGAGGTAAGGTGAAACAAATGAATTTATACGATTAATTCATTTACGCTTATATGTATACAATCAGGTAGATTTAAAAATTTACATCATTTACCGCAGAGTTAATTTTCAAACACGACTAGATCACAAATGGTTAAGTGTTCAAGCAATTTAACCTATCTTGCAAATTTCGATTTCCGAAAAAGTGTAAAGTTCGCTAAATATCGTGGGGAGTACTCGCAAAACAATTTTCCATTACAAAAGTAATGCAAAAATACATCCATTAGCGGATCCAAGGTTCAGAGAAATAAATTATATGTGAGCAACTCAATCTTGAATACATTTCAATATGATATACTAAAATAGTAGAATCAATACTACTTTAAAATTTATAACAAAAGTATCATTTTCAAAGTGTTTTCAATTTATGACTGAGTTTGCAATATCTATTTTTCCTGAAGCTTGATTCGTCATTGCTCTCTGAACTTCAAAAACATATCAAGGGAACTTAGCCCCCACACCTCAAAAATGAACTTATATTTCTTATTTCCATATTACCTTTCACGGTTATACTGCAACTTTATTCAATGTACATTTTTCATTGCTTTGGTGTAAATCTGTTTCACAAAAGTCATCCATTTGAATTTGTCATTGTTTTTAAATTTACAGCGAAATACCTTTCAACTTCTGCTGGCAGACGATCTCTTCAACGGAGCTTTTACTTTGTTCATTTACGAATCTATTACATGGTCATTTGGTGTGAACAGGTACACAAGTCAATCTACAAATTGTTTTATAAACCGGATTAAAGCATACACATACAATTCAAATCGTAACAAAGAAAAGACGTTTGGTAATTAGAGGCCGCTAAAACGCCCTCTTTAACAACTTGTGCCTAAAAGGAGGACTCACAGATATGAATAATTTAGCTTTTGTGTAAGATTGATATAAACCAGTATGAACAGAAAAAAAGATACGAAAAACACCTATTGTCTACATGCAGCCTTTGGAAAAGATATTCAAGCAAAAGACATGTCCAGTCGCTCGATTTGAAATTCAAATTGGTCTGTTTTAAAGTGTCCTTAATACCAAATTCGGGCGTCAGATAGTTAACTTTTGACTTCATCAAACAAAAAAAACAACTTTCGAATACTTCAACTTTAGGTTTTTGTTGGCTAGCATCTGTCATAAAAATGATGTGATAGGAAATTAGAGCAAAAGTCAAAAGTGACGTCACGCTTGTGAGAAGCCTTTGGCGCGTTTCATCAAATCACACGGCTAAATGTGCTCTATCTGATACTTCAAACTCATTGTTTGTGTCAGGGCACTTACGGCACTAAAATTACAATATGGCTGATACAAGTTTCAGCCCAATTATTCGTTGATAACGCACAGAAAATTAAAGCCCACAAATCGGTGTCCTTACGACAACATTCGTACACTAAAAAAAAAGTGGAAAAAAAACATAAACGCGTCGCTGCTTTTTTTGAGAATTTCTGAATCAAGCTTTTTTGATTTGACAAAAATCAAATCCTGTTTACATTGTGTTCAATAGCGTGGATATGACACGAAATCACTTGAACACATGTGTATTAACTGTACAAACTGATTGAAAGATTTGTTTTTAGAAATGAATACACGAATTTTAGAGACGCTTCTGATCTGCCAGTCATAGGCTTTGATTCTGGACGTAGAGATATCACACCGAGGTTTCAAATTTATGAAACGTAAGTTAATTGCTTCGCCTTGTATTTCTTAAATAGTGCATAGACTGAATTGATGTACAATTCAACCTGGCGAAAAAGACAAGTAAATCTCTCCATCTAAAATTTCCCTTAACTGTGTGAGCTTAATGGATGGTGTCGTAATTACTAATTTTTGAAATAATGATGTATCTTTCTCAGGTCTGGCACCATTAATGCTGACAGAGTGGGAGATGAAATGACAATTTTGTATGACCTAAGATCACCATTTCCAAGATCCAATGCAGAAGAGTGCCAAATTTGGGTGAATCAACAGCTCATAAGTCCAACAAGACGATCATCGTGCAGAAACAATTGCGCACAAGATCTTCAAACAGCCTACCTGAATCTCACCGGAGTCTTTTTTACCCTATTTCGAAGGGTTAAAGGAAGTGGACCAACACCAAACTTTTGCATATATAGTGGAACTACTTTTGATGGAGCAGATGAATGTTGCTACCAGTACACAGGACAGCTTGAAAGTTATCCGCAATCTTTTAATTCTACTGCCGTTAATTCGTTTAGTTCATTTACTATCAGTGAAAGTTCTGCATTAGGCGCAGCCCCAGGTCGATGGCATGAAGTCCATCCGCGAGAAAATTTCACTAAATATTTACAGGAAGAACAACGCTACTCTCAATGTTGCGTCGATGCCGGCAGCACTCAAGAATCGTGTGACCAGTTTTACAGAGTTCGACCAATTTGCATTGGGGTGAGCTTTGAGTTTGTCAGCACATGGGGTAAGCTCTATTCTGGATTACGGTTTGCAATCAAATCGAATGGAAGCAAATTGAAAGGAATTGAATCAATTTAGCTGCAACTAATTAGGGCGGACCGTGCGGTGAAATGATTAAAAAGTATATCTCGCTACTTGTTATCTCTGAACCGAAGTCTTAATTCATACCACGATAAAAATATATATGTAGCTATGTCAATGATTTAGAACCCAATCTTCTAGATGTCTAACTACCGCGTCAAGGTGAGGCAAGGACGTCATCTTTATAAGTGGCAAAAAGCAAAACTTAAAATCAAAGATAAGAAAAAGTTAAAAGAAAACTAATTCTATCAAACAATCTCTATTAAAAATCAAGCCTAGACAGTCAACTTTGCAACTGTAGCTATATCGACTGAGGAAAAGCAGATATTAGTCGTAAACATATAGTCAGTTTTGCCACCTTTCAAGATAGCAGCTTGAGGCACCTGTAACTACAAAATTTCGGTGGAGTCAGGTTTATAGTAGATTGGGTTATAGGTAACTGAGCTCTTCTTGATGTAAAATTTTACCAACAATAGCAAGACAACGTATCATCAAAAAATTCGATCAACGATAAAAGTTAAAACTTGCACTATGAAGTGGTAGGTAGAGACGCAAGTATTATAAAAACAGCGAAATGGATAGTTTTAGATAGCCAATTTAGCCCATTCAACAACGAGCTTTGGACAATTTAACTGCAGAAACATTGAATGCAAGATTTTAGAAAGTTTTAAGCATGAGACAAAACGTTAAGAGACATAGATTCTCCTCCTCTTAATTTCTGTAGCAAAATGAAAAATAAGTTGTTGCTATGGCTTTCAGCATCATCACACGCATCTTGCACAGTATTCTTGACGTCTTTCATCGTATTGAAGCTTTTCAATTATTTTAAACAGAGCCACACCAACGTTAGAGAAGTTCTAAACAATTTATTCCAATCTCTGCGATATAGAAACTATAGCGATATAGCATTGATAATAATCATAATATAGTATCGTGATTTTTTATTCCGTGTTTCTTATACGTTTGATTTTTTAGCCAATAACTTCGGTGATCCCCATTTTGTGACATTGGATCGTAAGAACTACACATTTAATGGTTGTGGATGGTACACGTACTTCACAGGACTAATTCCAGGTGAGAGATAATGCCGCAAATTTTTTGTTTATTGTTTGATTTGGCTTGCGAAAATTTAACTATTCCCATTTATGTTAAAATACATCAACATGAACACGGAACCTCAAACATAAAACATAAACATGAAAAATGACTGTTCGTCAAGTGTCGCAAAACTGTACATAGTTTTCAGTTTTGTGAATGAACAACAAATTTGCGATGCCAAATCGAATGTTTTCGTGAAAAACATTTTCCAGTTTTTATTGACATATATTATCAACACATCAAACTTTCCATTCATCCTGAAGATACTTAAGTAGTGGCTATGCAGCGCTTACGAAAAGATTTATCACCAGTTTACTTAGTTGCATTTATACTAAGCAGAGCAAGTATATTAATGCAAAAAGTGCATTTTGGACAAAGTTCACATGATGGATTATACTTTGGAAATGCTTTTAAAACAGGCAACGATGCAAGCTCTCTTGAAGTACAAGTTCGAACAACAAGAGTCGGCGAAGCCAACGCAACTGGTTTCACTGCATTTGCAATAAAAGAAGGAAATTCACAAGTCATTCAAGTAAATCTAAACACCACAACAAGTAAGTGTCTTAGAAATATTTTGCTAGTTTAAGATAAATTTCCAATTTTAAAACAACAATAGGTGCGCTGGACTAAGAATAACAGTCGAAAAATTGTTATGCAGACAAAAATATAGCTTTACTTCATTTTGAATGAAGTATAATATTGTGTGTTCAGTTAATAAAACAATACTAGTCACTTTCTTTAACATGCGAGACGTTAACGTCATTGCACATCTCATTCACAATCAAATCCAACTCCTTAGCATGCAACATTGTATGAAAAAGGAGCGTTGCCTCAAGAAGCCAAATCGAGTTGTTTGCACAACAAAGATTTTTTAGGTAAAAATTTTATAATGCAAAGAGAAACTCAAATATAGAGGAAACTCTTTTATCAGCTGGGAAGAAATAGAATCTTATTTAGTGCACTTTGAATGTTTGCAATCAAATGCTGCAAAAAAATCAAGTTTCTCTTATTGTGATATAAATCGAATCACTTTATTACGAGATAGATTAGCAACTCCTATATAGTAGCAAGTAAACTAAAATAGTAACAAAAGAAATGCTCGTTCTTCGTAGGGAAGAATAAAAATAAAATAATGGGAAGAAGCTCACATAATACGGTGTTAATTCATTTAGAAGGACTTGATGTTCGCGTTGGTGGCATGCTAATTCCTCTTCCCGGAGAGAATGGGATAATCAGAAATGGCACGGCAATAACATTTGCTGATAATTTGCTTCAAATTTCGACACCGCTTGGAAATGGAGCACGAGTCAATGTAGTGAACGGTTCCTTCTTCACATTAGTCATGCTATTTCTAGATGGTTATAGAAACAATTCGTTTGGTTTATCGGGAAGATGGAATGGTAATATGACTGACGACTTTACACACAGAGATAGAACAACAATAACACCAATAGACGCCAGAGAGGAAATAATATTTAGTGATTTTGGTGAAAGTTGTAAGTATCGAAAGTCATAGCTACTAATGAAAGAGCAAAACCAAATGAAATGTTGTATTTTAGTAAAAAAAAACAAGACAATAGACACTCTGTATGAAATAAACATTATTTAAAGTAAACATTATTTTATTCACATTTTCTAATGATGATGACATGTAACACTTGTCGAAACTTTTAAATTAAATAATGTTATTTTAAACGGAGTGCCTATATTGTCTTGTGTTTCACTAAAATCTGAGTTCAATCATTAATTTTTGATAATAGCATGAAGCAGATCACAGTTTAGGTCATCAACCATGTCAAGGAAGTAACACTGCATTTTAATACCTTATAGGGAAAGTAAACGAAACGAACGGACAAGAAATTTATATGAAAGTAGATGAAGGCATTAATACTTTCAGTTGTCAAAATTTCACTCCTGTATTTCTCGACAAACTTATGAAAAACAATGACAATTTTACAAATGAAGCTCTTGTTGCATGTGGAAGTAATACAGTTTGTCTGTTTGACGCCCTCGCTACACAAAACATAGCTATTGGTCAATCGACACGAGAAGAACAGCAATTAACGGACAATGTAATTGCACAAGTTGGTACGTTGAATTAATTTCTAACCCCATAAATTATACAGAAAATTGTAAATCATTATTCGTGAACCCAAAACGTTTTAAATAGACGTAAACAATTTCAAATTAAGTCGATTGCGCTTTTTGTTGAAGTTCTTATTAGTTATTCAAAACAATTACGAACAAATCTTTACTAATGTCACGCGAGGCAACCAGTGAACGCTATTTGGTCTTTTTTCAGGTGCAATTTCAATCACTATCTTTATTTTTTAAGAAAATCTACCTCCTGAGTTCACAACAAACATTTCCTTGATTACTGCAAATCTAAGTGAGACATTAACAGTGACGCTAGAAGCCCAAGATATGGATTCAAATGACATATTAACTTTCGACGTTCCTAATCTTCCATCGGTATCTAGCTTCAACATCAGTGGAAATACTTTAACTTTCACATGGACGGCCAACTCTACAGCAGTGGTATGCGCGTGTATAGTTTATAATTTTAACCGGGTTTTTTTATTTACGTTGGAGTGAACGATAAAGCATGACGATGCACAGAAAAATGTAACATGCATATACAGCGAAGTAAAAGAAGCGAAAATTTCTTTCTACACATATATCGATTATCAACTCTGAGTTGGTCATAAATTACCCATACCACAGCTCGTTTCGTTATTTAACGAGCGTCTTTCGAAATCATGTCGACGTACAAAGCTTTAAAAATGGTTTTCAATTTAAATTTGTAAGTTTTTCGAGTGAGTTTTTTTGACGTACTCCATTCATTCCTTTGTATTTTTTTATACAGGTTGATCTAAAGTTTGTAGTGAGCGACAGCAGAAATAGAACAGCGGTATTAACTCCTAGAGTTCAAATATGCGCATGCCGAGATAAAAGCACGTGCGTCGTTCCTGAAGGGGCGGGAAATGCTACCTTCGTAGTCATGTCGTGCAATTGCAACTTAGGCTACACCGGTCGGTTTTGCAATGAAGTGGTAGATTTTTGCAACGAAGGAGCCTCCCGACCCTGCAGTCCATTGGTAACGTGCACTAGCATGCCAACTCAAGCCGAATGTGGACCGTGTCCAACGGGATATTCCGGGAATGGAGTATTTTGTTTAGGTAGGAAACTTGTTCACACACGTGTTTCATTTAACCACAGTATTGCATAGCTGGCATATCGTGTGCTTGTTCAGTCCAAATTTTCATTAAACAAAACAGCCTTCGCAAACAGCCTGCGGATAGTCGAAAAGATTTCTCTAAACAAAAAAATATTATCTCCGCACCATTCCACGCTTGGATGTTATTGAAAAATAAATGATGTCCTCTCCATGAAAAGGTTGTGAACATGCTGAAGCTATCACCAATGTTTTTCAATTAAAATACAATGCATACATGTAAACAAAAAATTAGTAGCCAGAGTAAGCGGCTAACAAGTGCCTGGTTGAATAAATAATAGGATTTTTCGCTACGACCAAACATTGCTATGACCCAACTAATTTTCTTCTTTTCGTCGATATAGATATAGATGAGTGCGCAAGAAATACATCAGGCTGCGAGCAAATGTGTACAAATAATTTGGCGTCCTTCTCGTGTGGATGTTCTCCAGGATTCACAATTAGTACAAACGGAAGAACTTGTATAGGTAGGTAATGTATATGTGTTCACATATGCAAACTATATACCTACTTCATTCAAAAGCCATGGTTATTTTAGAAAAGAATCGAGCAAGAAACTATCTAAGATTCATACCACGAATTACCAATGTAATATTATTTTTCCAACGGCAACGTCAGATTGTAAAAATATGAAAAGCTACTTCGTGAACCGCATTTATGATTTGACGTGTCGTATGGCCATATTCAATAAATTACATCTTAAAAGCTTAGAAGCAGTCTTAATCGTAAGGTTTGGGTTTTTTTTAGACATAGATGAATGCTTGCGACCAAACAATTGCAGTCAAGTGTGCGAAAACACCGTAGGCTCATTCAGTTGTAGATGTAGACAGGGATTTGAACTTGAAGCTGATGGTGAACAGTGTAGAGGTAAAGTGTCCATGTAATATTTTTAATGTACGTACGTATAAATCATTTAAGTGTGTGCTACATTAAAATTTTATGTTTCCAGAGCATGTTATGCTACAGTTACTGTATTAAAGCAAATGGTTTGACCCCGGGAGTATCGTTACATGTTTGTAGATGTAGATCGTCCAGGTTGGTATAGTCCCGAGAAGGACTGTTTTTGTTGTTGTCGAAACGTCAGTTAATAACAACAACAAAAAAAGTCCTTCTCAGGACTATACCAACCTGGACGATCTACATCTACAAACATGTAGTTACTGTATTCTTAGGCACAGTTATTTTACATGCAACATCAAGTTAAACTTACAATACCGTATGCAATGAAAAATGTTTTACTTCCCAAGAGGAAAGAAACAAACGAAAATTTTATGTCCACACATTTGAATGAGTCTGAAGCCAACAGAATGACGGAATGACCCACACAAAGATTATTGAATATGTACCGCAAGATTGTATTTTTTAGAATCCAGTTGTTATTTATCAAAAAATCTGTCAAAAGCATCGTTTTCCAATTTTTGTGTCTTTTAGTACGCACAAATTGTTCACAAAACGGAAATTGCACTCAAATTTGTTTTGTTGACAATGGAAATGACACGTGTGCTTGCGCTAAAGGATATGCTCTTGGAAGTGACGGAAGGTCATGCAATGGTTAGTATGAAAAGAAAGGCCGCAAGATGCATGTTCTAATTCCTCGGCTTTCGAAAAAGAGAAAACCTAGTAATGATTAAGACGAGTTCTTCAATGAACAATGATAGCTACAAGCATCATCCTTGGAACATGAATATTATAGAGTCCACTTCCTATGATTTCATGCTTCTACGAATACATAACAAAAGCTGATAAAATCGTGCATTATCTTAGTTTTTCGGGGATTCTTTGAAAGATTTTCAGAAGCCTAAAAACTATCAAAAAAGATTAATGCTGCCTTAGATACCTTCCGAGCATCTCAAGAAAATACCATAAAATATTAAATATAATATCGCTGTATGTTTTCAGACATCAATGAGTGTGAAAATGAAGGTACCTGTTCTCAACAATGTACGAATACAGATGGGAGTTTCATGTGTGGATGCTTTCCCGGATATACCTTGGCGAGCGACATGCTTAGTTGCGAAGGTTTGTGCACTTAGGTCGCAAGAAAATATTCACGTCATTTACACTTTTAATTTGGTATCGACAATGGCGCATTGTTTATTTGTTTGCTTTTTGTTTACAAAGAATTATTTACGCAAGAATAAGGCGAATAAAAAAACAGAATGCTCTAACATAGTTTTATGAATGTTTCCATTAAATAATAATTTCCTTTCTGTTTGGCGAGCAAAGACATATGCGCGGCTGCGCAGAGGAATGTTTCCTTGAAAATAGTCAAAACGTGGTAACATCTTGCAATTTATTAAAGTTTTGCACAGTCACTGTCTTAAATATCATGTATTTTTGATCGATGAATATTTCGCTTTACTAAATAAAAACAATACGTAAAGGCTTTATTGAAAATTTGTTGTAAAATACTACTTTTCCTAAAACGTGTCTAAGCCATTAAAAGCACGCTATTCTACAGGAAGTGACGTTTGCCTAAATTAATGCAGCTATAATAATTTCAATAAGAGTGGAGCACTGCAAAGCAGATTCTAATTTTTACTATTGGTGTGGTTTTTTGCAGACATTGACGAATGCAGCGATCTTACCAGACAAACGTGCAATATAACTAATGGAGAAGATTGTATTAATATTCCTGGAAGTTTTACATGCAGATGTGCAGCCAGACTAAACTTGATTCGGGTGAACAACATTTGCGTTTGTGAGTATAAAAAATTACTTGTGTACAAAAAACAACCAATAAGTCTTAAGGAATTCTTATGAAAATGGTAATAAAATTATTATACGCAGATAACAATGGTAGTATTCTTCTTCCTCTTGCTCCGACTGCGCCAACTGCAACTAACGACCAAATGCAAAATGCAGTCGAAATAACGCTCCTCGATGTATCAAGGGTAAGAGATTCACAAATGTATTGATGAAATTTCACTATTTATCCTAGAGGCCACTGCTTACAGGGTACATCAAAACAGAATATCTTTCATAATTGGACGTTTTGTGATCATTTTAATGCATCTCACCTTGCAAATCCCACGTGTGCATAAAGTATTATAAACTACGTACATAGCTATAAGACTTCATTTGTCACAAGCACAACAGTTTTCTCACCTTGAAAATCCTACGTGTGCATGAAGTATTATAAACTACGTACATAGCTATAAGACTTCATTTGTCACAAGCACAACAGTTTTCGGCTCCTGGAATTTGATGTGAATTCTAACAGCAAAACATGCACAGAAATACACTTGTGGAATTATAGAACAGTCATCAGAAATTGAAATTTCAAAATAGATTAATTACAAAAGTTATTCTTGTTTTGATACACACCCTGCACCCACTTTCAAACGTATTATGAAATTTCGTCCTTTTCAAAAACCAATCATGTTTATATGCTCATTATTTTTAAGTACACTGCGGAAGTGGACTCCCGACTGAAGGATTCAGTTGCTACAATTCTAAATGATTTTTGCAAATTAAATCAACGTCCAAGAATTTGTGGAGTTTCTGGGTAAGTTTTTTCTTCAAAACTTACAAGCTAGCTAAATTCTCAGTTTGGGGTTTCTTAAAACGTTTGATTAGACATGTATTTACCTCTCACAAAAAAAGAATGCATATCTTAGAAATAGAGCACATTTTTTCGGTTTTTATAGAGTTAGCTATAGGCATGCATATGAAAGTCTGGGAAAAAAAAGTTTTGGTAAAAACAATGTTCTTCCCAAACATTCACAGTTTCTATAACTCTATAGGAACAAGGAAGATGTTTTCTATTTCCTCTATAAAATAGCCTTTTAAAAACAATTATAGAAAAATAAATATATTAATTTTTATTATTACATATTGTTTGTATTCTTGCCATTCAAATTTCTCGCGACGCAACCTGCGATAAAATTCCTGATTTTTAGTCAATAATAGAAACACGCGTTTTTTCAAAAGATATTTTATAAAAGTCGTTTAGCATGGAAAATTCAACAAAACTACATAACATCAAGTTTCTTTATGTAGTTCGTTCACCTTTATGCAAGTGAGAAGACTTCCTGGCTTCCCATCGATGCAAGGAAACAACGTTACACTAAGGTTTTATGTTGATTATCCAAGCACCCTTCGAAATGGCACATTGGAACGAGACATATTAGCTTCTATACTGTTCATAGAATTAAATAGATTAAAATCTTTACTGATGTTCAACATAACCTTAAACACACCAAGTTCTTTCAATCCATCCCTCCTTCTGCGGAACAGCTCGCCAACAGCGTTCTGTTGAGTTTACTAAACACCACGAGTCAGGTATGTTTCAAACCATGGTTATAAAACTTTTCTTATGTTATTATAATAAAGTTTTCATTATCCAAACTCAAAAGATGATAAATTACACACTTTGCATTTTTATGGATGATGTTGCCTACACTAACACATCTTTTCAATGAATTTCGTCAATGCATAGACGTGCATGTAAGTTGAAAATGAAAGTAAACAATACAATTAAAAATTGTTTAATTGTGTTTTAGATTACCATTTTCCAAGAAAGATATTTACGACTTGCTATGGTGATTACGATCAATGAATACTGCGCTGTGGACAACTACAGTCGTACGGTTGACTGTGGTTTGACTGACAGGTAAAACGCTAATAGTCATAAAGTTTTAAAAGTTCAACAAATCTACATCAATTCTCATGGAAAAGTAAGAATTCTTACGACTCTAGGTCTGGACATTTTGCGTACATTGTAGCTTTAAGCTATTTTAATACAAAATGGTGATTTATGTTGAAGGAGAATGCGTCTGTGCTGATTCATGTTGATAATTAACGTATAGTTACATAGTGCACAATGTACAAATTTTGTTACATATATATGAGTAAAACAAATTAATTTAAAATATATTTTTGTTTATAGTGGTTTAAGTTTCAATATGAGTAACGTTAATATTGCGTCAACGACCTATGGACAATATGCCAACATCTCATTTTATGTGAACAATCCGAGAAGCCAGGGACTTCTGTCTGCTCTTACTCTTGCTTCGATATTGGTCATGCGTGAAACAAATTTTGAGTTACTTCTCGAACAACAAATTACAATCCAAACATCATTCGCTCCAATGAATCCGCCAACTGCTAGCGACGATCAAATAATTAACAGTATAATCATAGAAATAACCTTCAATTTAAATCAGGTAAATCAACAGTACAGACACGAACGTTATATATGCGCTCAAAAAAATTTCTTTATCTTTTGTTTTAATATCTTTCAGTGGAACTTTTTTGATAGACAGACGCTTGAGATCAGCAGCAATTGCACCCCGAGTTTCTGCGTATTGCGGCTTGAATTCCGTCACCTGTGATCTACGCAACCGGTAATTATGCGCATGTCATTCTGTGACAACAAATTATAGTTTTATTTGCAATTATTCAGAACACAAAATATTCCATACAGCTATAATATATTTTATAAAACCTAACACATCCTACCAAATTAAACTGGACGTACAACTCAAGCTAATCTGTCAACATTCCAGTAGAAATTAAAGGAAACGTAACACTGACTCCTAGCAGAGAGGTGGCAATCATTTTTCCCTTGAAACATTTACCAAAGCAAAATAGCTGTAAAATACAAAGTCCCGATGAATTTGGACGAAACATGAAATGAGTGCTATGTATTGTACGTATAGTTGTAATTATAAAACATACAATTGAAAGCAGTTTCTTAATTCTTGCAGGGCGTCGACATTCAGCGTAGACAACGTACAACGTACTACAGCTGCAACACCTTCAGCAGCTATGAGCACCAATCAAATTTACTACAGATTTTACGTTAAATATCCTCAGACAAATACTTCTATCCCACAAAATATTCTAGCCACCATTGTCACCGCTGAGGAGCTTGTAGTGGAGTCTCTTTCAAGACTATCGTTCAGTCTCCAAACGCCACCTGACACTGTACAAATTAGAGTTTTCAATCTACAAATTAATCAGGTAAAATAGACAACTATAAATTTTCGTGTACCTTTTTTCTGTGTTTGGGAACTTTCGGTGACGTTCGCTAAAGTCCGACAAATCACGAGTCAGTGATGTCTTTGGAACAATTCAAGAATTCAATTTATCATCGTGATTTTACTATAAATGTTAAGATAAATGCTAAGTTGACTACCGTGCGCACTTAAATTTTCCAAAACAGTTATCGTCAAAATTTTACGAACTGTTTCACTTTTAGTTTGATACAAGCTTATTTCGCACTAACTTGGCCAGAGCTGCCGAGGAATTTTGTGGTGTAAGAGAGTCGTTATGCAACTTCAGTAGGTAAGTTATCATTTTATTATGTTTTTTCGCTATATTTTTAACAAACTGCCAACGTTTATAGTAGGAAGACTTCGCACGTACATTGCTTTTAAGTCTTAACTATTCACATGATCAATGACCTGAAGGTCTGAAGCAAAAGAGAACCATTGCAGGGATGCTTATAAAAAAGCATTGATGTTTTTAACCGTCTTTACTGCGTGCGCACGCATGCATGTGTGCACTTTCCTGTGTACCATGCCAAATCCATTGATATTTTGCTAAAAAATCAACAATATATCGTTTTTTTTATTGCAAAACTTGCCGAGTTGCTTGTTAGATAACATTTGTCAGTCTAAGCACTTGAAAGGACTTCGCGACCGTTTTGTTATAGGAGTTTTCATATCGACGTATTATGGATAAATATCGACATAGGCGCATATGCTCAATTTATGTTTAGTTCTTTTCATTCATTACACTGTTGGTGATTTCGCAACTATATATACACTTAATCACATTAACTGATCGGGCTGATGAACGATTCCCGAAAACGAACCAATCTGTTAACTCTTTGACATAACTTTTTGGCTCCAGCGCCATTGTCAGCAGTGCCATCAACATCAGTCCCGACAATGTCACGATATTGGCTAATTCACCTTCAACAATTGGTGATGGTCTACTTCTGTCATTCACTTTACAAAAACCAGATGGTTCAGCATTGTCACCTGTTATTCTACGAACAGCTATAAAAACATCAAGAACACAAGTCATATCTCAAAGTAACTCCATCATATCTCCGCCGCTTGTTAATCCTCCATTGTCGGATGCCCAACGATCAAACCTTGTGCGACTTAACATTAACGCTTCAGATACACCATTGGACAGGGAGGTAATGAAATTCAAAGCAAATTGTAATTTATCATACTATACATCCATTAATGACAATCTTGTCTTCTTAGAGAAATCATCTTATTGTTAAAGGAGATGCTTTCATCTTTGTGCCAGATTTTTAATTAATTTTAATCTTGATTTAGATTTTTGACTTAATTTCAGGCATTACGACTGGATATTCAATATTCGATAGCGCTGAGAATAAATGAATTCTGTCGGAATAATACCAACTCTAACTTATGTTCTTCAAACCAGTAAGTGTGATACATGGCCGCACAAAGGAGATAATACGCATGTTTGTTATATATGCCAGCGTCACTTCAGAATGTGTTATTAACCGGACGAGACGATTTCAAACAATCTATTTTTTAATTTTTTTATTTTACTGACGAAAACTAGAGAAGTGAAAGCTAACCCTTGCAAAACAGCGAGTACGAGAGAAAGCTTGGTTTTCAAATAATTCAAATGATGCCATACAATACCCATGAAATAGAAACATACAACGGAGATAATAACATGCTGTATCGAAGCTGTCGTTACCTTATTGTCGGAATTGCTTTTTGCCCTCGAAAAATAAAAAAATATCGAGAATATTCCATTAGTTACGATAATATGCATTTTATATTTAATATTAACTGAGAAATTATATTTACAGATTCACCATAAACGATGTGATTGTACAAATCGAAACGAATGGAAGTGTAAGCTTTGCTGTTTTGTCACCCAGCACAAGCATGCCACTTAATTCCAGTGCAATTCAAAGCGTGACAAATGGAACATTCATGTCTAATATTTTCAATGTGAGCTTAAATATGCTTAACAATGACAATAATGTTATACCTGGTGCAACTAACGACCAAATTCAAAATGCAGTCGAAATAACGCTGCTCGATGTATCAGAGGTAAGAGTTTCACAAATGTATTGATGAAATTTCACTATTTATCCTAGAGGCCACTGCTTACAGGGTACATCAAAAAACAATATCTTTCATAATTAGACGTAATGTGATAATTTTAATGCTTCTCATCTTGCAAATCCCACGAGTGCATAAAGCATTATAAACTACGTACATAGCTATAATACTTCATATGCCACAAGCACAGCAGTTATCGGCTCCTGGAATTTGATGTGAATTCTAACAGCAAAACATGCACAGGAATACACTTGTGGAATTATAGAACAGTCATCAGAAATTTCACAATAGATTAATTACAAAAGTTATTCTTGTTTTTGACACACCTCCTGCACCCACTTTCAAACGTATTATGAAATTTCGTCCTTTTCAAAAATCAATCATGTTTATATGTTCATTATTTTTTAAGTACACTGCGGAAGTGGACTCCCGACTGAAGGATTCAGTTGCTACAATTCTAAATGATTTTTGCAAATTAAATCAACGTCCAAGAATTTGTGGAGTTTCTGGGTAAGTTTTCTTTCTTCAAAACTTACAAGCTAGCTAAATTCCCAGTTTGGGGTTTCTTAAGACGTTTGATTAAAATGTATTTACCTCTCACAAAAAGTATGCATATCTTAGAAATAGAGAAATTTATTTCGGTTTTATAGAGTTAGCTATAGACATGCACATGAAAGTCTGGGAAAAACGAGTTTTGGTAAAATCAATGCGCTTCCTAAACATTCACATTCTCTATAACTCTATATGAACAAGGAAGATGTTTTCTATTTCCTCTATAAAATAGCCTTTTGAAAACAATTATAGAAAAATTAATATATTAATTTTATTATTACATATTGTTTGTATTCTTGCCATCCAAATTTCTCGCAACGCAAACTGCGATAAAATTCCCGATTTTCAGTCAAATAATAGAAACACTTGTTTTCTCAGCATTCAACCAATCGGCGCCCGTATTTTCCAAAAGATTTTTTATAAAAGTCATTTAGCATGGAAAATTCAACAAAACTACGTAACATCAACTTTCTTTATGTAGTTCGTTCAACTCTACACAAGTGAGAAGACTTCCTGGCTTCCCATCGATGCAAGGAAACAACGTTACACTAAGGTTTTATGTTGATTATCCAAGCACCCTTCGAAATGGCACATTGGAACGAGACATATTAGCTTCTATACTGTTCATAGAATTAAATAGATTAAAATCTTTACTGATGTTCAACATAACCTTAAACACACCAAGTTCTTTCAATCCATCCACTCCTTCTGCGGAACAGCTCGCCAACAGCGTTCTGTTGAGTTTACTAAACACCACGAGTCAGGTATGTTTCAAACCATGGTTATAAAACTTTTCTTATGTTATTATAATAAAGTTTTCATTATCCAAACTCAAAAAGATGGTAAATTACACACTTTGCATTTTTATGGATGATGTTGCCTACACTAACACATCTTTTCAATGAATTTCGTCAATGCATAGACGTGCATGTAAGTTGAAAATGAAAGTAAACAATACAATTAAAAATTGTTTAATTGTGTTTTAGATTACCATTTTCCAAGAAAGATATTTACGACTTGCTATGGTGATTACGATCAATGAATACTGCGCTGTGGACAACTACAGTCGTACGGTTGACTGTGGTTTGACTGACAGGTAAAACGCTAATAGTCATAAAGTTTTCAAAAGTTCAACAAATCCACATCAATTCTTATGGAAAAGTAAGAATTCTTACGACTCTAGGTCTGGACATTTTGCGTACATTGTAGCTTTAAGCTATTTTTAATACAATTTGGTGATTTATGTTGAAGGGAGAATGCGTCTGTGCTGATTCATGTTGATAATTAACGTATAGTTACATAGTGCACAATGTACAAATTTTGTTACATATATATGAGTAAAACAAATTAATTTAAAATATATTTTTGTTTATAGTGGTTTAAGTTTCAATATGAGTAACGTTAATATTGCGTCAACGACCTATGGACAATATGCCAACATCTCATTTTATGTGAACAATCCGAGAAGCCAGGGACTTCTGTCTGCTCTTACTCTTGCTTCGATATTGGTCATGCGTGAAACAAATTTTGAGTTACTTCTCGAACAACAAATTACAATCCAAACATCATTCGCTCCAATGAATCCGCCAACTGCTAGCGACGATCAAATAATTAACAGTATAATCATAGAAATAACCTTCAATTTAAATCAGGTAAATCAACAGTACAGACACGAACGTTATATATGCGCTCAAAAAATTTCTTTATCTTTTGTTTTAATATCTTTCAGTGGAACTTTTTGATAGACAGACGCTTGAGATCAGCAGCAATTGCACCCCGAGTTTCTGCGTATTGCGGCTTGAATTCCGTCACCTGTGATCTACGCAACCGGTAATTATGCGCATGTCATTCTGTGACAACAAATTATAGTTTTATTTGCAATTATTCAGAACACAAAATATTCCATACAGCTATAATATATTTTATAAAACCTAACACATCCTACCAAATTAAACTGGACGTACAACTCAAGCTAATCTGTCAACATTCCAGTAGAAATTAAAGGAAACGTAACACTGACTCCTAGCAGAGAGGTGGCAATCATTTTTCCCTTGAAACATTTACCAAAGCAAAATAGCTGTAAAATACAAAGTCCCGATGAATTTGGACGAAACATGAAATGAGTGCTATGTATTGTACGTATAGTTGTAATTATAAAACATACAATTGAAAGCAGTTTCTTAATTCTTGCAGGGCGTCGACATTCAGCGTAGACAACGTACAACGTACTACAGCTGCAACACCTTCAGCAGCTATGAGCACCAATCAAATTTACTACAGATTTTACGTTAAATATCCTCAGACAAATACTTCTATCCCACAAAATATTCTAGCCACCATTGTCACCGCTGAGGAGCTTGTAGTGGAGTCTCTTTCAAGACTATCGTTCAGTCTCCAAACGCCACCTGACACTGTACAAATTAGAGTTTTCAATCTACAAATTAATCAGGTAAAAAATAGACAACTATAAATTTTCGTGTACCTTTTTTTCTGTGTTTGGGAACTTTCGGTGACGTTCGCTAAAGTCCGACAAATCACGAGTCAGTGATGTCTTTTGGAACAATTCAAGAATTCAATTTATCATCGTGATTTTACTATAAATGTTAAGATAAATGCTAAGTTGACTACCGTGCGCACTTAAATTTTCCAAAACAGTTATCGTCAAAATTTTACGAACTGTTTCACTTTTAGTTTGATACAAGCTTATTTCGCACTAACTTGGCCAGAGCTGCCGAGGAATTTTGTGGTGTAAGAGAGTCGTTATGCAACTTCAGTAGGTAAGTTATCATTTTATTATGTTTTTTTTCGCTATATTTTTAACAAACTGCCAACGTTTATAGTAGGAAGACTTCGCACGTACATTGCTTTTAAGTCTTAACTATTCACATGATCAATGACCTGAAGGTCTGAAGCAAAAGAGAACCATTGCAGGGATGCTTATAAAAAAGCATTGATGTTTTTTAACCGTCTTTTACTGCGTGCGCACGCATGCATGTGTGCACTTTCCTGTGTACCATGCCAAATCCATTGATATTTTGCTAAAAAATCAACAATATATCGTTTTTTTTATTGCAAAACTTGCCGAGTTGCTTGTTAGATAACATTTGTCAGTCTAAGCACTTGAAAGGACTTCGCGACCGTTTTGTTATAGGAGTTTTCATATCGACGTATTATGGATAAATATCGACATAGGCGCATATGCTCAATTTATGTTTAGTTCTTTTCATTCATTACACTGTTGGTGATTTCGCAACTATATATACACTTAATCACATTAACTGATCGGGCTGATGAACGATTCCCGAAAACGAACCAATCTGTTAACTCTTTGACATAACTTTTTGGCTCCAGCGCCATTGTCAGCAGTGCCATCAACATCAGTCCCGACAATGTCACGATATTGGCTAATTCACCTTCAACAATTGGTGATGGTCTACTTCTGTCATTCACTTTACAAAAACCAGATGGTTCAGCATTGTCACCTGTTATTCTAAGAACAGCTATAAAAACATCAAGAACACAAGTCATATCTCAAAGTAACTCCATCATATCTCCGCCGTTTGTTAATCCTCCATTGTCGGATGCCCAACGATCAAGCCTTGTGCGACTTAACATTAACGCTTCAGATACACCATTGGACAGGGAGGTAATGAAATTCAAAGCAAATTGTAATTTATCATACTATACATCCATTAATGACAATCTTGTCTTCTTAGAAAAATCATCTTATTGTTAAAGGAGATGCTTTCATCTTTGTGCCAGATTTTTAATTAATTTTAATCTTGATTTAGATTTTTGACTTAATTTCAGGCATTACGACTGGATATTCAATATTCGATAGCGCTGAGAATAAATGAATTCTGTCGGAATAATACCAACTCTAACTTATGTTCTTCAAACCAGTAAGTGTGATACATGGCCGCACAAAGGAGATAATACGCATGTTTGTTATATATGCCAGCGTCACTTCAGAATGTGTTATTAACCGGACGAGACGATTTCAAACAATCTATTTTTTAATATTTTTTTATTTTACTGACGAAAACTAGAGAAGTGAAAGCTAACCCTTGCAAAACAGCGAGTACGAGAGAAAGCTTGGTTTTCAAATAATTCAAATGATGCCATACAATACCCATGAAATAGAAACATACAACGGAGATAATAACATGCTGTATCGAAGCTGTCGTTACCTTATTGTCGGAATTGCTTTTTGCCCTCGAAAAATAAAAAAATATCGAGAATATTCCATTAGTTACGATAATATGCATTTTATATTTAATATTAACTGAGAAATTATATTTACAGATTCACCATAAACGATGTGATTGTACAAATCGAAACGAATGGAAGTGTAAGCTTTGCTGTTTTGTCACCCAGCACAAGCATGCCACTTAATTCCAGTGCAATTCAAAGCGTGACAAATGGAACATTCATGTCTAATATTTTCAATGTGAGCTTAAATATGCTTAACAATGACAATAATGTTATACCTGGTGCAACTAACGACCAAATTCAAAATGCAGTCGAAATAACGCTGCTCGATGTATCAGAGGTAAGAGTTTCACAAATGTATTGATGAAATTTCACTATTTATCCTAGAGGCCACTGCTTACAGGGTACATCAAAAAACAATATCTTTCATAATTAGACGTAATGTGATAATTTTAATGCTTCTCATCTTGCAAATCCCACGAGTGCATAAAGCATTATAAACTACGTACATAGCTATAATACTCATATGCCACAAGCACAGCAGTTATCGGCTCCTGGAATTTGATGTGAATTCTAACAGCAAAACATGCACAGGAATACACTTGTGGAATTATAGAACAGTCATCAGAAATTTCACAATAGATTAATTACAAAGTTATTCTTGTTTTTGACACACCTCCTGCACCCACTTTCAAACGTATTATGAAATTTCGTCCTTTTCAAAAATCAATCATGTTTATATGTTCATTATTTTTTAAGTACACTGCGGAAGTGGACTCCCGACTGAAGGATTCAGTTGCTACAATTCTAAATGATTTTTGCAAATTAAATCAACGTCCAAGAATTTGTGGAGTTTCTGGGTAAGTTTTCTTTCTTCAAAACTTACAAGCTAGCTAAATTCCCAGTTTGGGGTTTCTTAAGACGTTTGATTAAAAATGTATTTACCTCTCACAAAAAAGTATGCATATCTTAGAAATAGAGAAATTTATTTCGGTTTTTATAGAGTTAGCTATAGACATGCACATGAAAGTCTGGGAAAAACGAGTTTTGGTAAAATCAATGCGCTTCCTAAACATTCACATTCTCTATAACTCTATATGAACAAGGAAGATGTTTTCTATTTCCTCTATAAAATAGCCTTTTGAAAACAATTATAGAAAAATTAATATATTAATTTTATTATTACATATTGTTTGTATTCTTGCCATCCAAATTTCTCGCAACGCAAACTGCGATAAAATTCCCGATTTTCAGTCAAATAATAGAAACACTTGTTTTCTCAGCATTCAACCAATCGGCGCCCGTATTTTCCAAAAGATTTTTATAAAAGTCATTTAGCATGGAAAATTCAACAAAACTACGTAACATCAACTTTCTTTATGTAGTTCGTTCAACTCTACACAAGTGAGAAGACTTCCTGGCTTCCCATCGATGCAAGGAAACAACGTTACACTAAGGTTTTATGTTGATTATCCAAGCACCCTTCGAAATGGCACATTGGAACGAGACATATTAGCTTCTATACTGTTCATAGAATTAAATAGATTAAAATCTTTACTGATGTTCAACATAACCTTAAACACACCAAGTTCTTTCAATCCATCCACTCCTTCTGCGGAACAGCTCGCCAACAGCGTTCTGTTGAGTTTACTAAACACCACGAGTCAGGTATGTTTCAAACCATGGTTATAAAACTTTTCTTATGTTATTATAATAAAGTTTTCATTATCCAAACTCAAAAAGATGGTAAATTACACACTTTGCATTTTTATGGATGATGTTGCCTACACTAACACATCTTTTCAATGAATTTCGTCAATGCATAGACACAATACAATTAAAATTGTTTAATTTAGATTACCATTTTCCAAGAAAGATATTTACGACTTGCTATGGTGATTACGATCAATGAATACTGCGCTGTGGACAACTACAGTCGTACGGTTGACTGTGGTTTGACTGACAGGTAAAACGCTAATAGTCATAAAGTTTTCAAAAGTTCAACAAATCCACATCAATTCTATGGAAAAGTAAGAATTCTACGACTCTAGGTCTGGACATTTTGCGTACATTGTAGCTTTAAGCTATTTTAATACAATTTGGTGATTTATGTTGAAGGAGAATGCGTCTGTGCTGATTCATGTTGATAATTAACGTATAGTTACATAGTGCACAATGTACAAATTTTGTTACATATATATGAGTAAAACAAATTAATTTAAAATATATTTTTGTTTATAGTGGTTTAAGTTTCAATATGAGTAACGTTAATATTGCGTCAACGACCTATGGACAATATGCCAACATCTCATTTTATGTGAACAATCCGAGAAGCCAGGGACTTCTGTCTGCTCTTACTCTTGCTTCGATATTGGTCATGCGTGAAACAAATTTTGAGTTACTTCTCGAACAACAAATTACAATCCAAACATCATTCGCTCCAATGAATCCGCCAACTGCTAGCGACGATCAAATAATTAACAGTATAATCATAGAAATAACCTTCAATTTAAATCAGGTAAATCAACAGTACAGACACGAACGTTATATATGCGCTCAAAAAATTTCTTTATCTTTTGTTTTAATATCTTTCAGTGGAACTTTTTGATAGACAGACGCTTGAGATCAGCAGCAATTGCACCCCGAGTTTCTGCGTATTGCGGCTTGAATTCCGTCACCTGTGATCTACGCAACCGGTAATTATGCGCATGTCATTCTGTGACAACAAATTATAGTTTTATTTGCAATTATTCAGAACACAAAATATTCCATACAGCTATAATATATTTTATAAAACCTAACACATCCTACCAAATTAAACTGGACGTACAACTCAAGCTAATCTGTCAACATTCCAGTAGAAATTAAAGGAAACGTAACACTGACTCCTAGCAGAGAGGTGGCAATCATTTTTCCCTTGAAACATTTACCAAAGCAAAATAGCTGTAAAATACAAAGTCCCGATGAATTTGGACGAAACATGAAATGAGTGCTATGTATTGTACGTATAGTTGTAATTATAAAACATACAATTGAAAGCAGTTTCTTAATTCTTGCAGGGCGTCGACATTCAGCGTAGACAACGTACAACGTACTACAGCTGCAACACCTTCAGCAGCTATGAGCACCAATCAAATTTACTACAGATTTTACGTTAAATATCCTCAGACAAATACTTCTATCCCACAAAATATTCTAGCCACCATTGTCACCGCTGAGGAGCTTGTAGTGGAGTCTCTTTCAAGACTATCGTTCAGTCTCCAAACGCCACCTGACACTGTACAAATTAGAGTTTTCAATCTACAAATTAATCAGGTAAAAATAGACAACTATAAATTTTCGTGTACCTTTTTTTCTGTGTTTGGGAACTTTCGGTGACGTTCGCTAAAGTCCGACAAATCACGAGTCAGTGATGTCTTTTGGAACAATTCAAGAATTCAATTTATCATCGTGATTTTACTATAAATGTTAAGATAAATGCTAAGTTGACTACCGTGCGCACTTAAATTTTCCAAAACAGTTATCGTCAAAATTTTACGAACTGTTTCACTTTTAGTTTGATACAAGCTTATTTCGCACTAACTTGGCCAGAGCTGCCGAGGAATTTTGTGGTGTAAGAGAGTCGTTATGCAACTTCAGTAGGTAAGTTATCATTTTATTATGTTTTTTTTCGCTATATTTTTAACAAACTGCCAACGTTTATAGTAGGAAGTCTTCGCACGTACATTGCTTTTAAGTCTTAACTATTCACATGATCAATGACCTGAAGGTCTGAAGCAAAAGAGAACCATTGCAGGGATGCTTATAAAAAAGCATTGATGTTTTTTAACCGTCTTTTACTGCGTGCGCACGCATGCATGTGTGCACTTTCCTGTGTACCATGCCAAATCCATTGATATTTTGCTAAAAAATCAACAATATATCGTTTTTTTTATTGCAAAACTTGCCGAGTTGCTTGTTAGATAACATTTGTCAGTCTAAGCACTTGAAAGGACTTCGCGACCGTTTTGTTATAGGAGTTTTCATATCGACGTATTATGGATAAATATCGACATAGGCGCATATGCTCAATTTATGTTTAGTTCTTTTCATTCATTACACTGTTGGTGATTTCGCAACTATATATACACTTAATCACATTAACTGATCGGGCTGATGAACGATTCCCGAAAACGAACCAATCTGTTAACTCTTTGACATAACTTTTTGGCTCCAGCGCCATTGTCAGCAGTGCCATCAACATCAGTCCCGACAATGTCACGATATTGGCTAATTCACCTTCAACAATTGGTGATGGTCTACTTCTGTCATTCACTTTACAAAAACCAGATGGTTCAGCATTGTCACCTGTTATTCTACGAACAGCTATAAAACATCAAGAACACAAGTCATATCTCAAAGTAACTCCATCATATCTGCCGCTTGTTAATCCTCCATTGTCGGATGCCCAACGATCAAACCTTGTGCGACTTAACATTAACGCTTCAGATACACCATTGGACAGGGAGGTAATGAAATTCAAAGCAAATTGTAATTTATCATACTATACATCCATTAATGACAATCTTGTCTTCTTAGAGAAATCATCTTATTGTTAAAGGAGATGCTTTCATCTTTGTGCCAGATTTTTAATTAATTTTAATCTTGATTTAGATTTTTGACTTAATTTCAGGCATTACGACTGGATATTCAATATTCGATAGCGCTGAGAATAAATGAATTCTGTCGGAATAATACCAACTCTAACTTATGTTCTTCAAACCAGTAAGTGTGATACATGGCCGCACAAAGGAGATAATACGCATGTTTGTTATATATGCCAGCGTCACTCAGAATGTGTTATTAACCGGACGAGACGATTTCAAACAATCTATTTTTAATTTTTTATTTTACTGACGAAAACTAGAGAAGTGAAAGCTAACCCTTGCAAAACAGCGAGTAGAGAGAAAGCTTGGTTTCAAATAATTCAAATGATGCCATACAATACCCATGAAATAGAAACATACAACGGAGATAATAACATGCTGTATCGAAGCTGTCGTTACCTTATTGTCGGAATTGCTTTTTGCCCTCGAAAAATAAAAAAATATCGAGAATATTCCATTAGTTACGATAATATGCATTTTATATTTAATATTAACTGAGAAATTATATTTACAGATTCACCATAAACGATGTGATTGTACAAATCGAAACGAATGGAAGTGTAAGCTTTGCTGTTTTGTCACCCAGCACAAGCATGCCACTTAATTCCAGTGCAATTCAAAGCGTGACAAATGGAACATTCATGTCTAATATTTTCAATGTGAGCTTAAATATGCTTAACAATGACAATAATGTTATACCAAGTGCAACTAACGACCAAATTCAAAATGCAGTCGAAATAACGCTGCTCGATGTATCAGAGGTAAGAGTTTCACAAATGTATTGATGAAATTTCACTATTTATCCTAGAGGCCACTGCTTACAGGGCAACATCAAAAACAATATCTTTCATAATTAGACGTAATGTGATAATTTTAATGCTTCTCATCTTGCAAATCCCACGAGTGCATAAAGCATTATAAACTACGTACATAGCTATAATACTCATATGCCACAAGCACAGCAGTTATCGGTCCTGGAATTTGATGTGAATTCTAACAGCAAAACATGCACAGGAATACACTTGTGGAATTATAGAACAGTCATCAGAAATTTCACAATAGATTAATTACAAAGTTATTCTTGTTTTGACACACCTCCTGCACCCACTTTCAAACGTATTATGAAATTTCGTCCTTTTCAAAAATCAATCATGTTTATATGTTCATTATTTTAGTACACTGCGGAAGTGGACTCTGACTGAAGGATTCAGTTGCTACAATTCTAAATGATTTTTGCAAATTAAATCAACGTCCAAGAATTTGTGGAGTTTCTGGGTAAGTTTTCTTTCTTCAAAACTTACAAGCTAGCTAAATTCCCAGTTTGGGGTTTCTTAAGACGTTTGATTAAAAATGTATTTACCTCTCACAAAAGTATGCATATCTTAGAAATAGAAATTTATTCGGTTTTATAGAGTTAGCTATAGACATGCACATGAAAGTCTGGGAAAACGAGTTTTGGTAAAATCAATGCGCTTCCTAAACATTCACATTCTCTATAACTCTATGAACAAGGAAGATGTTTTCTATTTCCTCTATAAAATAGCCTTTGAAAACAATTATAAAAATTAATATATTAATTTTATTATTACATATTGTTTGTATTCTTGCCATCCAAATTTCTCGCAACGCAAACTGCGATAAAATTCCTGATTTTCAGTCAAATAATAGAAACACTTGTTTTCTCAGCATTCAACCAATCGGCGCCCGTATTTTCCAAAAGATTTTTATAAAAGTCATTTAGCATGGAAAATTCAACAAAACTACGTAACATCAACTTTCTTTATGTAGTTCGTTCAACTCTACACAAGTGAGAAGACTTCCTGGCTTCCCATCGATGCAAGGAAACAACGTTACACTAAGGTTTTATGTTGATTATCCAAGCACCTTCGAAATGGCACATTGGAACGAGACATATTAGCTTCTATACTGTTCATAGAATTAAATAGATTAAAATCTTTACTGATGTTCAACATAACCTTAACACACCAAGTTCTTTCAATCCATCCACTCCTTCTGCGGAACAGCTCGCCAACAGCGTTCTGTTGAGTTTACTAAACACCACGAGTCAGGTATGTTTCAAACCATGGTTATAAAACTTTTCTTATGTTATTATAATAAAGTTTTCATTATCCAAACTCAAAAAGATGGTAAATTACACACTTTGCATTTTTATGGATGATGTTGCCTACACTAACACATCTTTTCAATGAATTTCGTCAATGCATAGACGTGCATGTAAGTTGAAAATGAAAGTAAACAATACAATTAAAAATTGTTTAATTGTGTTTTAGATTACCATTTTCCAAGAAAGATATTTACGACTTGCTATGGTGATTACGATCAATGAATACTGCGCTGTGGACAACTACAGTCGTACGGTTGACTGTGGTTTGACTGACAGGTAAAACGCTAATAGTCATAAAGTTTTCAAAAGTTCAACAAATCCACATCAATTCTTATGGAAAAGTAAGAATTCTTACGACTCTAGGTCTGGACATTTTGCGTACATTGTAGCTTTAAGCTATTTTTAATACAATTTGGTGATTTATGTTGAAGGGAGAATGCGTCTGTGCTGATTCATGTTGATAATTAACGTATAGTTACATAGTGCACAATGTACAAATTTTGTTACATATATATGAGTAAAACAAATTAATTTAAAATATATTTTGTTTATAGTGGTTTAAGTTTCAATATGAGTAACGTTAATATTGCGTCAACGACCTATGGACAATATGCCAACATCTCATTTTATGTGAACAATCCGAGAAGCCAGGGACTTCTGTCTGCTCTTACTCTTGCTTCGATATTGGTCATGCGTGAAACAAATTTTGAGTTACTTCTCGAACAACAAATTACAATCCAAACATCATTCGCTCCAATGAATCCGCCAACTGCTAGCGACGATCAAATAATTAACAGTATAATCATAGAAATAACCTTCAATTTAAATCAGGTAAATCAACAGTACAGACACGAACGTTATATATGCGCTCAAAAATTTCTTTATCTTTGTTTTAATATCTTTCAGTGGAACTTTTGATAGACAGACGCTTGAGATCAGCAGCAATTGCACCCGAGTTTCTGCGTATTGCGGCTTGAATTCCGTCACCTGTGATCTACGCAACCGGTAATTATGCATGTCATTCTGTGACAACAAATTATAGTTTTATTTGCAATTATTCAGAACACAAAATATTCCATACAGCTATAATATATTTTATAAAACCTAACACATCCTACCAAATTAAACTGGACGTACAACTCAAGCTAATCTGTCAACATTCCAGTAGAAATTAAAGGAAACGTAACACTGACTCCTAGCAGAGGTGGCAATCATTTTTCCCTTGAAACATTTACCAAAGCAAAATAGCTGTAAAATACAAAGTCCCGATGAATTTGGACGAAACATGAAATGAGTGCTATGTATTGTACGTATAGTTGTAATTATAAAACATACAATTGAAAGCAGTTTCTTAATTCTTGCAGGGCGTCGACATTCAGCGTAGACAACGTACAACGTACTTCAGCTGCAACACCTTCAGCAGCTATGAGCACCAATCAAATTTACTACAGATTTTACGTTAAAATCCTCAGACAAATACTTCTATCCCACAAAATATTCTAGCCACCATTGTCACCGCTGAGGAGCTTGTAGTGGAGTCTCTTTCAAGACTATCGTTCAGTCTCCAAACGCCACCTGACACTGTACAAATTAGAGTTTTCAATCTACAAATTAATCAGGTAAAATAGACAACTATAAATTTTCGTGTACCTTTTTTCTGTGTTTGGGAACTTTCGGTGACGTTCACAAAGTCTGACAAATCACGAGTCAGTGATGTCTTTTGGAACAATTCAAGAATTTAATTTATCATCGTGATTTTACTATAAATGTTAAGATAAATGCTAAGTTGACTACCGTGCGCACTTAAATTTTCCAAAACAGTTATCGTCAAAATTTTACGAACTGTTTCACTTTTAGTTTGATACAAGCTTATTTCGCACTAACTTGGCCAGAGCTGCCGAGGAATTTTGTGGTGTAAGAGAGTCGTTATGCAACTTCAGTAGGTAAGTTATCATTTTATTATGTTTTTTATTTTTAACAAACTGCCAACGTTTATAGTAGGAAGACTTCGCACGTACATTGCTTTTAAGTCTTAACTATTCACATGATCAATGACCTGAAGGTCTGAAGCAAAGAGAACCATTGCAGGGATGCTTATAAAAAGCATTGATGTTTTTAACCGTCTTTACTGCGTGCGCACGCATGCATGTGTGCACTTTCCTGTACCATGCCAAATCCATTGATATTTTGCTAAAAAATCAACAATATATCGTTTTTTTTATTGCAAAACTTGCCGAGTTGCTTGTTAGATAACATTTGTCAGTCTAAGCACTTGAAAGGAGTTCGCGACCGTTTTGTTATAGGAGTTTTCATGTCGACGTATTATGGATAAATATCGACATAGGCGCATATGCTCAATTTATGTTTAGTTCTTTTCATTCATTACACTGTTGGTTATTTCGCAACTATATATACACTTAATCACATTAACTGATCGGGCTGATGAACGATTCCCGAAAACGAGCCAATCTGTTAACTCTTTGACATAACTTTTTAGCTCCAGCGCCATTGTCAGCAGTGCCATCAACATCAATCCCGACAATGTCACGATATTGGCTAATTCACCTTCAACAATTGGTGATGGTCTACTTCTGTCATTCACTTTACAAAAACCAGATGGTTCAGCATTGTCACCTGTTATTCTAAGAACAGCTATAAGAACATCAAGAACACAAGTCATATCTCAAAATAACTCCATCATAACTCCGCCGTTTGTTAATCCTCCATTGTCGGATGACCAACGATTAAACCTTGTGCGACTTAACATTAACGCTTCAGATACATCTATCGACAGAGAGGTAATGAAATTCAAAGCAATTTGTAATTTATCATACCATACATCAATTAATGACAATCCTTGTCTTCTTAGAGAAATCATCTTATTGTTAAAGGAGTTGCTTTCATCTTTGTGCAAGATTTTTAATCAGTTTTTATCTTGATTTAGATTTTTGACTTAATTTCAGGCATTACGACTGGATGTTCAATATTCGATAGCGCTGAGAATGAATGAATTCTGTCGGAATAATACCAACTCTAGCTTATGTTCCTCAAACCAGTAAGTGTGATACATGGCCGCACAAAGGAGATATCACGCATGTTTGTTATATATGCCAGCGTCACCTCGGAATGTGTTATTATCCGGACGAGACGATTTCAAACAATCTATTTTTTAATTTTTTTATTTTACTGACGAAAACTAGAGAAGTGAACGCTAACTCTTGCAAAACAGCGAGTACGAAGGAAAGCTTGGTTTTCAAATAATTCAAATGATGCCATACAATACCCAATACACAATCTATTTTTTAATTTTTTTATTTTACTGACGAAAATTAGAGAAGTGAACGCTAACCCTTGCAAAACAGCGAGTACGAAGGAAAGCTTGGTTTTCAAATAATTCAAATGATGCCATACAATACCCATGAAATAGAAACTTACAACGCAGATAAAGACATATGTTGTATCGAAGCTGTCGTTACCTTATTGTCGGCATTGCTATTTGCCCTCGACAAATAAAAAAATATCGACAATATCCCATAAGTTACAATGACATGCATTTTATATTTAATACTAGCTGACAAATTATATTTACAGATTCACCATAAACGATGTGATTGTTCAAATCGAAACGAATGGAAGTGTAAGCTTTGCTGTTTTGTTACCCAGCACAAACACGCCACTTAATTCCAATGAAGTTCAAAGCGTGACAAATGGAACATTAATGTCTAGTATTTTTAATGTCAGCTTAAATATGCTTAACAATGACAATAATGTTATGACAACAATGCCACCTGATGAGGATGACGATCCTGATTTTGCATTGATATTGGGTCTATCGATTGGTGGATTGGTCTTGCTCATCTTCGTGGTGGTTGCTGTTGTGTGGTAAGTATAATTTTATTTATGTGTAAATGTACATAAAATAACAAACTATTACAATTTTCAATAGTTTCACTGTACTGTATTTCATACATTAACGATCAACAGACTTGCTTAAGATATGTTTGTAGTAGCCAAGCTACATCCATTGGAAAAAATTTCTTGGGAAAACCGCTTATTTACACGACAAGGTCTGAATGTACTTATTTTATTTCAGTTTAAAGGCACGAAATTCCAATGCATCGAAATTTCCAGTAGCCACTGATGGAGGCGGCAGCTGGCAATTTGATCGAGACGCACCTTATACGGGATCAGCGTTTGCCGGAGCTGAGCGCATACCTGGATTTGATGATGACGGTTTGCCGACAGAGATAAGTTCCGGTGGTAATGACCCGGGCACCATTTAACAATATTAATGGTTTAAGGATTACATTATTAGGTCATTATAAACTGTTAACTTGAAACTAGCTCATTTAATACAATTTGCACATGTAACTTAATTTTACCCTTATGCATAGCATAATTGACTTCCCGAGCAGATTAGCCTTCAGTTTGCTAATGCAGTGGAAATGGAACAAATAGCCAACGAATTCAGCCAACAAATGGCTTCTTTATCATAGAAACATAATATAATCGACAGCATTTGAGAGCAAGGATATCATAAAACGGCCAACATAATCTCAATTGAACGCATGAATTATAGCTAAGTGGCAAAGCGTCAGTTCGATGCTTTTTTCTTGTTGTGAAAATGATTTCAAAACTTGACACACAAAAAGTTTCCGGAGAAACAAAAATTCATGTTTGATGCTTTGATAGCAAGAGCAAAACATTTCGCTGGCATTGATCTTTTAAATGATATGGCCATGCATCCACGTTGTGTGGATACACGTGGGTACATGGCCATATCATTTGCTGCATGCTATAGGAAGATGTTAGGTTGACGTAGTTAGATATAAATATTACATTATTGTGGCCAATAAAAGGAAAGATAGGTGTTAAACAAGGATTTTAAGGAACAAAATCTGCAAGCATAATGATGATCGGACAACGACGGTTCGCCAAAGTGCAGGATAAACAAATTAACTTTAATAATATTTAAATATTTATATAAATATACAATACGTATTTATGCACTTAACTTTAACTTACTAAGCTGTATATGATAGCTTCGTTGTATAATGGATAACTGAAAATGGATAACATGTGTTGCAGCAGGAATTTTTAAAAGAAACTTGCATCATCTATGTATATACAGCATCATCAGACGTATTTACGTCAACTTTCGACAACAATAGAAAGATTTAGCAAACACGACGTATCGCTTAAGACGTCGTGAAACTGGCGTAAAAATGGCATGATATTTCAATATATGGTTGGGACCACGCCATATTTACGCCATTTTTACGACGTCTTAAACGATACGTCGTGTTTGCTAAATCTCTCTAATATGTATTGAAAGGGGCTTATATGTATATATAGATTGTCCACATAAGTGCAGACCCGAGAATTGAGAACTTTATGTTAGTGTTAGTATGTTTGACGTTTTGACATCCTTAGTTTTATAGTCATCTTTAGAGTCGAGTGGCTTCTACAAAGATGAAACTACACTCTCCTGTTAAAACACTTACTTTTTACTACAGGATTTTGTTGCAGACGACTTTCTCCACATGTAGAGAAACCAAAGAGTTTAAATTTGTTGTGTTACCTTATGCCTGATATACAAGATTTTAGCATAGTAGGCACACCAAAGTAGGTCAAACTGAATGCTAAGTAGTCGCTGTACTATATATTACTGTCAGTCGACAAAAACAAAAGATGAACTTTTTAAGCATATACGTACTCAATACTATCAGCCAACTATTCGATTCAATTTTATGTAGAAAATAGATTCATGATAAAATTTTTATTCTGAATACTTACTTAAATATCTTTAAGTCAAGTAAATTCATAGTAGAATGAGAAATATTATGGAGGAAGATCTACCTTTTTGCCGCGATTTTTCAACAAGTCAAATCAGTAATATGCACAATCGTAATGTACGATTTCAGCGGAGAAATCACAAAATTCCAGGGGTCGGTTGTATAAAGCTCTTAACTATACTTTTTAACTACACTTTTTGCTGGTAAAAGGTAGTTAAATTTAGGCATGCAGTTAAGTTACTAAATTTAAGGAGTTAACTACGGTAGTTAGCGTTAACTGTAATTAAAGTTAACTACTTTTGTCCAACACGAGTCGGTATTTTCAGCCATTATACTCATATCGACGCGTTAGCTCTGCAATTCATCTGAAAAATCTTTGATGAAATGGTAAGAGTGAGAATTATGTTACCAAGAAGTAGTTCTGAAATAACTGGCGCACGAAAATGACAAGCTAGCAAAGCTTTGAGAAATTTGACCGAAGCATTATATAAATTCTCAATTCAAACGCTAAGTGTTCGCATAGATATAAGCCAAATTTCCTAAATGTGACATATTTTAACCTTATGTGTCCCAAATGCTTTTAAGCTGCGTCATTTTCATGCACAAGCTCTTTCAAAAGTGCTTCTCGGCAACACTATTTTCACTCTAAAAATGGTTAATATTAGCAATTTGCGAAAATTTTACTTAAGAAATAAAAGATATTTAGTGTAATTTGATTTGGCTAATGCAAACTCAGCTCTAGACCAATGAGCGCACTCGTTTCATTGTGTTTATTTTATACTGTCTGATGAATCATTGGAAGTCCAACTAACTATTTCAACCATAGGTTTTTGCAAATCTCGCACGATGATCATTTCAGCAACGTTTTGCAAACTGTGTTCAATTTTTTTTGATACACCCCGTACAGTATAATAAAATGAATTGCATCAATTCCGCCAGTCGTACAAAAATAATGAAAAACTCACCATTTCAAATGGAAAATGATACACTTGTGTCCTTCATCTTTGAACCACAACATGGACCGACAATGTCATCCGTACTTCTAAGGAAAAATTTTAAAGAACTCAGTGGTATATACCTCATACGAACTCCGAAAGCTGTCAATGCTCTACAAACAGACGCACAAATGTTATATCTTGTGCGACGACTACAGATTATGACACTTAAAAATAACAAAGTCGGCGTAGATGTACAGAATGTGTCTCAAAGTTAGCCTTGCCCACGTAGATTGCTGAAACATAACTTCGACACGATTGCAGTCTTTAAAAGTTGATGTTTCAACTGCTTTTAGCGAATAGATTGCATGATTTTTGTGCCAACAGTTTCCGTTCTAAAATCTGTACTTCCTACCAGTAAGTAATTTAATTTTGGTTTTAACTTTGAACGCCGTTATGCACGGTGAAAAGAAGTATATAGTTAGGAAAACATTATAACGAACATGCAGTTTCATAATGTACTTTTAATATATTTATTTTTCTGTAGTTTAACTCAAAATCTTATCTGAAACATAGTGTAAGTTTTACACTGAAAGAATGCAAAAAATCAAATGAAGCTCGCAGCAAAAATAACTAAATATTTTAAATTTTCATGAAAATTATAGACATCTAAAATTAATCATACAGCAAGTATTAAAAGAACACTTTTTATAAGCCAGTATTAAATATAAGCAAAAATATCAACTTTCGCCAGCTATTCATGACTTCAGTCATTTTTGTTGCATCAGTGATAAAGTGTCGAAAGGAGCCACCCTTTTGAAATCACTGGCCTCAAAGGCGGCTATGATTTTTCAGGGAATGCCGTACATGGTTTAGGAGCGTGTTCATTATGGGACTGTAATTTTCAAAATCAGCGAACGATTGAATGCACTTTCTTCAGACAGATTTTTTCTCGCTACATAAATACCTTTACAGTATGTATTTTTCATGACTTTTAAAAAATTAAGTTTTCAAGGGTTGGGCAACTGTACGGTATTAACAAAAACCCTTGAGACCACGACCAGAGTGTCAGCTTACGGGAGGAGTCCGCTTATAAGAGGTCACTAGAGGTATTCGCAGGTAAAGGTATTATTTGTATTCCGTAATCATACAGGTTGTGTTTAGCGACGTATAGACGACCTAATTTCTTGGTCATCCCATGAAATGTATGTTTATGAAGTGGAAGAACAACATGAATAGCATGGTGAAAAATTAAGTCCGTAAACAACACGAGTAACAGAAAAAGGATATAGCTAAGTTGTGAGGAAAAGCAAAACACAGGAGCAATCAACAAATGAACAGTTTATTTAAATATCTTTGGCGACCACCAAATTTGTGCAAAACAAAGTTAAGAAGGGACGCAACCAAAGAAAAGTTTGCAAATGTACATAATGCAAATATCAAATGTTTGAGTGTGCATCTTGTATCTTTTGTCATCTAACTTTCGTTCGCCAGCGTTAGCGTGCAGCGAACAGTTCCAACAGGGCCAAAACTAATATTTTCAGCAACCTTCAAAGTCTGACCAGGCAGTAATTTGAATTTAAATTTCTTTAAAAGACGAGCAATGATGAGTTTCAATTGCAATTCCGCGTGTTGTGGTGCAATGCAACGCCTTGGACCGAGAGAAAAGGGAAAATATGCGGCGGGATGAACTAATTCAGGATCAGCAAAGCGATCTGGATTAAAAGAATGAGGATCTTTCCAGTAATCCGGATGCGTTTGAATAACATACGGATTTGCCATAACAGGTACATCTCCTGGTATTTTGACGTTTCCAATGAAAGTTTCGTAATTGGTTCTTCTTGTGATTGCTGGTGTCGGGGGATGCAAGCGAAGCGATTCCTTCACAACTTGACCGAGATACGGCATTGCCATAATATCTTTGGCTGTGATCTCCTTTAAATCACCAATCACTTCATCTATTTCTTTTCGAAGCCTAAACAAGAACATTTGAACAGTAAATGCGGAAAAAACTTAAGCTTACAAAGATATGGTCTCTAGTTAGACCATTACACAACTGAGTTGATGCATGGCATGTTTAACAAATAGATTACATTTAACCCTTGTCTATACAGTTATAGATACACGGGTATGACGACTTTGTGATAAGAGCTAAAAAATGATTTTGCAAATGTCCCGCGTACGTAATCAATAAGATTAAACACATGCTATTAAAGGGCGAAACTAGAACGCTAATTGGGTAAATATTCATGTGTTCAGCTCTGCCCTGCTGACTTCTTTTAAAATTAAAATCGCAAACAAAAGAAATTAGCAGGGCAGAGCTGAATACATGAATATATACTCCTCCCAAATAACGTCCTAGTTTCGCCCTTGGTGGTATTGGCCCATTGGCTATCTTAGTCATGTGATAAAATGTGATTGGCTACCAGTATAAACAAGCAATGGCTGATCAATTTTGTTGAAATTGTGTTATCGACGACGAAGTACAAACAAACGTTTGAAAATGGAGTTTTTTTCTTTTTGTTCAAATACGTCAACTGCTTCAACTAAGTCTTCTTAATGTCTTCATTTGCCCATGCAGGGATAAAATCAGGTAAATATTCAAATCGCCGATCGTTTGCGATTTAAAAACAAGAAATTTCTGTGATATCAATTCCGTGGGTATGTCCTCTTATAGATTAATACTCTCGACCAATGAAATTGCTCAAAATGTTTATGGTTATTATATAATAAAACGTTACAAGTCCAACATCTACATGCATAATCAAAATATATGGTAAACCTAGGCAATAGAAAACAATATGAAAATATCAGCCACGAAAGCTAACATCATGAGCATTAGCTAATGTAAAAATAGCTTTGTGAAATTCAAACAAAAAGCTTTGGTATATATGAGTGATCAGTGATTAGCAAAGTCCAGCACATCTCTATAAGACTGCTCACGACGGTTAAATATATATAGCTAATTCCCTTCATTGGCGTATTAGTCAAGGGCAGCCCCAAAAAATATCGGGTAGACCATTATTTGCTGGAAAGTTATATAAATTAAGTCATTTATGATTGAAATGTTTCGACCTCCCCCCCTAACAAATGTTAGCCTGTACACCCATGCTTCCCGTAGAAATAATTCAAATTCATACTTGTTTTCAACGTCTGCATGTAAACCAATAGATAGAGCAGTAAAGCATAAGCTGTTGCCCGTAGTATCCATTCCTAGAAGGTAAAAAAGTAAAGGAATTTGTCTCAAGTAGAAACGACGTTATACCTACTAATGTTAATGCTTCTTAAAAGCAATTAAAGATCTATTGTTGGTTCATATTGTATATCGAGTAGACATTAATTGATCAAACCTCCAAAAACGATTGTAACGACCATGTCAACCAAATCTTCAATATCACATTCAGGCAGAGCTTCTTCAAGTTTGAACACATAGGATAACGGATCATCTCGCGTGTCACACCGTTTCTCATTTCTTTTTCTTTTCTCGACGACTTGCTTTACAACAGCTCTTGTGATTCGAGCGCCTTGCTCGCATTCACGTCTCAAACTTGACCATGGTGTGAATTGACTTTGAGGACTGGTGAAACTTAGAGAGATCCCTTTCAGTGCGTTCTTAAAATTCTTCTCAAATAGATTCCACTCGTCGTCTTTCAACTGCAAGTCGCAAGCCCACTGTAAAACAGAGAATCGTGTGATTGTTTGATTAAACAACTGTGTACCTTGTAGCAATTTGTGAGTAATGTACGTAAGTTGGAATAAAGTGGAATACTAGAGATAGTTTAAAAAGAAAAGCCTAGTCTAGCATAATAACGTGGAGAGCATCTTCGTATGTTTATAATAAAATTATTGATTTAAATTACTTTGGAATCTTAATTTAAAAATACGCTGCAGTACTTTATTTTCCTTTTTTCCGTACCGCTGTCACAGTAATTTAAATTGTATTACCCGGTAAAATCTGTTACTCTGAAAAATATCTTTGAAGATGAGCAAAGTCATACGTACAAAAGTTTCTTCAGTTGATGGTAAAGGTGAATTGAATAACAGACTAACTTTAAGCCCCAATTTTTTGTTATAAAACCTGAAATATCAACAGGTGTATGCCATCATTATAATGAAAACGAAATCATCATAAAGTATTGTCTATGGCAGTTTTCACCACTTGCACATTTTACTGAATAAAAAGTATAAATTATATTGAATAAAAATATTAAATATTATTAGTAAATAGTCTCAAAGACTGTTTATTAATAATATTTTACGGTCGACCATAAAGCATTTTTGATGTTCGTACGAAGTTATAAGATGAATTGCGCTTTTAAAGATTGTTTACTTAGCCAAATTTAAAGTTCAATAAGCGTTGTGAAAGAAATATGAAAATTAAAGAAACATACACACAAAGAATTCTAAAATTTTAGATACCGAAGCTTAAACGGACAATGCTTATACATCGCCATACAAATTCTCCATCAAATTTAAACTTCTGACAAAAAAATATGGATATGGGATTAACTGCCATCATCATTATATCAACTAAATAAAGTGACGAACATATTGCTGGTAATCAATGGTACGTGCATTTTTCACGAGGGTAACAGATTTCAAGGGGGACACACAAATCACCGTGACACCGCCATCGAGTTGTACAGTCAACTCGTTCA